CAGGCGTGGGTTGAATGGACGACTTCCAGCGCTCCCGCACCGATTTCCACCACGACGACCGAGGCGTGGCTCGACTGGTCCACTTCCAGCGTTCCTGTTGTGCCCGTAACTACTTCCTCATCTGTCTGGGGGGACTGGAGTTCGACATCCAGCGTTCCTGTTGTGCCTGTGACTACTTCTTCAAGCGAGGTCTGGGGGGATTGGAGTTCTACCTCAAGCATCCCTGTTGCGCCAGTCACCACTTCGACCTGGAATGCCGTGCCAGTTCAAAGCTCAACTACAGTCAAACCTAGCACTACCCTCCATAGCTCCAGCGTTGTCCCAACCTCTACGAAAGTCTCACCAGTATCACTGACAACATTTACGGGTGCCGCCAGCAAACCCACTGGAAACGCTGTGCCTCTCATCCTCGGAGCCGTCGCCATGGTCGCCATGTTGTAGACAAAGCACCATCAAGATTTTTCGTCTTCTATCAACATACTAATTACTAATTTTACTTGAATTACTTTTTCACTTCTCAACATATTTTGACGACACGGGATGTCTTACTACGAATCAACGCGGGACGCCCAAAAAAATTACGCTCAGTTACGGCATATACTTAATACTAGGGGATGGATATCGGGAGGATACATCTATTTTCAGGACGAACAGCACGGTCGAGTTATCAATGGAAATGGAATATGGAATGTCTTTACGTTGATGGAACATATGAGTATGAGCTCTGAATTTATGAGTACGAGCTCTGAATTTCTCGGGCTGGGTAAATACTATGGGGGAATGAACGTAATTTACCTCTACGCATCCAAGAGAAATGAACAGAACAAATATTAGATAGTTTCGACAAAAATGGATACCAAATAGAACGAATGAAAACATTCTAAAATTTACTTCAAACTTCCTTTCTTTTGTTGCTTTACCAGCCTGCCACTCTTAGCTGTTCCCGCTTCTCGTCGGTCCAGGCAGCCTTACTACTCTTGCTAACGTACTCTATACGGAGTACATTTTGTTGCATGCCTATTGGGTTTGAGGTCTTCTGGACAGCTATTACAGACCACGGTCATGCTTACAATAGTAAGCTTACATTATCTCGTTTTCGTTCGAGAGAGTAAACGAATACGCGAGTGGTGAAGGTGAAGTGAAGTGCTACTTAAAGTTGTCACATGACACCACGGAGCGCATCCGCCATTTCCTGCTCAACTCTCATCTCAACTACTTACTCTCGCTCTCACTTTCTTTTGGCAACATGGAATTATGGCTGAACAAGCCTTGTTGCTCATCGAGAGTAGCTTCTCCTATCTGACCTGCCTAGCTATCACAAAGCCGGCGTTGGCTGCAATGCAATTTAAAGATTGATATCTGGAAGGTAACTAACCAAATATCTTGTCTCAATATGCACCATGGCTTCAACGGAACTCCGTTTCATATGTGAAAACCATCAGGTGCTAAAATTGCGCCCCATGTCGCAAACTCGCACCATACGGGTTGGACATGTTGTATTGATTCCAGCCTTGCAGTGCTGGTGAAGTTAAAGTTGGAATCGATGCACCCCGCGAGGGGTTTCAACTGGCACGAGCCAAGGCTGTCGTACCAATAAGCCTTATGGCAAGGAATGATGCTCCTTTGCGACGCTTACTTGTTCGGGGTATGTCTACAAGGTATGTAGCTCGGCCCCGAGAGCTTGTGCTTATCAAGAATAAACTGATTTAGGCGACCCATCCGGTACCACTCTCAACTACCTTGTGAGGCTCGCGCCCGGGACGCCCTATCAGGCTCGCTCAGCTTTCCCAATCATGTGAACTCTCATTTGTCCAAGTCATGGTGAATCTTGATATAGATCGGTCTGCTATTGGATTTGGAGAATAGGCATCCCATCCAAGCTAAGTCAAGCTTCGTCATTTGACGGATCTTATCCTCTTCCAAGCCGAGAATTCTAAAATTAAGCTCAGAGGATAAGCTTCGTTTGCCTGACACTAAGTACCTCGTTCCACAGCCGAATACGTTAGTGACAATATGAAGACGAGAGAAGCCGACAAATTCAACCATTGCGTTGATCCAATTTACATGTCGATATGCTATCATTTCTGCGGTCGAAATGTCAATGTCGGCCTCGTACGAACAGTACGACCATCCCCAATATGGAACATCCCACTACCCATACGACGGACCAGATGAGATGGCCCATGATAATTTTGAGGCCCAATATGAACATCCTGAAGACGGAAACCAGGATGGTGATTACCACGATCCCGAATACCATGATGAGGATCACAATGAAGGGGCCTTTGGATATGGTGGGGACTGGGATCCACAATATCCTGAAGGGGGTGATGAAAACTATGGTCACAACGAACACCAGGAGCTTCAAGTAGGGATGCAAAACCATCACTACGAGCACGGCGCAGATGATCAGTATTCAGATGATCACGAGCCTCCTTACTATGAATATTATAGCAATCCAGAAGACGATAGCTATGACCCCAATGAGGAAGTGGATTATCAAAACTGGTTGGGACATAGTGAGATGGATGAGAGTGGAGAACCTCATGAGCAAGAGACCGATCAACATGACGAGGATCTAGTGGGTCAGCCTGCAGAGCAAGAGGAGAACGAGGAAGCGATGGAAGACCCAGAGCGGGAAGAAAACCATGATCCAGACCAACATCCAATGCCAGAGATGGCCGATCACCTTTCCCCAGCAGCACCGAATCCTCAAACCAACCCTCAAGCTCAAGGCTCAAACCACGAACACAGCGGTGGTCAACATCCTGGTCAAATGAGTGGTGCAACTGGTGGCCACCCACCTACGGACCAGCATCCACCAATGCCAGAAAATGTGCCGCGCTCGACCCCTGGTGGCTCGATGTTAAACATCGCCCTAGAAAATACATTCCAGGGTGGTGAAATGTACGCAGTTGTCTCCGGGAAGGCCATTGATCACAACAACAGCCTCTTCCTGCTCTCTTCTGATGGAAAGACGCCGATCTATCCCACCGCAGAAGGGCCAATACATGAGGATATTTCGATAGAAATGCATGCGGGTCAGCCTACAACAATCACCATTCCTCATATTGCCGGCGGCCGAATCTACTTTTCTCGAAACAAGAAACTAGAGTTCACATTGAATCCAGGCCCGTCCCTCGTCGAGCCGTCAGTCACCAATGCCAGCGATCCGAACTACTTGACCGAGTGGGGTTTTGTGGAATTGACTTTCAATAAAGATCAACTGTACGCGAACATTAGTTATGTTGATTTTGTCGGCAGTATTCCTACTGGCTTGAGTCTGGAGACCGCCTCCGGAGCCACACAGCATGTATCTGGTATGGGTGCGGACGGCTTGGAAAGCGTGTGCCAGGGACTGATGCAACAACGACAACGGGATGGGAAAGGATGGGATCAGCTTATTGTCCAGCCTCAAGGGAGACCACTCCGTGTCCTTTCTCTGAATCAGGTGGTGAAAATCAAACCGGATATATTTGCCGATTACTACGATAAGTATATTGATCAAGTATGGCAACATCTATCCTCCAGTGAGGTTGCTATTGACACACAGATGGCCGCCGGCGTTGTGAAAGCTCGAGTCCAAGGGGATAAGCTGTCAGTTGGAAAGTCACAATTTGCAAAACCAACTACGCTGGATATTCTCAGCTGCGACTCGGGTGCATTTGCGACAGGATCGGACGCAGAAGTCAACGCTATCATTCCCAGGATTGCGGCCGCCTTTAACCGCTCGACACTCTTGGACACGCAATCATTCCCGGAGGATAAGGCTCTTCACTACAAGAACCAAGTGACTAACCACTACTCTCGGGTGGTCCATGAGCACAACAGCGATGGAAAAGGCTATGCATTTCCTTATGATGATGTACAGAAGACTGGAGGCCCGGATCAGTCTGGTGAGGTCCATGCTAGCGATGCAACGCTCCTCACCGTGACGGTGGGTGGTGGAAAAGTTGCCCAGCATTGAGCCTTCCTTGTGCTATTTAACGGTTATGATAAACGGCGATGAAACGCAGGACTTGGGAAGAATACTAGCGTAGATATAGGAATGCCCAAGCAAGTAATCATTGAACGGCGTGTAATCAACTTTCACCTATTTTGACAAACCCGTGGTACTCATTCCCATTGTTGGAGGGGTTTTTTTCTCACTCTCGTCAGGATAAATGCTTTATAGATAGTAGCATGAGGATGAGACCTGGTCTTAAGGCATAGAGGTGAGCTCCCTTCCTTGTCTTGTCTCCGACACGTTCTCCACGTCCCCTGAGGTGCAAGTTCTGTCTATGCCGCGAGATTGAGCCCGTAAGACAGCAAACCAGCCTCGAGCGTTACTTCACATCAGCAACACCAAGATGGCCGACACGGCGAAAGAGCCAAAATTGACTGCCGAGAATGCCGTGGCAATGGTCATGCGCTTACATCCGCGGGTATTGTCCCAGACCCCTATCTTGTCCGGCAGGGAGCATGCACCAGCGCGCCGGCTCGCATTGTACGAACCATACACGAACGTTGCAAATAGGAAGGCCGCAAGGATGGAATCGACCACCGCCGCTGAAACTTTCTTGTAGGGGCTCAGGAAGTGGTAGAGCACGACGATGACGGCTACCAGCGACTTGAAGAGGTGTGGAATGTTAGAGCTTATGATCTTGTAGGTGGGAGGGATGCGGTTGATCGATCAATGGGACAAGACTTACAGATGCGCAGAGGAGCTTCTCGTCTGCGGTGACGCCTGGGACGAGGATGTTTCGGTCGATGGCGCAGCAGGCGAAGACGAACGCGATGATGGACCAGATGTACTGTGCAGCCCGAAGAATCGTGATCGCTAGTGGAGGCTGAGCGCGGCTTCGCTCCAACGGGATGTCTCTGGAAGAGACAGAAGAGACAGAAGAGCCCTGGGACTGTTTCTCTGGATCCATCCTTTTTCCTTTCTTGAGGCTGGGGCCGCCGCGGTCGACGTAGGTGAGTAGGGGTTCGGGGAGTTGCTCTTAGTCCTAGTAGCTTAGATATCCGAAGAAGGAAGTTGTTACTGGCAAGTCAAGATTGCTATGTCGCGGAGAGGACATGCGTTTTGTACTCGAGATTCCTCCCGTGAGACGAGCCGACTCTTGGGCGCTATGCTTGCATGAAGTACTTCGTACATATACGCTCCATAGATGTGGGCCGTGCTACCATCCAATGAGATTCCTCTGTCGATACTGTGTCAGTCAAAACCACATCTGCGACGACGGATGCGGCTATCTCACCTCGCAAAGGCTATACAGAAGCGGTATTGAGAAAGAATCCACAATCCTCGGAAGGAAATCCTAGTAGTTGTGTTGAGCAAGTTTTATCATACACCCTTGGAGGTACGCTGTCAGAACTCGAGAGATGAGCAAGTAAGGACTCGCTCATAGCTTGGCAACCGAACTAGAAATTCCGAGATTTAGTATTACCTAGGGCTTTCATTTGACTCATAGTACCTAGTCTTTGGACTGGACATCTAATGATCAGATACTGCGGCACCAGCGACTATACAGGGTTGAGTGCAGATCTGCCTTTCTATTTGCTCATAGGAGGGATATGCTTGCTAGCCGAGACCTTTGTTCTTGAAGAGCTTACAAATTATGAAGACGCCCTCTATTCCTCGAACGCCACCCGTAGTATCTACGATCCGTAGGCGTAAGTCTCGTTTGAGAGCTTCAGCAAGCTTTTGGATGAATGCGGTCCTTTGGGCGGCGCTAACTAGTTAGCGAGCGTAGGGATCACCCACACTCCGACATGAAATGTGCTCTTGAAGTGGAAACTCGCTCTTCTGTGTTTGAGGTTGGTGGCACGAGCACCTCTTCTGGTGAATTCAGAAGGATCCATACCTAGATATACACCTCGCGGTGTTTGAACCACTGGAACAACACCTCTCTATTGTGAACCTCGATCAAGGCCTGAGTGGCTACCTCAAGACAAGTGAGCCTTCTTATCTGCAGCGCAAAGGGGTGGCTAAAAGCACATAGTACCCCTCCGAGATACAGTTCACCTCCGAACCTACACTCCACCTAGTTCCCTCGGTAGAATTCCTCTCGTGAAAGCATTTCCAATCAGAAAACCTCAGGGTGAAAATGGTACTCCAGATCGCTTCCGTCTATGACACCTTGTAGTGTGCGTTGGAAGCATATCTGCCTCAAGTCGGATTTTGCGCTCTGTGAGCCACAGAAGAAGACACCAATCCTTGGCCTATTCCTTCGTGGCTGACCCGTTTGCAGAACAATTTCTCTGAGTACCTTGGAAAGCTGGTGGTGGTGGTCTCGCAGTATGCTGACGAAATTAGGCCGTTTTCCCAGATGGATCTCAACCTGTGAACCCTTCCTATTGAGCGGTCGTCCTGTCGTTTGTCTGCCATCTGCGGAAAAGGGTGCGCCCGAATCGCTGATATAAATACGACAGCTCAAATCGAGTCTGTATTGTTGAGGTAGCAATGTGATCGCCTCAAGAAGCGGAGTGAAGGTGTCAAGCAAGGCCGTATCACGGACGACCCAGATGACGCAAACACGCTTGCGAATCTCGTCAATAGATCTTGTGTTCTGAGAATTTCTTCTGCATGTCATCCAAGGCTGTGTTGGATAGGCCAGTAGCTCGTTTAGGACAGCAGCAGATGGTGTCAGCCCTGCACCCATCCCTATAAGGATGGAGTTGTCATAATCCCAAAAGCCTTGACATGGTGCACCGAACGGCCCATCCAGATTGACAGTCATGAATTCTGGTTGTTCCTGCAGACAGTGAGTCCACCATCCGTTTTTCTTTACGATTACCACAAGCTCGCCATCAACTGCTCGTACCACAGTGAAGGGGTGCCACTGGAATCGAGATAACCTTGGAACTCGCACCAATATGTATTGCCCTGGACGATAAAATGGTCTTCGCTTTCCTCTGGAGGTGAAAATTGTGACTTCAACACAGTCATTGCTGACGGGTTTGATGCGGGCAACTCGGCTTCTGAGAAGCTGACTGGCCCGAACAAGCTTTTCGCATAGGATTATGGCCAGAGGTCCTGCCATGACGAACCCCAGAGCAGGAAATTGAAACAAGGCTGCCGTACCATGGAGTGTAAGTAGCACAAGCATGGGAAACATCAACAGATGAGCAACCTGGAATGTCTCAAACCACTTCTTGCGTACTGGTGGGACGCTGCATGTCCCAATGATCATGAAGATGAGCAGCGCGCCTGCACCGGTCCAGCCGGGGCGTGATAGGAGAATGCCTGTCCAGTCAACATGCTTGATCTTAGTTCCGATAAGTTCTGTCACTGCCTGCCGATGTTCTGGCTGCACAGCACTCGGGATGGTCCCCATTATGTGCCCGCAGGTGTGCAAGAGGGAAAGCACCAGTGCCATAACCGCCATGCGAATATGGAAGTAACGGTTTCTGTCCCAGTTCAAATATCTTTGTCCCCCCACGTAGCGACAGATAGTCGCAAGCCAGCGAGACATGCTCAAAACGAGAAAGAAAATTGTCGGATACAGAGCGCCAGCTCCAAATTTCGCGACCGGAACACCCCATCCAAATGCTTCTCTGACTGCCTCGTTTGTACTGTACTTGTAGCATTGCCAGGCGCCGAACCCAAGCTGGAGAGATAGCACCGCTGCTGAGAAGGCGTAGTTCCACGCATACAGCCTCCAGTGGGTAGTAATGTAAACCGGCACGAGTGAAAATCTTCCTCTTGCTTCTTGGTATTCTGACTTTGGTAAGACATATCGCAGCTGCTGAGGATGGGAGGTATTGATTGTGCTTTTCACCAACGAGGCAATGGATTCATTCGAATTAGCGTATCCTCTCCACATGGAGAACAGTGAAAATCTGGTTGGTATTTGTGACGAATGTTGTGGAATAGCGATGCCTTGTACGTGATGATCAAGATCAACTCAGTGGCTTATAGCTCTTTGTTGCTGAGGAATGCGGTGACCTTCGATCAGCCTGCCAGCCCTACGGTGGCTCCCTTTATCAATCCAACGGAGCTTCGAGCCCTGAGAAACGTGCTCAAGTTTGGCAGTCATTGTGTGTTGAAGCACCGACTTCCGGTGTCAGACCCTGACTAGTCTCAAGCCTCCGCCAGCACGAGGCTGTGACGAGACTTGCATGCTTGTGCTCCTGCAGCCATTGAAATTGCTCTCCCATATAGACTCGTTTCGAATGACTCACTAGCACTACTAGATCAATGAAGCAGGTCGACAGGCAGAATCAATTATGAATGGAGGAGCGAGACGGGTACTCCTGGCTGGACAAGGATCTCAGGAAGGAAGCTGCGTGCTGCCTGCATCATGGTGTCTTAGTCATATTATGTTCGTCCATGAAAAAATCCTTTGTCCTGGAAGAATACACCAAGTTTGGTCGCGACTGACGAATATCAGTGTTGATACAATTCACAACTAAAATAGAGTGCTGGGAGGTCTGTGGGTGCCTGTGGATTGATGGGGCTTAGTGTAGTCGCGATCGTGACCTTGTCCAATGAGTGTCGAAGAAAATGATGAGATATGAGCATGTTTTCTCTTTGCCCTCCACATTCTTCCGGGTACGTCTCAAGGTTATGGACATAGGGGCTAAAATGAGGGCCAGCGTCAGAAATATTGAAGTTACTGGATCCCCCCTGGGGGAAAGCTAGATGTATTTATGGGAATGCTGGTCCAATGAGCCCTCCAAGAGTCCTAGAAGTCGAATTTCTCACCGACAAGCTTCTCACTAAGCTCCCATATCCGATCCTCGAATGGCTCAGCTTCTGCATGTAGCTGCGAGTTCTTGACCTGACAGTCGTTGAGATAAGCTCCGGAGTCATTCGCAAGGCTTGGATCCAGGGCGGCGCGAAGCTGCGTGGCTGCGCCTTGCTGCAGCGACTTTGGCGTTGGGTATTTGAAGTCAGGGTTCTCTTCCAAGAGTGCTTTGGCCGCTGAAGTTCTCATCTCATCAGTAATGTGGACTTGAAGGTTTGTCCGGATGCTTCCAGGATTGAGACTGAAGACGGCGATACCCTTGGGCTTCAGGAACCTGGCCAGTCGTTTGACATACAACACATTGGCTGCCTTCGACAAGCTGTATGCGGCGACAGGATCATAGGATTTGCCACCATCCCAGGTGACATCGTTCACTTTGGAAAAGAGATAGTCGGGCTTCCGTTCGGATGCTAGGCTACTGACAGCGATGATTCGTGAGCCAATGAGGTCGTTTTGTACAAGCATGTTCGAAAAAAGGAAGTGGCCGATGTGATTGGTTGCGAACTGCGATTCGATACCGTCCTCGGTGAGACTGTATGGGCACATCATGATGGCAGCGTTGAGAATGAGGGCGGCGATCTTGTCTCCAGCTAGAAGTGGCTTTACTCCTTCTGCTGCAGCTCGTACGGATTTCAGGCTGCTGAGATCGAGTTGGAGAAAGCTAACTTTGACTTGTGGATGTTCTTGTTTGATTTGGTCGATCAGCGGCTGTATCTTGCCCTTACTTCGACCGGCCAAGATCAGATGGTTGGGATTCGCCCTTGCGAGACTGATTGCTGTCTCGGCACCAACTCCTCCTGGAGTTGGTCCAGTGATCAGGACTAATGAAGTCAGTGTCCACCCGAGTATATTTTGAGTGACTGCCACGTACACGTCTTGCCGGAAACGCTGTCTCGAAATGCATCGATGATCTCATCCGCCGTGGTCTCAAACCCGAAGGCCATAATATCTAAGTCGTCAGGAAATGACCCGTGCTTAAATGCGAAATCGAAGAGTCAAAAGTCTCGCTGTGATGTGGCTCTCGGCTTGCCTGATTCAATGCTGGTTGGTAGCTGCTGGGCAGTGGTATATATCTTCTCTTCTCAAGAATGAACATTTAGTGCTGGCGTGCGGATACTCACTGGATTGAATATTTGACCGGTGGCGTTGAAAGATTCGTTAGCATCGTCAGCAAGCGACACACAAAGTGGATGCGTATTCCCTCGTGTGCCGGGAAACGAGCACAATCATTTCCACTGCATGACCAAGTGAGGAACTGATGAAGACAAAATCATCAGACTTGATGCTTCTGTTAGATGACACCTTATGCACGAGGCGCTCCACCTAGTCTAACGGAGGCTTAACTCCGCGGGCTGTGCATGATCACGGAATCGGATGACGCAGGTACAGAGATTTGAGTTTAGCGTCCCCATTTCTAGAAAAGAACAGGCGTACTTCTGAAGATGCTCCTGTAGAATCTTGCACAGGCTGACAAGAGACCAACCAACAAAGCTTGTCGAAAGCTTCAGATCAGAGATGCAAAAATGGATGGGTGCGCATATGATGACCACTGTCGCAGGCCGTAGAAGGAGATAGTCGCCCACATGCTAGTACTAACTAGATTTGCAATGGTGTCGTACTTCTTACTCTCACCAAGCAGTAAGAATCGTGAACTTCAAATTAAGATCTGCTAGCACAATTAGAGAGCGAAGTCCATAGACCTGTCTAGCTTTGGTAGCGTAGATAGATAGTATGTTAGCACACCCCTACATGGCCGCACAGAGAGGCAGCCAGACGCTCAGCCCCAATTGCGATATGGGAATACATGAGGGAAACAACAAGACCCTCTATCCGATCTGTGATCACCGTCCGTGTGTCAACATCAAAAGACCATAGGAATGGAGCGGGTCACTCATGCAACCGCGTGTCAAAGGCCAGCACCAAATAAGCAAGAGCAAGGCTTACTTGCATTGAAGTAAGTGGTGACATAGTTGAATTCATTGCCACGTAGATTGAGTATCTCCTTCCATGCCATTCGTGGTGCTATACTAGCATCTCCCCTTATAGGAGATAGGGTATCCACATGCCGCAATGGATCTGTTCAGGAAGCATTCTTGCAGGCAAGCAAGCAGAGCACAGAGTACTGGAATATGAATGCTGTTTCCAGATGCCATCTTTGAAGGGGCAAGGCCTCAGCGTGACTCTCCTCTCCTGGCCGGATAAGTCTAACAGATCTGCGAGGCTCGTCGTGAAGTCATGTGTGCACTGAGAGTTTGCAACTTTGCATTCGCTGCCACGTGGATCATTGGCTGCCAATCCTCACAATCACAGGCAAAATGCCACGATTGAGGGTGCACAACGGGGAGCTGAAGTTGGTGAGACAAAGAGCATGGAGTCAAAACAGAGATCGATTAACAGCGGTTGGTCCAGGGTGTTTGTTGCTTGCTGGTGAACCCGGGAGTCAGCACGGCACAACACCGGGATTTGACTCTGGCCAAGATGCCATGTTGATTGTACTCGTACTTGTCCAGGCTACCAGTATTGGGCCGCAATCTCGCATCAGATGGATAGAGCGAACTGTGCCAGAGTTTTACTGCCGTTGGAACAAGGGAGTGGACAGAGAACTGGTAAAGGTCCTCATAATGTCTTGGCGATCTTGCTGGTTTCACGGCAGGCTGAGGACATGGCATGGCAATTTGGCAGCTGTCTGCACGGTGCGGGAGGCACCCAGGAGGTAGGCGGTGTGACCAGCACCACCCAGAACCTGTGCCTACCCGCTGAAGTCACGACAAATTTCCCGTGCGAAGTGTGCGCTAGCGTGCTAACTGACCACCTAAGGGTGTCTGGGGGCGCCTAGCGGACTTTTAGTTGCTTAATAAGGGGGCTAGCGAAAGGCGGTAAGCAAACAAAAGTCTGCCGAGTACGGCGTCATGGCCCATGGCTGGGAGGTGAGGCTGGCTGGCCTTCCAAAGGACGGTTTGCGTTTGCTCCTTCCCCCAAACCCCAAACGCCCGGCATACCTGCGCTTTTCATAAGAGGGCGATCTGCCGCTGCCACTGCCCCATGCACACTGCCCGCTGCCCGCCGCCCCAAGCCTGCGGATAGAATTCAAGTGGTGACAACTGGTATTAGTATTGCTCACGCTCCCACCGTACGCCACCTGGAATTTGTGCTTGTGACGCGTTTCTGTGCCTGTCCCGGACAGAACACATTCTTCATCTTCATTCTAGATGAGATTGTCCGCTCGCCTAGCTATTTCCTCGTTGCTTTCCATCCGTTCTACTATTCCGCTTGCCTGTCGACAGCGCCCGATCGGTAGACTTATCATGTCGAGCCTTACTTCGCAACCATCTCCTTCAAGCCGGCAATTTGCCTCAGTCATGGGCTCAGTTCGGCGGATCACGGATGATTTGGAGAAGCCTGATCTCGACGACAGATCCTATCGAGTGATCGAGCTCCCCAACAAGCTGGAAGCATTGCTGGTCCACGATGCAGAGACCGATAAAGCCAGTGCCAGTCTCAACGTGAATGTGGGCAATTTCTCAGACGAAGAAGATATGCCGGGCATGGCACACGCCGTCGAACATCTACTGTTCATGGGAACTGAAAAGGTGAGCTTGACTCTGAGTTGCTGTCAATTGTTGTTCATGGCCGATCACTGACTCGCTGCAGTATCCCGTCGAAAATGAGTACAGCTCCTATCTCTCTTCGAACTCGGGTCATTCCAATGCATACACCGCTGCCACACAGACGAATTATTTCTTTGAATGCGCCGCCACCCACGAGTCTAATGACCAGCCTGTCAACGGGACTGCAGTCATCAATGGATCAGCTGGAGGAGCTTCGAGAGGGCCTTTATATGGTGCTCTAGATCGATTTGCACAGTTTTTTGTGAAACCGCTATTCTTGGAGAACACTCTAGACCGTGAGTTGAGAGCTGTGGACTCAGAAAACAAGAAAAACCTCCAAAGTGATGCATGGCGCTTGTCTCAACTGGCCAAATCTTTGTCCAATCCAGCCCATCCTTACCATCACTTCTCCACTGGCAATCTCCAGACCTTGAAAGAAGACCCAGAGAAAAAAGGGGTGAAGATCCGCGAAGAATTCATCCGATTTTACGAGCGACACTATTCTGCCAATCGAATGAAGCTTGTGGTCTTGGGCCGCGAGTCCTTAGATGACCTTGAGCATTGGGTTGTTGAACTCTTCTCCGAAGTCAAGAACAAGGACCTGAAGCAAAATCGATGGGATGGCGTCGAGATGCTGTCTAAACAACAATTGCTCACCGAGGTCCTTGCAAAGCCCGTTATGGAGTCGCGCTCTCTGGAAATCAGTTTCCCCTGGCAAGATGAAGACGACATGTACGAGACTCAACCAGCCAGGTATATCAGCCATTTGATTGGCCATGAGGGACCTGGTAGTGTTCTTGCATATCTCAAGGAGCAAGGCCTTGCCCAGACTCTCTCTGCTGGGTATCAGCCTGTTTGTCCGGGATCCGCGTTCTTTGAGATCGACATTGGCTTAACACCAAAGGGACTAGAAAATTACCATGAAGTCGCCAGAATCATCTTCAAATATATCGGCATGATGAAAGCGAATCCCCCTGTGGAATGGATGCACCAGGAGATGAAAAACATGGCCGAGGTTGACTTCAGATTTCGCCAGAAGTCCCCTGCAAGCCGCTTCACAAGTGGAACCAGCAGTGTCATGCAGAAGAACTTACCTCGCAATTGGCTACTCAGTAGCACAAGCAAATTCAGGAAATTCGATGCAAAAGCCATTGTCCAAGCTATGCAATACCTACGAGAGGACAACTTTAGGTTAATGTTGGTTTCACAAGATTATCCAGGCAATTGGGATCAGAAGGAGAAATGGTACGGGACTGAGTACAAAGTCAACCAAATTCCCCCTGATTTCCTATCGGATGTCCGCAAAGCTCTCAATGCTCCTACAGAGGACAGAATCGATGAGCTTCACTTGCCTCATAAGAATGAATTCATCCCTACCAAGCTGGATGTGGAGAAGATGGAGGTCAAAGAGCCTACAAAGACACCCAAGCTTCTACGGAACGACGACTTGGTACGGCTCTGGTGGAAAAAGGATGACACATTCTGGGTTCCTAAGGCGAATCTGAGTATCAAACTCCGAAACCAGGTCACCTATGCGAATCCACTAAACTATGTCAAGGCGAATCTTTTCGTGAGCCTCGTGAAGGATGCTCTTTCGAGTTACTCCTACGATGCGGAGATTTCAGGACTTTCATACGGCATAGCAGCAAACATGCTTGGTGTGGACATCAGTGTACATGGATACAACGACAAGATGGCAGTGCTCTTGGAAAAGATTCTCATCACCATTCGGGACATTGAAATCCAAGCTGACAGATTTGATGTTATCAAGGAACGGACGGCGCGGAAATACAAGAATTGGGGTTACCAACAGCCATACTATCAAATCGGTGATTACACGAGGTGGTTATTGAATGAGCGTTCTTGGATGACCGATTCATATGCTGCTGAACTCCCCCACATTGCCGTTGAAGATATTCGAGCTTTTGCACCACAACTATTACAACAGGCACATATTGAAATTCTTGCCCACGGTAATCTGTACAAGGAGGAGGCTAAGAAGATCGCCAATCTGATTGAAACCACATTGAAGCCACGCGCTCTCCCCACATCACAGTGGCAGCTTCGACGAAATATGATCATCCCTCCAGGAAGCAACTTTGTGTACAAGCACACTCTAGGTGATCCAGCTAATATCAACCATGCTATTGAGTATTATCTAGATGTCGGACACGTCATGGATTTACCACTCCGGTCAAAGCTGCAGCTGTTCGCTCAAATCACTGATGAACCAGCCTTCGATCAACTGAGAACAAAGGAACAACTCGGTTACGTGGTTTGGAGTGGTGTGAGACCAGCAGCCGTCACAATGGGCTTCAGGGTACTTATCCAGAGCGAAAGAGACCCGGACTATCTCGAAACACGAATCAATTCTTTCCTCCTCAAGATCAACACCGTGTTAGACTCCATGTCGAACGAGGATTTCGAAGGCCACAAACGAAGCTTGATCAACAAGCGTTTGGAGAAACTTAAGAATCTTGACTTTGAGACTAACCGCCTATGGGCTTACATTAGCGGTGAATATCTTAACTTCCACCAAGTCGATCGAGATGTGACGGAAATCCGGAAGTTGACCAAAGCCGATATCAAGGAATTCTACGCTCATTATATCGATCCAGAATCGCCTACAAGAGCTCACCTCTCGATTCATCTTCACGCTCAAGCTTCATCAACGCCACCTGAATTGTCTCCGGAGGAACAAAAGTCACAAGCGATTGGTCTCATCGGACAGGTTCTTGGAAATCTCGGGGTTGACGTCCAAGAAACCCTATTGAAGAAGCATTTCGAAGCCGTTGAGCCGAATGACCAAACAAACATGATTGCCGCGATCAAGGGGTATATTGGTGATTCTGCGCCAGCGCCAAAGGTGGAACAGATTCTTGAGCAAATGAAGGCCGCGGTTTCTCAAGTTCAAGTGGCCCTGAAAATCAAGCCCCCAGTCCCTGAAACAAACGGCGAGCAGGTAGCTGCTCACATTCCGACACCTGTGATCATCAAAGATGCACACCAGTGGAAGGCAGATTTGCAAGTCAGTAAAGGCCCCGTGGCTGTGGCAGACATCCGAGAATTCGAGGATCTTGAGTCCAAGCTGTGAAAGGACAGCCACGTCGAAGGGAGGCTTTTGTGTCGAAATCCAGTCATTTCAGAAGACTTAGCGATGGTGTTTCTGGACAGGTTTCTCTAGGGTGTAGATTAGAGATAGATCACCTGCAAAGGTGCATGCATGGACCTAGGCAGAAAACGGAAGTACCTCGCATCGTCATATTGCGAGAACTCACGCAATGGACCTGGCGAGGCTGAAGTCTGAGAGTATTTATAGTTACTAGTTACACAATTTTCCTCCCACGTGCCTGGTGCGTCTCACTTTCCCACCTGCGTAACTCCGCGGTGGAGCTCTAACTCCGGCGCAACACCATCAGCGGCAACGTCAATTCAGTTCAAGCAATCGGGAACCTGGCTTCGTTACAGCATTTTGAATCAAAATACTACCTCGGACACCGTCCGACAACCACAGAGCATTTCAGCGTTTATACTCCTAATGGGACTCTGAATCATCAAGTCATTGAACCTCTGCGCAATTTCGCTTTCTCGCGGGACGCGTCTTCGAGATGAGCACCCTTACCACAACCACACTCAAGTCCTCTTATCCGTAAGGTCAAGAAGTGTGTCTTTCCCTTGCATCTTCTGACCCATTTCCGTAGCCCAGTCTTACCTCCACCGTTCACAGCTAATCAACCTCCCACACTTCGGCTCTATCCTCTTTCTAACTACACCTTCGGCACGAAGGAGACGCAACCTGAGGAAGACCCCTCGGTTCTTGCCAGGCTTAAGAGGTTGGAAGAGCATTATGAGAACTATGGCATGAGGCGGACTTGTGAGGGCATTCTGGTATGCCATGAGCATAACCATCCACATGTTCTCATGCTTCAGATCGCAAACGCGTTCTTCAAATTGTGCGTTCGTCTGTACAAATACGCAGGAAGGTACTGACATGGTGCCTTAGACCAGGCGACTACTTACCACATGACGCGGATGAAGTAGAAGGATTCAAGGCACGTCTAAACGACAGGCTAGCGCCGACAAACCCCAAGGAAGGAGACACAAATTGGGAGATCGGGGATTGTCTGGCACAATGGTTTGTTCTACTTTTAAGAATCCTTGTCCCCCCAGAAGTGCTAATTCTGTGTTGCTAGGTGGCGACCGAACCACGAAACATTCTTATACCCATTCCTCCCAGCCCACGTTTCTCGCCCAAAGGAGCTCAAGAAACTGTACCTGATCCACCTACCCCCTAATAAAGTGCTTAGTGTGCCAAAGAACATGAAACTCCTTGCCGTCCCCTTATTTGAGCTGTATGACAACACCGCGCGTTACGGTCCTCAGCTGAGTGCCATACCGCATTATCTTTCTCGCTATAGGTTTGAGTTCGTGGATGAAGACGGCAATCTCAGCAGTGTTATGCCTGGTGGAGGAGCACTACCGGCACCTGATGCCGACGTGAAAGTCTTAGTGGATGGTGCAGCAAAGCCCGAGGAAGGTGTGCGAGACGTCAAGCTTGAGAACGGAGAGTGAAAAGAGCCCTTTCTGCTCCTAATACTCAAACGTTGCCATCTGAGATCCTGAATCTTCAATATCACTTGAGGTCTTGGCAGAGAGCGGCGTGATCATAGTGCTATCTCCTGAAGGACTTGATCAGGCCAGTCGTTAATGGCATCTTGCCCTGTCTACGGCCTAAGAAAGGCCTAGTACTGCAGGTGTCGACGAGAACTGCAAGCTCGGGCTTACTCGGTTTCTGCATGAATTCACTTCGAGGGTGTCAGATTATCCTGGTGGGGTATGCCTAAGCATCTCTGCGCGTCTCACGAAATGCCTCCGAGATACCAAACTCGTCTGGAGGGGGCATGAGCATCACCGCACTATCAACCTCTTGGGATTGGTGAAGGATAGCTGGCGCTCTGGTCAATTCATCACCCGGATGCATAGATTCGGTTGAAAAGCCAGTGTCACGTTACACCCGCTCAGAAGGCTTCAAAATAGACCTGAAGTTGCACAAAGTGTTCAAAACAGGGGAACAGCCAGGTTTATCACTAGCTATGGAGATGTCGTTGCCTTGAATGAAGAGTCCAATACGTGCATCCAATATTCCACGTGACCACGATTTCAGGAGAACAAGCCATATCTGATCTATGAAGCACCTTCGTTGCCTCGGAAGTTCAGACCTTTGGCCCTTCCAACCTGTATCGATTCCAAGCGCACAGCTACACCTATACTATAAGCAACCTGCAATGCTTGTCATCAGCCGTGTTCCGCTCTCCAAAACTTGACAAGTAACGTGTGGCGGCTTCAGCGCTTCCTCGAGACTGACTGTCTCCTGTAGTCCGTACGGTGTGACAGTCAACCCCGGATCGGAGCTCGTGCTCCGTCCCTCGGTCATTCTATTGTAGTCCTTTCAGAATCGCCTCATCCTGGCGGCCGCATTGCCTTCAAGTCATCGACCAGGTCTGAATTGGCTTGCGTCATCCTCGACACTGGATTGATCGTAGTGGATCACTGCCCAATTCATTCCAACTTTGTATCCTGCCGGTACATACTCTCCGCAAAGTTCGAGACCCTCTCAACTGGGGTGAGACGACCGATGGTCAGTTGAACGCCAGGATATCAGCGAAGAGCTTCTTTGATGCAAGCACAGAGGCATGGAAGTCGTATAGCTTTCGGAATACTTCACTGGAGAGCTCAACCTACCACTGCTCGCCACTTCGCCAATTCCCTGCTGCAATCTCTCGTAGGCTTGAGGGTATTTCACCCTGGCGGTGAAATAAAGCGCCTCCTATCCCGGCACCGACCAAACCTTCAGCGAAGATCACTACTAGCTAATCTGTCATATTCCACTGCAAAGTGAGTTTCTCGTACCGCAGCAGCTCTTTGCGACTCTAGAACCAGGCGTGCGAGTACATGGGAGACGAGGGCTGGCAAAATTCGGAGCCTATGCAGTAGGAATGTGCGAAGGCATAGAAGTCTAGGAAGTCAGGCATCCATCAGGCTGTAGCTGGACGTGCTGACATAATAATATCATGCTCACTAGATCGCCAGTAGATTAGTGGCCGGTAGTCCTTCGGGTGCAGCACGTGAGCTTCGAGAGACTTCGATTTGCTCTTGGCGTGGCTGGCCGAGGTGGTTGGGCAAAATTGGTCGTCGGAGATCTGTCCATTTCATGGTGCTTAGGCAGTCGTACCATTTGAAGGTGAGGGCAGCCGTTCATATTCGTCGCAACTCAGCAGTCTTTGGGAACACTTACCATCACATCTCTATCTGTGAATTCTCCGGCGGAAAATCTCCCATCAGTCAACATGGTCAACCTAGCGAATCCCCAGATGTACGTCGATACGAGTTCCTCAATCATGGTGAATTTCTGTGGCTAACTAAAAATTCCAGCACCAACTTGGTAATCATCCTTGGGATGATGCAGGTGTCGAAACGAGTTCCGTTTGATGACCCTCAAGTCCTCATGGGTGTCCGCATCCTCTACGTGTTGTCCAACCTGATCATTTTTGGACTTTACTATTACATCGGCATGAACATTAAGGCCAAACGAGGTTTGTCCGCTGGTGCGCCTCTATTTTGACATCGCATACTAATAGGCTCCCCTAGATTTGACAACACTGAAGTACGTCGAACCGGCGCCGATGGGCTCGGGTGAAGAGCCAAAACTGGTAACCACCACCATTCAAGAGTACGATCAGACACAGCTCGCCGCAGCCTATAAGGGCCAGCTCATGGGCATCGGAATGATGGCATTCATGCATTTATACTTGAACTACACAAACCCGCTTCTTATCCAGTCCATCATTCCCCTCAAGGGCGCATTTGAAGGCAACTTGGTCAAGGTTCACCTGTTCGGCAAGCCGGCAGTAGGTGAGCTCAAGCGGCCATGGAAGGCTTCAGGAGGACCGTTTGGCATGGGTCAGGGAGAGAACAAGAGCGACAAGGCCAGCATTGAGGCAGCTGAACGTGCTGGTCGTGGCGGTGCAAAAGAAGAGTAGAAAAGTCCTCACAGTTGCAAACAGGTGCCTATTACCAGCAAATAGATATCCGGATCCCGCGGACAATAGATCAGTGCATCGCAGCCACCATACCCTTGGCTCTTGTGATTATGGGAAAATGATGACGATCGGCTGCAACTGCATTGCCCGCTTTCCTGCTTCTCCCACGGTGGCTCTGGACTCAGTCTCAAAAAAAGTATTTCGCACGCCTGGATCCTACCCACGTCCATGCAGGTAGGTAATGGATTGGCCGGAGTGGCACATTGTCAGGGTCCTCACAAGCTCGCGAGACGCCACCCCAAAAAACAGCGCGGCAGAACGGCTAGGATTGCGGAACATTGGTTAATCCACTCCGCGTGCCGCACAACCATGAATACGAGGCAAGGCGATTGGATGGGATCAAGTCGCGCTTGCTTGCTGCTTTTGCATCAGCGAAAGAAGAAAGAAGCAGGCTGTGATAAGCAAGGAACAGTTGAGCCAGGAGGATGGACAACTGAGCCCCCCATCTCAAAGGCTTTCGTGGATATAAAAGCAAGATCGACTGGAGACAGAGGCCGTTGTCCATCTCGTAACATACATCCATCCGATATCATTTCCCAGTCCCAAATTCCAGTCCGTTCTTTTATCGTACGAACGGATCTTCTATTATCGCTCACGATAATTGCGAGTGCACGCAGCTTCCTGTAACCAAGCTCTGCGGGCGCCAAGGCCGCAAGTCCCCCCTCCCTGTAAGTTGTTTGGCTCCAGTTACTTTTGCTGAGGTCACCCTGCCCCTCAACGTCAACACCGCCCCACCATTGCTCAAAGAAACAAAAAGCTCCCTCCCTCGCTCGTCACACCACAGTTGCAGACTTTCTACGCCTTTATCACCATTCTTGCTCTTTTCCTTCGACTGACTTAGAAGCAGATCTTCAATTACGTGAGTTGCACATGCTCCCTTCCGGACTGACCCTTAATAAAAGCTCAATGGATATCCAGACTCTCAATACTGACCTCAATCCTTTCCAGCAATCGTAACTACTTTCAAACATCAACATGCCTACCAAGGTCGGAATCAACGGCTTCGGTCGTATTGGACGTATTGTAGGTGTTCAACAACAATGGCTCCTCTGTTCTCAGCTAATATGATTCCAGGTCTTCCGAAATGCGTGAGTACCCTGTGTGTCCACTTCGGACTCCGAAGCCTCGTCCCCTGACACGCCTATAGTGTTGAGCACGACGACGTTGAGGTTGTCGCTGTCAACGATCCCTTCATTGAGCCCCATTATGCTGTATGTGACATCAATCTGGTGTTCCGCCATGCAAAAGAGCAATGTGTTAATATACCCAATCTAGGCATATATGCTCAAGTATGACAGCCAACACGGCCAGTTCAAGGGCACAATTGAAATCAGTGGCAATGATCTGATTGTCAACGGCAAGACTGTCAAGTTCTACACCAAGAGAGATCCTGCAGAGATTCCATGGTCTGAGACTGGTGCTTACTACGTCGTTGAATCGACTGGTGTCTTCACAACCACAGACAAGGCCTCCGCTCACTTGAAGGGTGGTGCCAAGAAGGTTGTCATCTCCGCACCATCTGCTGATGCTCCTATGTTCGTCATGGGCGTCAACGAAGAGACCTACAAATCCGACATCCCAGTCATCTCCAATGCCTCTTGCACAACTAACTGCCTGGCACCTCTTGCCAAGGTTATTCACGACAACTTCGGGATCAAGGAAGGCTTGATGACTACCGTCCACTCCTACACTGCAACCCAGAAAGTTGTTGATGGACCCTCAGCCAAGGATTGGCGAGGTGGCCGCACAGCTGCTCAGAACATCATTCCCAGCAGCACTGGCGCAGCCAAAGCTGTTGGCAAGGTCATTCCATCTCTCAACGGCAAGTTGACTGGCATGTCGCTGCGCGTGCCTACATCCAACGTTTCCGTCGTCGATCTTACTGTCAGCCTCGACAAGCCAACCAGCTACGACGAGATCAAGAAGGTCATCAAGGAGGCTTCTGAGGGCAAACTCAAGGGTAATTCCCGCCTTCTCACTGTTGCAGGCACAAGTACTAAAACAATCCGTAGGTATCCTCGCATACTCCGAAGATGACCTTGTCTCCACCGACTTGAACGGCAATAACAACTCCTCCATCTTCGATGCCAAGGCCGGAATTGCCCTCAACGACCACTTCGTCAAGCTTGTTTCATGGTATGACAACGAGTGGGGTTACTCCAGACGTGTTCTGGATCTCTTGGGTGAGTGCACTATCCGGTCGGAAGATATCGGGAGAGTCTTACTGACATCAACGTTTAGCCTACATCTCCAAGGTCGACGGCAATGCCTAAATTGCTCTTCAGAGAACGGAACCGTGAGGTGTTCAAAAGTCTCAAACCTGCCACGGTCATAGGTTGAATATTACGGAAGGTATTCTCGGGGTAAGAAAACATAAGAGCAAAGAATTGGCTTGGGGCGATGTCCATCCGAAACGCCTTTCTTTTGTATTCTCTAGGCATTCTAGTTAGTTCGAATTCTAACATTGACCTCTGTTCCTTCCGAACAAGCAGGCTTCTATGACCTCTGCTCGGTGGCTAGACATTTGCTCTCCGTGATTTTATTCTTTGCCCGCGCGCACATCGCCCTCCGATCTCGAAAACTAGAACAAAGTGGGATGAATTTATGTACCGGGGTTCTCCCGAACTCAAAACCTAACATGTGACTTCAGCCTTCTCGCCCAGTCACGTGTATAGTCTTGGCACCTCCCTGATGTTCTGGGCCATGGCGTTGATCGAGCCCTGCACTTACAACTTGGATACAGCAAACGCTCTCTGATAGTGGCACCGCTCAGTACCAACAATTGTCTAAAAGACCATTGACAGCTTTCGCTGCGCTGTTAAATAACCATAAGCGCCTCACTTCAGTCCAAGTAGACTCTTTTGGTCGCAATAGCAATTGATCAAGCACCCGCGGCAATCAGGTATGTCAAGGCGCATCAGCGGTTGCTATGTTGGACAATCCTGCTTTGAATGATGATTGTTGACTAAACTACAAAATCTCCCTGTCGCAATTCGAATCGCACTTTCATTAGGATGTTCCATCGGCTAATGTTTGTCTTACAGACCAAGCAGTGGAAGAGTGTTTCTGAGGTGTATCACTAACTCCAGAGTCGCCCTATCAGGTGGGCTTTAAATATGCAGCTGGGATAGCACACCGGCCATCAGTCTGTCTCAGGTTGGCGTTATCTTCAGACTTGGGAACTATGGGTCAAGTTCCACCAGATCCTGGCACATTTTCAGCAAATGGAGGTATTCCGAATCTCGTCTTCTCAGGAGATATCTCAATGAGAGATACTCCTGATGTAACTACTGATGCAAGACTAAAGTTAGAGACTTCTGAAGAAGACTCTGATGATAGTCTCGCCACCGACACTTCATCTGAGTCTGACGACATATTGCCTCCTATCCCTCGCGGGCTCCCCATCTCGAAGCTCCCGACAGGCCTCTGCTATGATGAACGCATGCGGTATCATTCCGAGGTAGCTGCTACTAGCGGCCAAAATGTCCATCCGGAGGATCCAAGACGCATCTACTACATCTACAAAGAATTGTGTGAAGCTGGTCTCGTGGACGACCCTAAGTATCCGCCATTCGTGGAAGTCCCTCTTCTACGAATTGACGCTAGGGAAGCGACGAGAGAGGAATGCTTACTGGTTCATACGCCAGTTCATTATGATTTTGTGAAACACACTTCAAGTAAGCTCAACCATGCGTGACCATTTTGCGGATAAGAAACAATATTAACAGGATGCAGCTTTGAGTGATGAAGAGCTCATCGACCTCTCAGAAGACATTACAATGGACTCCATTTACTTCAACCAGCTCTCATACTTCTCTTCCAAGCTCTCAGCTGGCGCAGCTATCGAAACTTGTAAAGCCGTCGTTTCCCGACAGGTCAAGAACGCAATCGCTGTTATTCGACCTCCTGGCCATCACGCTGAAGTGCACCGAACAATGGGGTTTTGCCTATTCAATAACGTCTGCATTGCTTCGAAGGTGTGTCAACAAGAGTTCGGCGAGGAATGTCGGAAGATCCTGATCGTTGATTGGTGAGCAATGGCTACATAATGACTTAGGATCGAATCACTAACGGCAGTTACCAGGGATGTGCATCACGGTTAATTCCAGCCTGATCCATGTAACCTCTAAAGCTAACTCGCACAGGCAATGGATGTCAGAAAGCATTCTACGAAGATCCGAACATCCTCTACATTTCGCTTCATGTACATATGAATGGTAACTTCTACCCTTCTGGACCAGAAGGCGACATGTACCACTGTGGTGCTGGGGCCGGCTTGGGCAAGTAAGTGACGGTTGTATCCTTTTGAGACAATATCAATGTGTTGACCACCAACTAAGGAATGTCAATATTCCTTGGCCCTATAAAGGCATGGGTGATGGAGACTATATGTATGCTTTTCAACATGTTGTCATGCCAATTGCCACCGAATTCGATCCCGACTTTGTCATTGGTATGTTGTACAACTCATTGTTTTCAGCCAGTTCTAAGTAGTCTCTAGTTGCATCTGGTTTTGATGCGGCAGCCGGAGATGAGCTCGGCGGTTGTTTCGTTTCACCTCCTTGCTATGCGCATATGACGCACATGCTTATGTCCCTTGCTGGTGGCAAGATTGCTGTCTGCCTCGAGGTTGGTCCATCTGTCTGACAATTTTGATCATCACATTGAAAACGAGACAGGGTGGTTACAATTTTACTGCCATTTCCAAATCCGCGCTCGCTGTCACTCGGACCTTAATGGGGGAACCACCGGATCGTCTTCTTCCAACTGCTGCCACCAACTCTGCGGTCGACACGGTCGCTAAAGTAAGAGCTGTGCAGTCACAACATTGGCGAAGCATATTTCCTAAAGGTAAATTTTGAAGGGAGAGGAAAGTGGTCTGGATCAGGTGCTGATTGCCCTTTGCTGTAGAATCGAGCAGTGGAATCTTCGGTGGTGAAAGATTACATGGTATGTCTCTCTCACATTGACAAGATACTGCGGACCATGTTTGAGCTTACATGTGTCTACCGAAGACATTATTCGTCAATGGCAAGCGATGCATTTGTATGACAAATACAAATTTACTCAGCTCCACATTTTCCGCGAGAACGTGTCAAAGTCGTTTGAACATCAAGTACTTGCGACGTGAGTCGTACAACAGCTCAGCTGGCTGGAAACGGACTACTAAAGAGTTGACCAGTCCTAATTACGAGACCAAACGACATCTTCTAATCATCTTCCACGATGCGTAAGTCGAATTCCTAGTCTAGCAGCTCTCGCTAGGATACTCATGGTCATCATAGTCCTGATCTTCTTGGTACAAATGCAAATGTCACAACTCAACAAAAGACTCATGATACATGGCTGGTACGTCATCACCTATACGAACCAACCTCATCCTCCATACCCTCATTGCCAGCCCATTACTCTTCATTCCCCATGTACATGTAAAAAAGATTGATCACTCATAAGCATTGGTGCCAAAAGGTTGACGGCACACAGTCGTACGTTCGCTGGGCCGTAGCGCACAATTTTGGTGTGATTGACGTCAATATCCCTGAGCTGATCACCGTATCTTCCGGGTCGTCAAGTCAGACTTTGAACGCGTACGAGGAAACCGAGATCGAATATGCGTCAACGATCACCGACCAAGCGAGGAAGGAGGGTGAGAAGTTGGCCGCCTATCTGTGGGAGAATTACGTCGAGCCGTACGAGTTTCCCGGGTTCATCTTCCTAATGGGTGCCGGACACGCATTCCATGCAGTAGCGAAATTAATCAGTGAGAACGGTATGTTATGTCCTGTCCTTGTCATCCCCGCAAACCAGTACCCTCTATCCTCTTCTCCTTTACCTCTTGAATGATACTTACCCGAGAATACTTCAGACTCAATCTACCAATCCCTCGCCGGAGTCATCGGCTTCATCTCGACAAACCCCATCCGGCCGGTGAGCAATCCCAACCACCCCTGGATATCGCAGTGGTACCGTGAGAACTCTCTGATCTACGTCTCTCACACGCACTCGCTCTGGAAGAAGGAGGGCCGAGCGTCGAAGCGATACGGCCACCTGATCAAGTCCGACGACACGGTCCTCAATCAGATGATGAAGATGCACGAAAACGAAGTCACGACTTGGATTCAGGAGAAGCTCGATCTGGATGGCGATGACAATGCGACTGAGAGTGACGATGATCAGAGTGCTGGTGACGGTGGTGTGGATGCCGCTGCGGCGGCCGGTGCCTTGGGTGAAAGTGATGGTGATATGATCGGAGACCCTGCTTTGTCGTTGGGAGCCGAGCCTACATTCGCCTCATCATCGCAGCAGCGCCAGGTTCTTGTTCCTATTGTGCCGCCTGTGAATGCTACTCTCGGCGATTCGACCGTTGCAACTATGTTGCCAGATGTGAGCGATTTGTTAATGTCTACGGAGCAATGAGGTTCGGGTTCCAGGTTCGGGTTTCAGTTACAGGGCTTTGTCCGAGTGTTAGCAGTTCTAGCGGATAAGGGAATGTGCTTCACGATTACGGCCACGCGTTGCAGAGTAAGGAATCGCAACTGGATGTGATGGGAATCATGGTTCGCGAGAGCAAACTGTTCTCTCTCTCTCAAGTGCTTGTGTATCACGCAGCTATGCTACGTGCGAGGCCAGATCCGCTGGTGTGGATTGCATTGTCCCAATCATCATAGACTGGCTTTCTCCGACGGTGTTTCCTCTTGTAAAGTTTGATTCTTTTCTTGTTTCCCAGCCTGAGCGCAAGTAGTAGTCGTAAGTAGCACTCATGCCGATGCCGATGCTGTTTCATCTACCCCGTCAGTGATTGCGCTATTGGAAACCCCCTCTTTTCGGGATTTTCCAGCTCCAAACTGCTGCTGCTTTGACTATTCTGTCCTTTCTCTTGTTGAATAGTTCTTTCCACCCCCCCTCCTCAAACTGCTGTGGAGGAATTCTAGGACCGATCGGAGCAATTGAGTGTGTGCTGACGCCCTGGCCGAGAATAGCAGATGTGGTGCCCTCATGTCTGGGGGGTAGATTGATCGTGGGTGGATTCATAGCAGGCCACGTAGGGCTTTTAGCCTACGGGTTTTTTGGTCTGCTTTAGTGTGTTGCTCAGGGTCGTACTCATCACTGGACTCCGCGGGATTGGTCGACGGTTTTGGCTGTCTTGAAGTCCGTCTAAGGTTTTTGCTCCAGCGGTCAGAGTCAGCATTGGAGCCTTGTGGCATCACAATCTCGGACGCACCAGAGCTTGTCGCAGTCTCAACAGTTTCCTCAGGCGGTACCAGTTTTGTTACCAAGCCGATGATCTGCGCCTCGCTAGCATCAGTCAACACAGAGAGAAGCACAGACTTAACCCATCGCTGTTCAGTTACTGTGGCGAAACCATGGATCCATGCTGAGGCCGCTCGGCGGGCGGGTCTAAATAGGTGGTGGCTTGCTAGATGTTCAACCTCCCAATCCTCGACGTCGAGCAGAGCTGCCTGCCGGGTCGCTGTTTTGAGTGCCAGCTCTTTGCTGGCAAGCTTTGCTTCCAGTTCCAGTTTCCTGGCTTTGATATCAGCGATTGCTCTCTCCTGTTGCTCAACATTATGTGAGCATTTTGCAATCTCTTCTTGAAGATCTCTGATATGAGCTTTTTGGCGTTCGAGTTTCGCCTTGGTCTTGACCTGATCTTGATCATTGGCCCGCAATTTCCGGCTCGTCTCCTCTATATCCCGGCGCTTCAATTCGATCTGGTCTGTATGATTCTCGAGTTTCCGCTTCGCCCCACGCACACTAGCAGCGAGATCTGAGTTCTGAGTTTGAGGCTGTATGTCCTCAGGTCGCAATGGCTCTGTCGGTGATTCGGCTTGCGGAGGGCAGAGTGTGAATTTGAGCGCCGGGCGATTCACGGGTTTGGCAGGAGGCAGTGCGTCAGACATTTTGATGGACAGATGTGATTTTACTGCGTATTAGATGATGGTCGCGAGTTGAAACTCTAAAAACTGACTGTTTTCCCCAACAGCGAAGACGGTCGATATTGTTGCGGTTGGTGCTCAACGCCTGAGATTGAAGGCGGCGAGAAGGTCGGGTGATAAGTGACTCAGGGTAGAGTAGCAAAGGGTATCTGGATGCTTCAATCCCAACGGAAGAGGTGACGTTAAAGCGAAATAATGTTTTAGTTGAAGGTGGGCTAAAAGTGTGTTGGACCGGATATGTCTCTTTCAATGCAGCAGGAATTGATGGCCAGCCAATGAAGAATCTCGTAGAAAGAAGATATGCGTATATCACTTCAGGGTTTCCAAGAGATTGTCAGATTGAAGAGACTTTAGAGTGGGTCTGAAGTGAAAGGAAGTAGTAACAACAGGTTGAGGACCACAACCTCACCGTCTGGCAGAACCCGGTTTCATTTGGAAATCTCGACTTCTCGTTAGCTCACGGAATGGTGTCGCGATACTCGCAGTGTCCCAGCCAGTTTACTCTCGAGCTCACACAAGCTGGCTCGTCTGTGTGCGAATCGAACCATTTCGGCCAAGCCATGGTTCTTAGAGCCACATCTCATTTCATGGGTTGGCATACATACCTGCATTTGCCAACTACGGAGGACATTTAGGCTTGCAGCATGCTTCCTATGCTTCCTAAGTTGAACACTCTTGGCATATGCTGCATTTATCAGCAAATGAGAGATTCTCAGAAAGAAAAGGGTAGTGAGGCCAGACCACCCAAAGGACAGCATGCATGATGAGTGCCGATATGTGAACCTAGAACATTCCTGTTCTAGCTTAGGCCGAAGAAAGCTTGCATAGAGTTAGGAGGTCGTCTTCCGAACTCAGCAGTGTCACAAAAGCGAAAATTGCTGGAGAGATGTTTGCTCAGCCTTGCCCTCGTCGTATCTCATGCTCTAATTGCGTAGTATCCGACACGAAACAGGTAATGAGCCGTGTTGTTTTCACGTATGAGTGCCCTGAAATTCATTCATCAGGATTTCTTCCTTCATAATTGGATGTCTGAGAAGGTGGACGAAAGATGTGTAGTCGACATAAAATAGTAGTCTAGCCGACGCGGGAACGCGTTCGCCTTTGCAAGAAGGTCTTTGGGAACTTCCGCAAAAATCTTCCCCCGAGCTCCGAAACATCCATGACAATCGCGCTACGAAACTTACTTTGGAAGCGCCAGGGACTCTCAGTCTTTCCCCAACCAAAGAATTATGTGCATCTTCCATCATTGTCTTCTGACCTTATCATTCTCCCAGCGTATGCCAAGATGCACCGCTCAATGACAAGATGTACGACCTGTCGGGTCTCAATCCTCGATGCGTTTACGTCGCTCGCCGGTGTCTCGATACCGGCCGCCGTACGACGACAACTACTCGTGCAGCCGCAAGTGCAGCCGGTACGGCATTTCAGCCAACTCAGGATACTAAGGCAGTCGTCCTCTCCCCCGGTATCTGAAACCTCAGATACGCTCCAGTCACCACCAGCCGCTGAGCAAGTCGAGCCTCAAACCTCGATTCCGTGGTATCTCCAGATCGAAGAACCTGCACCACCCAGCACGAACTTCTCCCCCCTCCTTTCCCGACAAGAGATCCCACCATTGCCAGAAAACCCACCTGTGATCCTGGCCCCAGTCCTCGAATACCTGTCTACCCAGGTCGGATTAGACGATCTCGTCTTGCTAGACCTCCGCCACCTCGATCCCCCACCGGCTCTTGGTTCCAACTTGATCATGATCATTGGAACAGCACGAAGTGTGAAGCACCTGAATGTCTCCGCCGACAGGCTCTGTCGCTGGGTCAGAAGGGAGTACCAACTGCGGCCGTTTGCGGATGGATTACTAGGCCGGAACGAGCTGAAGCTGAAGCTGCGGAGGAAAGCCAGGAGGCTCAAGTTGGCGCAGAGTGTCGGCAACACGACGGTGGAAAACGAGAGTGTTGATGATGGAATCACAACTGGGTGGATTTGTGTCAATATGGGCCAGGTTGACGTGGACCTCTCTAGTGGACAACATGGTGTGAACACCCCAGCTGTTGTTGTTGACCAGGCAGAAGGAGAGGAGGAGGAATATCACAATCCACCCGAGGAAGACACTTATGTGGGATTCGGAAGCCAGAGTAAAGCCCCTCGCATCGTGGTGCAAATGTTCACGGATGAAAAACGGGCCGATATGGATCTCGAGGGCCTCTGGGCAGGTCGAAACACACGACGAGAGCGACAGGCACAGCGCGCTGATGCGGCTTTTGAACGTAACGTCGTCGAAGATAATGTCGAGTTCGAGTCTACTTCTTTTGAGGAGAAGCAGTCTGAACAACGAGTTGGGAGGAAGGAAGTCGAAAGCTCCTGGAATGCGAGCAGGACTCTGGCAGATCGCGGTGGATGGAGGCCTTTCGACAACACAGGGAATAGGTGAGAATATGCATCAGATATGTATGATGTATGGCATATGTGGGTTGTTGCTGGTAGAAACGATGCTCTCTCTTTGTAGGCGGCTACTTTCCGCCAGTTGTCACGTTGATGTTGTTGCCATTGGTCGTGAAACCATAAGTCATGCCTCATGCCTCCTGCCCCGGGAATCTTATAACGCCCTGGAATGCAGCCGAAACCCAGACAATGTTGGCCTAGGCGGTTATTCAAAACTCGGACCTAACATGACCACACTGAACCTCAATTCTCCGCCACCCACTTGCTCCTCTCTCTTCAGGAATGATCTGACACCAAGCTCCTGGCCTTTTTCACTCAGTACATCATCCTCTGGTCCAAGTTTGCCTCTGTTCAGTGGTCCCTTCCTCCTTCCATCCAACTCCCATAGAGTTCCTTCTTTATCCTTGACAAAGGCCACAAAATGCAGATCCACAGAAGCCTCAGCGTCTGGAGCAGATGAGTCACCCTTGGCGGCGGCCGTGGCATGGGCAGCCTCAAGGGATTTGCTGTTGTACAGCAGATCTGCCCGATCGATGGCAGTAAGAGGGATGGCCTCGTTCAGAAGCTCGTCCAGCGCACTGCCTGGTGTAATGTAGTCTCGGGCACCCCCGTTGGTGATGGCATGCAATAAGCCAATGAGGCCGCACGCGTTGCGAATTGTCTGCTTGAACCACACTACAGGCTCATTGGGACCAGAGCCGGCGTAATCTTCCATGAACGAATCTTCCTGGACACGGAACTTCTCGTATGTATCTGTGACGGGGAATACAAGGAGGAGGGCAAGAGCCGGGCGAGGCAGGAATTCCAAAAGGCTAGGTTCGGTGAGAGAGTAGACATCGTGCCACTGAAGAGATTGGGAGAGGCCCAATTCATGAACCAGGCTGGTCATGACCTCGGGATTGTTCTCTAGAGGGATAATTTCAGCGTGAGATGGGATGAAGCACGGAAAGACACATACCCAGAGGCACAAACGCCTTCCTATCAGCAGGAACGTCAACGTCTGCCATTTTTTCGATACGCTGCGCCTGATCTTGTGCTTTGGTTTGATCTGATGAAAGGGTGAGATATCGAACCTGAAAAATGACGGAGACGTCTCCAATAATACACGCGGGGTGGGTGGCACTTTCCTCACTGGGCAAATACCACCAAACAGGCGCCTGCCTGCCTTGACGTCAAAGTGCCCCTCAATTGGCACATGGGGATCTGGATATGCAGGCACCCGCTGAGCCTGCAGCCGCACGTCGTCTTGGCACCACGCTTCTCAAAAAGCCCATGAAGAGGGATAAGCTCTCAAGTAACTTGAGCGGCTTCCAGGTACACATTTTCCTTCCTCAGGCACCTGGGTAGGTGCCTGCTCCGGTTAAGCAGGGGGACCTGGAGGGCATATCCGAGTTTGTTACCCGCCTATCTGCTCAACTCTACATCACCACGTAAGAGCACATATAAGCCTGTGAGTCATACAAGCTGGATCTTGCCAGCCTACACCTTTGCATTCGGCTGGCCCCCTGTCTCTCGAGCAAATTGCTCCATTGTCTTCCACTTAAAATACTTCTGATTCGGATTGATCGTCTCGTTATCGTTCCCCAGGCCGCCTTCATCTTTGTGCCTGTAGTTGATCCCTCCGTCCCCCATTAAAAACCTCAAGAATACAATTGCATCCCGTTCGTTATATGGTCGGCCTAAAGCCTTGTTTCGGAATCCTTCAAGCTCCACTGATCTCAATTCTATCGTTCCTGCACCGGCTTCCTCCATTGCTTCTGCTGTTCTGCGGAAGCTGGAATGAGTGCCGCCAATTCGCAGGTTCTGTGGCACCTTGTGTCCATCTAACACTTCCTTCGCGAGCAGACTGATTACTTTGGCAACGTCTCCTAGATCCGTGTAGCTAATGGGCCGGTCCAGGCTTCCGATTCCCTGGTATACATTCTTCGAGGTATGTAAGCCAAACCAGGGACCAATTCCAGCGTGCAAGAAGAGTCCAACGAAGAGTCTGCAAAGCAGGACTTCACTTCCAGCAAGTACCCTCTGCGTCAGTTCGAAGTGCTTCTTCTTGCCATCCCATTCGGGAATGCTGAAGTTATGGATTGTATGATCAACCCCAAATTCCGAAGGAAAGTATAACTTCACCGTAGTTTTGGGGAGGGCGTGCACTAAGTCATCACTCAATTGCATTCCAGAGGATGAGATCCTATTTTTCATGTTTAGCGAGTCGCTTCTAGCTGGGTGATCGCCCTATGGCATAAGGCGTTGGAACAACTTACGCGTTAATCAAAACATCGGCGCCCTCTAACGCATCCGTTAGCTCACCAATATCCCCTCCTTCATCCAAGATTCTGACTTGGGCCCCTAGTGTTTCCCATGCTTTGGTCCGAGGCGTATGCCGCCTTGAGAGCAGCACTAAACCCGGAGGCTGTGGGAAAAGGTCCTTTGAAAGAAAGGACTCCACAAGCCAAGTCCCCAAATGACCAGTTGCTCCAGCAATGGCAATAACTGGGTTGCGAGAGGAAGTTCCCATCATCGTCATCATCATCATCATTCAACTGAGGCCTTTGACAGTGACTTCAATCAATCGATTGTCATTGAAAGACAGCCGTGGCAAGTTTTGTGCTTCGGCATCAGCAATATGTCAGCTTAGGGCGTAATCGGTCTTTCCCGAACATCTACCAATGAATCTGTCAAACTGATAACGACCGAAGGGCGCAACCCAAATGAACGAAACAACTTAGTCACTTTCTCATGATCTGCCTCGATATTATATTGCCGCCGAATGGTCACCTTCACATTACCGCGGGTGAAGCGGTTGAATCGTTCAAATACGTATGTTAGTCCGGACAATTGTGCTTCCGGAAGCGGTTTTAGTTGTATACCCCTAAAGGATCGCTACCACTGATTTAAGTCTGGGCACCATATAATGACCCACCCGTGGACTTATGCATTAGGCATTGCCGCCAAGGCAACATATTCATAATTATCTACTCTATAGAATCATTAGCACTAAATTAATGTATCAATAGGGCTAGGACGCTATTTAGCTTTGAGCTACCTATTCCGTATACTAGAGAAGTAAACTATAGCTATTTATAACTTTTAATAAAAGAGAAGGACTAAAATAGAAGTAAGTAAAGAAAAGAAGGATAGTACATAGAGAAGTATTAGGGCTATAGAGCTAATAGAGCTATTAAGGCTTCTAATTAATTATTCTAGCGTATAGAGGTTGAATCGGCATGTATTCTCGCCTATCCTACAGGTTAGATAAAGGGGCAGGGCTGCGTTGCTAGGAGTTCTCTCTCTTCCGCCCCTTTTCTCTTCTCTCATGACTAAGCGCCTCGAGCCCCAATACACTAGAACTACTTATAATAAAGAGCACTTATCTTGTCAGGGATCGGAGGCCTACAAAGAGGAAAGAGGTGCTATCAACTAAACACATTGCACTATCAACGTAGACTCTACGTATAGAGAACTCCTACCGTCCTACGAGGTGTATGCGTAGAGTAGGAGCTATATATCTATTGCCCCTGGAGACTTGTGTCAGGAATGGTTGGCCTTACAAGCATATAGCTAATAGGTCCAAGATATCCTCGCACTTCGTGCGAGATCCTTAAGGGCCTACGGACCTATTGCCTGATATATAGGACGATTATAAAGTATATATAAAAGAACTACTCAAGTAGATTTTCTCTGGCCCTATTTCGGCACCCGTATTACTAAACTAACTACTAGCCTGATTATTTTCGTGTATAACGCGATGAGTAAATTTTCTGTGTTCTGATTCGTTGCGATTACTCGTAAACCACTAGATATTATCCATAGTCTAGGATAGATCTGTGACTTACAAATTTCAAAGCTGGGAGAAAGTCCCTAGTTTCCACCCAACATCCAGTCGTTCGTCCAACTCAGGCTTTCACACAGTCTCTGGTACAGGTTCAGCCCCGTTCAAAGCTCCCGTCGACTCCGCCGATGGACGAGGCTTTTCGATAATTCCCGTTGGAGTGGATCCACGTTCCGCTCTATGGATTAGCACTTGGGCCACTGTGGCGAAGACGCAGAAAGAGCTAACATTTCCTGAAGTCAGCAATGCTCCATAAAAAGGTTTGATTTTGATTGCGTGTCGTGCAAGAACTTACACAGCAATGATGCACCACGACTCAAGCGCGTATTTCAACGTACATGAGTGAAGACCGCCGGGTGAGTGCTTTGAGCATGAACTCTTGTTATAGTCTTCGGCTGCGAAGATGAACGCTGTCACCCAGAGGTGGGAGTAGATATAGTCCAAGACGATCAGGTGGACCGTGAAGCGTCTGTAAAACGCCAGCGGCATCGTTGGCAAGAAGAAACCAATGCTGGTGCAAGCGATGATCTCTTGGAAAGTCGTATGGCCATCCCTCTTATAGTTGTGAATGAAATCGGAAGCAATAGCCATGACAATGCAGGCACTGGACCATTTGATGAAGTTCAACAAAAAGAGAAGGATCCTAGGACGAGAGAATGAGGTCGTGGACGAAGCCTTTGGAGCCTCAGGGTCAGAGAATCTGAAACCACTGCGGAACCTCATTGTTGCTCGATATCTGTTGGTGCTTTTCTGTTATTGCACTGTGCTTCAAGAAGGTACTATTCAAAAAGGTACAACCGCTAGGTGCAAGGAGATAGACCCTGGAATTAGTGAGGAGCGTCTTTACCAAGGAGATACTGAGGATTTATATACACGCTGGTGCAGTCAGAGACCCCCTCTCACGACGGCACGACATTATACGACCGAGTTCGTCCCACTTTTCAGCTCCTCGGAATGCTGGCGGATGTGCCACCTCTCCCACCTCCCTCATTCCATTTCGGTGCGATCGACTGGCTGGCTGTGGCATCAGGGGACAACTATCACGAGAGACCTGGACTTTCTACACCTCCTTGTGGAAATGCGTGGTCGAATTCTCGTCCTCGTGACATACCTACGTGCCACATAGCCCAAGTCTTCCTAAGCATAGAACTGAACTTACAGTTCGGAGGAATCAAAATGGAGAAGACGGCTCTCATCGACAAATGTTGGACCTATCGGAAACGTTTGTATGCAGCGGCACGCGTCGAAAATCCCGCCCGGGGTTGTTACATACAAGCCCGGATACACCGGAATTATTTTCAAAACGACATCCTTGTAGGCGTTTAGAATGAGTTGTGTTACGAAATGACCGTTACTTGCGAGCGCCAAATATATGCATGGCAATTTTGATCCCTTCGAGTCTGTTGGGGCCCAAAATTTGGCTCTTCAGTTCAGCAGATGCGGCTCAATCTTCCAGGAATCGAGATGTTAACCTGAAGTGGTTCAATTTATGCTGATCTTTTGAATTTCGTTTCCAGATGCTCTTTATTACTAGACATTAAGGTTCAATACCATTGATCTGCTATAGAGAGGTATCCCGTAGCAAGAGAAGCAGCTGACGTGTCGAGATTGACGTTGATATAACGAAAGGTTCAAGGGTTTTCAGGGATCCAATGCATTAGACTACCAGCAGGGCTCTGGAGCCGGGGCTTACTCTGGCTGCCTCTGTCCACCGTAAGGCATAAGCGTCCTGAAGAAAATCCTGAGATAAGACCTTCATTTTTCGCTCGTTGCATCCTTTTTCCGTTCTGAAGCTCCCTTAAACTTGGTACTCAAGTCTCCGGTGGGAAGACTGAATGGAAAGTCTACCGCTGACAAGATCATTCCCAAGAACAAATACCAACCAAAGACACAAAAGACGAATATGAATGCTCCTGCAGCCTGATGTACTAGTCAACTTCAACCCACACGCGACAATTGATAGAAGTCAAAATGCCAAATTCGGAGCCAGCACAATACTGGTTCAAGACGACGAAAGTAGATTAATTGGCTTACCTTTTGACATTTTCCAGCAGTTGCGGTCTTGCCCTCAGCAAGTGACCAGTACGTTGCCATGAGCAAGATAAATGCAAGATCGATGAAGACGAAAACCAGGACAAATACGAGATTAGTCCGTAGAGAAGCTATCAAGAAGAAGAAGGTCACAAGGGCCATGACCATCCAGAAAAATGCTAGAAAAGCACTGTCATCAGCACAGGTCGAGTGTAGTCAACCCGGAGGAAAGGTGGCTAACAAAAGCTTGAGTAAAACTGCGCTGTGTCACCAGCCTTTGTGAAGTAAGATTGAGCCTCATACGTGGGGGTGAGTGTGACTCCCATTGCCAGCCAAAAGGCCCCTGAAGAAAACAGGCGTCAGCAAGTTACTTTTCAACGTCGCCCATTCTCAATAGTCGTGAAGTGGTTAAATCTACCGTAGCAAGCGAAGACCACAAACGGAAATGTGTTGCCAAGGATCCATTCTAAGACACTTCCAAGAACTTGGAGCATACCACCAAAGAAAAAGAAAAGCCCTCTTGATGAGCATTAGTAGTTCGCAGTTAATGGCCAGAAGCGGCAAAAAAGGCGAACTTACATGATGGCAGCGCCGTCACCTCCGGAGCCTCGCCAGCCCATTAGATTACATCCCAATGGCATAGATGCAATCAAGAATCCCATAAGTGGCCTGTGCAACTGGTGAGTGGAACACGCTCCCAGACAGGGCCTTCACAGAAAACTCACATGGGAGTAGGGTTACCAAACGTGCTGCGCAAATGTCCGAGCCTTTGTGTGTAGGGAGTAAGGTACATCGACTCGAAGACTTCCCTCGGAATCACGACGCTTGAAGCCGTCTGATAACTTGTCAAATAACCATTCTCCTGGTCAGATATATTGTTATTTCCCTGGGGAGCTGAAAAGTCATTCTTGCGGACGCCGCTTGTGCTACCATTGACCTCCTGCCCGTTCGTTGCCGCCATCTTGAGTTGAGTGTGTACTATACGCAGGCGTAAATCGCTCTACTTGAACACCTTTGCTATCGATGAGGACAGCGTGAGGTCGTTTTTCTCCGCCCAGAGTCTGGACTTTTATATAGTAAATATGTTAAAACCTACTACTTCGTTTCTCCTTTTGACCGACGAGACTACTGCCGACCTCCTGGACAACGATGATTTCAGAGGAGGCACATGATCCTCTTTCGCCTTGAACGGCACACCCGGCATCAAGATCCAACAGTCTGCTTGAGTGTGCGCTACCTAGACTTGACACTGCACTAGGTTTACCCCGACCCCAGCTCGACTTCCGGTTTCTAGTGTAGCTTTTTAGGGCTAGACATACTCTGTCCAAGCTTTGAGCTTATCCGCTATAACCGTTGCATCCGGTCAAGTGGAAGACCCCATTGCGGAGCCTCGGAAGGAGCAATGACCTATTGCAGCAGGCAGGAGCTATAGTAGGGGTTACGTGGCTAGGTATCTTATCTGCTATTCCGCAGTGTATAGCTCTCGTACTAATACCATACACAGTAACCCCTGAGTCTCGTACCGTACTTTTCAGCTCACCCCATTCACCTACCTCTGCTGGCTTGACTACCCTTTTCCAGCATATGAAGCTCCTAGCTCGCCTTGTAACCTTCCCAACTTCGAAAGAGACCCGACCCAGGCGGCGAATGTTGTCCCCGATGGGCAGGGACCACGTCAGATTGAAACAGGATCGAAGCCAACTCGAGGAAACCTCGCTTCGCACAGACCGTAACTCTTTGGATCCTGTGAACTTGCTAGGAAAGTCTTCTTCTCAAAGAAGCAGCCTCCTTGACCAATAAGCTCTTGTTGTCTCCAAGACACGAATCGCTGATTCGTTTACGTGTCTCTCAATTCTACGGCAACGCGGGATAACCTATGCAAATCCGTTCACCATTTCCGACAAATAGCACCTTTCGATGTTGTGGAATCGATGCAGATCATGCCACTACTGTTCAGCGATGCCTTCTTTCTTGCCTGCGGGCACCCGATATATCACAGAAACAGCGCCGTCCAGCTGCATTGAACAGACTGACGGAGTTTCAGATGGACGTACACTGGGAAAACCTCTGCGTGAAGTGAAGGACTATGAGACTGAGTTAAAAATTATATCTTTTAGTTCTCCATTGTATAAGGAGGCATTAGCAGTGACAATCTAGGCGGCGCTATCCTTGTCCTGGAACTAGCATAGCTTTAGGCCTGTTCTAGCTGGAAGAGCAAGAAGATAGTAGTAATGATAGAATAAAGCTACTTTAACCTAGCTTAACGCATATATATAACCGCATAGAACCAGGAAGATATAAGTTAAACGAATTAATTTCCTAGTCTAGATAAGTAGCTAGAGCGATTATGGGCACTAAGTTCTTAGTTTTATTATATTGGTAAAGGTTTTATTTCAAATAACTTGAAGCGCAATTCACAACATCAAGGGCTCAACGCCAGCTATTTCCACTGGCCCAGGCTGGAAAGGCGCCAACCGGTGAATTTAGCCTCGCCTCTGATTCGGTCCTCGATTGCGGCGATTTGAGTCTGGTTGACTCCTCAGAAGAAGGCCACATACCCATACATGGACCTGAGAAAATATCACCGTCTCTCCAGGAGTATCGTACTCCTCGAGTGAATGGTGCCAACATGACAGATCGTGGTCTACAACTCAGACTGGTGGGGTTTTGCCGTTGGAGTGAGTGTGCCTGGGTTGACGAGCAATCGATTGTTGCATTGGCAGATGTCTCTCTCGCCACTAGCAAGCATACGCCTTCCCACAGCTCGCCTAAGGTCTCTTTACACATCTCCATGGTTCCATGAACGGAGACCCAGGGTTGTGAACTCCAAATCGCGAGCTTCTATCCTCTCCTTCGCACTAACCCTAGCTGCCTCACCCATATCTGGAAGCTCTTTTCCTGATGCTCACGAGTTCACAACGGCCAAAGACCTCAAATGCTCGAAGTGAATCATCACAGCCGGGATGATTCGAGGAACACTAAGATCAGAACAACGTCACATGTGGCGGGCGTCACTGCCGAACAGGGATCTCAATTCCGTGCAACACAAACTCGCACGACTATTTGATTTGTTTCACTTATTAGCTCCTTGACTTGACCGAGATAGAACAGCAGCTGCGAAAGCCTTTGAGCGATACCCAAGCTACTCAAGAATTCTGTGCTTGCTAGCATGTCTAAGCTAGACAGGGAACTTCGCATATCCTAGCCCGGAGGCATAACACCTTGGCACTGCAGTTGGAGGTGGTCGAATGAGGCTGAAAACGGTCGTCTACAAGCTGTACCTCGTAGGCGAGGTTCAAGACCGAGTTGAGCCAAGGCACCCGAGAAGTTGAAAGACTTTTTGTCGGTCTCCACGGTATCCTCGTCCCCAAATGAATTGACAAAGGTGCGTATCGCACACTGCGGCTATTACTAGCACCCGACCTATAATGCAAAATTTGGAGCAGTGAATGGGCTAGTTCGAGATTAGACGTCTTGTGCGAGTCGCACCTCCAGCCAACATGCCGGACCTTCGATATTCAGCTTTGTTGACCCACAAATATGACCATTCACAAGGACCTAATTGAGCTACATTGGCAAGTCTAATTAGCATGAAGAACAACAATATTGACCATTTTTCCTACAACAAACAGTCCCAACAGCTTGTGTGTGGAGAGTTTGCACATTTCAAACTCGGGGGTGTCTAGGTGCACGAGGATGAACAATCTTCCTAAGCTGGATGCACCCATTTCGGCCTCAGCCAAAACATGGACACATGCATGGGCGAGTCGCTCGTGCACTATTTGTGAGTTAAACGACACCAAGAAGGCTGAAAATGCATCTCTTTTTGGGCTTCCACGCTCTGGACTGCTGCATGTTCTTTCGCCACCTAGAATGAGACCAACCAATCCCAGTCAAACCGTTGCACTACACACGCCAGCGGGGTAGCTTTCATTTGCTCTAATGCACGCTATGGGAGCTGGCGTCGGCGTCCACATAGCTCTCGGGCACAATGGCTAACTCGGTACCTTTGACTATGCGGCAAGAGATCTATCAGCACGGCAGCCTGGCAGTCACGCAACTTGCACAATTACCTCTAACCTGGCAAGCTTCTTGGAACCCTTCAGTCCCTGCATTAACAAACAAGGGATGCTTGCGACACTAAGATGGGGCTGCAATGTGGTAGCCCAATTGAAGATCTCTATACACAGCATGCCTTCACAGCACCCGTTGCGCAACATCTCTGGGAGTCCTTTCGCCTAGGGCTGGTGTCGTGTTTACCACCCCGCTGTTGGGGCTAAATTGAGAACAACGATGGCTATAAGATCAGCATGGCCCGTTCTTCAATCGCCATACTGCTTGAGTAACTTCAGCCCATAGACCACTGATCGATCATTCTGTGTCAAGATGACGGCCAAATTTCTCAATCTTTCACTCATTAATTTTACGCCTTACACATGGACTCGAGCTGGGCTGTCCGGAGACTACGGGTTGGACCTGTGGGATTTTCCGTCATCTATACCATCCGGTTCGCAAGAATGAAGAGACAAATCTTAAATACTTTCTAATCCATCAGTCTAGGCGGGACGTATGATGCACAAATTATCGTTGATATGGATCCTGGCTCAACACCTTCAAAAGCAACTGGGTCTTGGGCATTCGGCTGGCATGATGATGATACACATAACGCTGCGAACCTCGTAGCTAAAGTGTCTAATAACAATGCGGACAAGGTTGTGATAAACGCAGAGCTTATTAATATCGCCACGATCAATAATAAGCAGGGCTCCACTGTCGAGATCGAGCTGAAGGACAATTCCTGGTCTCCGTTCATCCTTGTTGGTGACGAAAATCACCTAGCTGGGAACAATCTCTCGTCCGACTGGATGAACGACAACCTTCCCTATATCGGATGCTTGAACCTTCAACAGCTCACCATTCCCGGCTCCCACGACGCTGGAATGTCGGAGATCAACTACCCAGCAGGAGGCAACTCCGATAATGCTCAAACTCAATCCATGGGCATCTACAACCAGCTTGTAGCAGGTGTTCGGTATTTCGATATTCGTCCCACGATCTCACACAAACAATTCTACACCGGCCATTATTCGAAAGCCGCTGGCACAAACTTAGGTGCCAACGGACAATCGATCGCCGACGTCATCTCAGATATCAACCGATACCTCTCGTACAAGCAGAACGAATTAATCATTCTTGAACTCACTCACAGCTCTTTTACAGATGACGATTACCAGCCCTTCAGCGATGCACAATGGAACAATCTCCTTTTGCAGTTCTATCAAGACCTCGACCATCTGTACACCGGCCACGGTGAAGACGTCCTCACCACAATCCCCCTTTCAGAATTCATCAAGGACGGCCCTGCGGTGGTGGTCCTCACGAATGAGCGAAGCATGGATTTCCTGCGCGACCACCATTTCCTCAACCGTGGCTTCTTCTCCAGCCAGGGCGGCTCGAACCAGTTCCCTAGCTACAACTCGTATTCCAACACCAACTCACTCAACAAAATGCGCAAGGACCAGTACGACAAGCTCGTCGAGCAGAACGGAAACCCGGACAGCAACGACCAGGTCCATGTGCTGTCCTGGACACTGACCCAGGACGTAGCGACGGATATCCTCGGCGGTGGAGCGGGCATCAGAGATCTCGCGAGGGTCGCGAATGGTCATCTTGCCCAGGTGGGGAGTAATGTTCCCTACACGGGACCGGTTTCGTGGGCGGCGAAGACGAAGCCGCCGAACATCATTCTCATCGATGATGTATCCATGGATAGGTTTCTTGTTTCTCTGGCTCTCGGCTTGACGAGGTTTTATAACAAGGCGTGCTCGTGAAAGACAGAATGAGGGCTGCTTTGGGAACGTTCTTAATAATTTTATGCATACATTACCCTGTGCTTTAGCAAATTACAACACCATCTTATCAAATCAATCAAAGGAAAATTGTTCGTCTCCCTGATCACCTCCCTGCCTGGCTACGAGTAGCACTTGAAGTTAAATATCGCCGGCTTCTTGCAATTGAAGCGACCTTAATTCAATGTAATACATTTTCTCATCCTGGCGTGCACCGCCTTCACTTCTCGAGTCAATCATCAGTGCAAATAGAGCTTTCCTAAGCACCAACAGGGATGTCGTAGCCCATGCACTGTTGATAATCATGTATCATACCGTAGTCACTCAGTCCGATGTAATACGTGGAAGCTGGTCATTTCCGACTACTGTATTCGCCAAAATGGGAAACGGGAGAGCTGAGTTCCTTCGACAGCAAGATACGCATGATGAAAGCAGCTTTTGAGCATCGAGTAACATTTTTGCGGAGTTGGCCCGAGATAGTACTGCTTGATAACAGTCAGCACATGTCAAACTGGAGGCTCATCGACGAAATTAAAGTCCTGTTCTAAGCTACTTTAGTCATTGCCAAGCCCAGAATTTACCCTAAACCACATGCTTAGCTCCGGGATTCAGTCTTGGCAGGTTTGACAGGTTTGGCGTGCGGGTTTGCCTCAGATCTCATCAGATGCAACTTGCAGGACCACCAACTCTGCTACTGATCAAGCCGTTTAGCCCTTTGTGCTAATTCACTGATAGACTATGTTGACGTAATTACGCAGTCAACATGGCACTCTTTTCGGACTCTGGAAAACATACGGACAACAACTTAAGATGGCGGCATTCGTTCCTCGACAAGCCTACCCGCACCTCTCTTCCATCCCGCGATCCTATTACTTGGGACACCATGCCGCTGGACTGTCTAAGATGAGATCAATGGTCGCTTCCATTGACCTTGTTATCGAATGTCGCGACTACCGGACACCAGTTGTCTCTCGAAATCCATTATTCGAGGCGAATTTGGGCGAGAGACCTCGATTGATTGTCTACACCAAACAAGACCTAGGAAGCACATACTCGCCCGAGGATAGGAAAAGAGAGGCTATCATCAAAAAATGGGATGCACCATCTACGTCATTCTGTACCGACATCAAGTCTCGAAATACTATCAACAAGGTACTTGACTTTGCGCGGGCCCACGCAGACGCTTCACACTCTTTATTTGGCACTCGACTCATGGTCGTGGGGATGCCTAATGTGGGCAAGTCTTCGTTGCTCAATGCCTTGCGCAATGTGAGCCTGGGTAAAAAGAAGGCTGCAAGGACAGGTGATCAACCAGGGGTAACACGGAAGATTGGAACCAGTGTTAAAATCATCGATGGCAATGACGGACGAGAAGGCGTATATGTTCTTGATACGCCGGGTGTATTTGTGCCCTACGTGCCTGATGCTGAAAGTATGCTCAAACTGGCGCTCTGCGGCAATGTGAAAGACACCATTATTCCGCCTACAACTATTGCCGACTATCTGCTCTACTACCTAAATTTGAACGACACCAAGCTCTACCAGTCGTACTCTAATCCAACAAATGACATCTTCGAGGTCCTAGAAGGACTTGCACGGAAACAAGGACGGCTCAAAAAGGGTGGAGCTCCCGACTTCGAGGCCTCGGCGTTGCAATTCGTCCAGAAATGGCGAACTGGCGAGATGGGACGTTTCATTCTCGATACTGTGACGGAAACATCATTGGCCGAGCGCGCGGAAGAATTACATCTATTGGGTGGCAGTATGAACCAGGCACGCAAAGCGGTTAAACAACTGCGAAAGGATGCCTACTTGACACGAGCCTGAGCGGGTGGTCTCCTCTTCCTATCCACCCTTCGGAGAAACGCGACTTGGATGTTAAGAGGTGCCGTCCACTGACCGAGCTCGTTTCTCAGAGATATCTGAACAAATGTTTAAGATTGCAGTGACAATATTCTTACACTTGTCTAGCACACAATGAAGGCCCCGTCGCACCGAAGATGCGTCAATTCCAATGCCATGGGCGTCCTCCTAACGGCGGATCCGGAAGGTGTGTGCGACGCCTAGCGCACCGAACTCTATCCTAGCTTCATGTCGTGCATGGCAGCAGTGGTTTCATGGGGCAGAGCCAGACTATGATAGAAAGCAAGTCAGAAAAAGTCGCGTCCCGCGCCCCTAACACATTCTCACTCTTTTTCCACTAGCACTCCTCTCCACAGCAATGCCATACCTGTCAATGGGGAAACAACGCCTCCCAAGAAAAAAATAAAGAGAAAGCAAAAACAATCAACAGCCAGGATTCCCAAATGGTCACCCACTTCAGTACTAACTGACCGGCATGTGGCTTAAGTACGGCTGAGCGAACGGGAAGCCCTGTTCTCCACATCCTATGGTCGATTGTGGAAGAACTTGTTGGATGTCTGGGCTATGTACGGGATGATATTGCTGCTCAGAGAATAGAGTGACAGAAGAAAGGGGAGGTGCTGACCCGGGCGGCCGTTCACTTCTTGAATGCCGAAACTATACAAGAACGGCACTTTTTGGCTCTTTGATGCCCCTAACTACCGAGGTGCGCTCCGCAGTTTCTACGAGACGAAGTCGACGGTCATCCTCAAAATCTGTTTATACATACTGTAACCGTACGATATCAGATAAAAGTCCTAATGTCAGCCCATGAGCCTGTCTAGGCCCGGGAGTATTCATGTTAGATCCTTCGTCTGTCCATCGACTGGGTTCCTATGCTGGGTCGACCGATCGACAGCCAGCGAGAAACATAGTGAAAACCTACCACCGACTTCATTCTCACACTGTGTCTCATTTAACTTGATCTCTAATCAGATAGATACATCGACTTCTCTTGGTAGACAGACCCGGCTGCTTTCTCACGCAAATGCAAATAAGATGGATTACAGCGGGCTCTCTCTCCCTCCACCGCCTCTGCATTTCTCTCATCGTCCATCTTTCTCCTGGATACATAGGAGGTCTTCTGTCCTGCCCTTGATTCAGTGATCTTGCTCCTGTCGCATCGATCCAAACAAAGACCAATTAATTGTGTTTGGCCATCCCACGAATGACATCACATTACGATGATGCATCGCCAGCATGAATTTCCCAAAACAGACCACCTGCCTTCTCCCCCTCATTCTGATTCTGATCTCAAGGCCCGTCCACCACGCCGTCTGGCAGTGTCCAAATCCTGACACCGCCCTCATCGCCGGTGGAAACGACGACCTCTTCGCCATCGAACCTGCGCTCTTTATCCCTGCGCACAGCCCAGCAGACATGGTTGACCTCGAACTCATCGTGCGCGGCCTCGATGAGCGCGACGACGATCCACTTGGTCTTGTGCAGCTTGTACGGCTCCGCGGGCTGTGCAAGGGCGTGGTCTTCCGCCTCCTCGGCGCTCGGATGGTGCGGTGTCACGCCGTTCATGTCGGTATCTTCCTGGTGCGCGGCAGCATCCGTTTCAACGACAGGAACTTCCTTGTAGACAGCAATCGTGCCGTCACCGCCGCAAGTCACGACCAGACCCGTGTTGCGAGACCAGTCGACGGCGTAGACGCTGCGTACGTGCACCTCCGGCAGGATCGCCTCCTGCTTCCAGTACTCCATGCTGCTCATCGGCCGGATCACGCTGGGTAGGCGGGAGCTGGCGAACCCCATTGGGATGGAGCTGTCCATGGATGATGGTTGTTGCATGCGGTTCTGCTGCTTTTTCGCTTTCTCTGCGTCGTTGAGCTCGCGTCGGAAGATCCGCACTGTGAGGTCATCGGAGCACGAGATCAGGCGGGGTTCCCAGTCGTTTTCGAATTCTGTGATCATTGCTTTTTGATCTACGCTCGGTGGTGCACTGGAGTCCTGTAGCAGCACCAGGTCGAGTGTAGAGTAGTTGATGTGTGGCTCCCATTTGACGTCCCAAACGGTGCCTTTGTGGTCGGTGATGACGCCGACACAGATCCAGTCGCCTTCCTCCTCAACATCGCGCCACAGTCGGATCGTGTCGTCGTAGGAGCCACTCGCGAGGATGTCGCGTGACCCGAGGATAGTGTCGTCGTCAGTGTCTGTTGTCCCCAGCTCGGCCTCTGGATAGCTTCGGTCAGCTAGTGCTGCGCCATTAGTGTGCGAGTCTCCCTCAGCCATGTTGATGTCCCCATCGTTGGCAGCTCCGTTGGCCAATTTCCGCCGCTTCGCTTTCCTGCCACTGTCGCCAAGAGGGTCGCCTTTTCTTGCGCCTGCGCACCAACTGACGCATTTGACGTCGCCGGTGTGCTCGCTTAAGACGGCGATTGTTTCCCACTCCTCGGGCTCGACTTCCTCCCAGATCCAGACGGATTTGTCTCGCGAGCTCGTGGCCAGCCAGTTTGCAGGGTAGTGGGGAGGTGCAAAGGCGATCGATTTGATCTCTGAATCTGGGCCGGTCAGGAGGGTGGAGAAATGCCATTCCTCGTCGTCCTCGTCCTGGTCTTGCTCGTCATTTGTGAGGTCTGTTGCCAGATCGTCCGTCATTGCGCTGTCGTCGCCTACTGCTGAGCTGCTGCTGTTCTTGTTCTTGCCATCTCCATCCCATGCCTGCAGTTCATCATTCTGTTTGCCTTGGAAAGATTCCTCCTCCTCGACATCCTTGAACCGCGCCCATCGGCGGTCATCGTTCCAGACCCACACCCCAACGTTGGCATCGAAGCTGCCTGTGCCCAGCACGACGGGTTTTCTCTCGGACCGAGGTCCTCTTGCCGCCCGCCCGAAGTCCTTCCAGTCGACGGTGCGGACACTGCGCTTGTGACCGCCGCTGACGGTGGACACGAGAGAGAAATCTCGCAGACTCCAGACGTTGACTGTCTTATCTGCAGAGGCTGTCGCCAGCAGTGGTGTAGACGGGTCGGGATGTGAGGTGGATTGCCATGACCTTGTCGGCCCCGATGTGGATGGGTGGAGGGTCCTCAGGAGACACAGCGAAGGCGCTGGTGAATCTGGCGGGTTGGCCATTTGATGGGGGGCCCTTCAATGCCGGAGAGGGGGGAAGTAAGGGTTTGTGAGGCAAGACAAGGTGGCGGATGGAAGGGGAGTAAGAGAGGGTGAAAGGTCATCGAAGATGCATCAGAGACAGATCAAGATCATAGAGGACAATTATTTAGAGGGAGGTTTTGTCCTTCTGCTTGTCTGAAGGCTCTGGCAAATTGGTTTCATTATCGGGGAACTTTTCTCACGATTAAGCGAGAGCTCGGATTGTGGTTTGTAAGTTTGTACGGAGTAACAGATCCCTGGAAGTGACGTCGGCGGGGCGGAATTTCCATTTGCCTTAAACGGCCAATCGTTTGGGGGCCATTTCCCATCAATAAATTATATATCTTTTACATATGATACACAGCTCTAGGGTCGGTAGGAGAGTGGAGGGGTGTCTCTATGATTCACGGGCCTTGTTCCTCTTGTTCCTCTTCCTCATTGCTCATTTGGTCCCAAACAAACGGTCCCAGATACCCGCCGAGGCGTTCTTCTTGAGGGCCTCCCTTTTTCGCTTCTGATTGTTGCTCCACCAGAGAGCACTAACAATCCCTACAACCATACCAAAAAGGTGGTCCACGTAGGCGATGGTCTTGGTCGGACGGAGTGCCCCAACCAACTGCATGGCACCCAGACATGTCAGTAGAACACCACCGCTGAGGTTGAGCTGCTCAGTCCATTCCCTAGGTAGGAAGATGATCGAGAATTTATTCCTGCCAGCAGTGTTAGCTGCCCATAGGCTTCTGAAGTATTAAATGGAAAGATTACTCACTCTGAATGAAGTGTAAGATATGCAGACACGACGCCAAAGACACCTCCACTGGCTCCCAGCGTCGTCGTGACGAATACCTTCTGGACCGAGTATCGTGCTAGACTTACGAAGCCTCCGATCAGACCAGATGAGAGAAAAATGGCCAGGAAAGCGCCTCTCCCGACTTCTTCATGCAAAGGAAGTCCAAAAATGGCCAACGGGATCATGTTCATTGCCAGATGCGAGAGTGTCTGGTGGCTGAACATGCTTCCGAGGAGACTCAAGGCGTACGGGTAGCCAGGGACAGTGATGAAAAATTTGTTGAGAAGCTTCCAACATCCTGGCCATCTCCAGGCGAAGAAAACCGTGATATTGAGGCCAATAATCGTGCTGATAGTTGCCCAAGATAATGACACAGTAGGCATGAAGCGCTCCGACTGCTTCGGTCGCTCCCAGTACTGCGACAAGAGGTAGCAGCCCGACGTCAGCACCGAGACGAGAATGAACGACGGCATGAGCCGCCTGAGGGCCGACTGCTGCGCGATCTCCGGCGAGTCCATGGTCAACTTGGACTGTGCTCGGTTCCTCGCCTTCAGCCTCCACTTCTCAAACTCATTCGGTGGTCTCACTTCCTGTGTAGAGGTAAGACCTTGGTCCGGCCGCTGTGCAAGCGCTGTAGTCTGCTCTTCCCGAGCCTTGGCCTGTTGTATATCGATCTGCTCTTGCATTTCTCGTTCTTCTCTCTCCGCTTCCGCCAGGTTCTCGGCCCGCATTCGATCCAGTTCACTCCGACCGTAGACATCGCCATCTCTCTCGCTCAGCTCGGCGTGGTAGTGGCCACTTTGGGGGCCACGGTATAAGCCCAGGTCTTGCCCTCTTTGCATTAACTCCGACGGATTGTCCTTCTCCTCGGGGTCCTCTTCTCTTTCAATCCGCGCCAGTATGGCCGCGTCTTCGTCAATAGGAAACGCGTCCCGGAGAAACTGGAGACCGTCCTCCACTGCATGTGGGTAATCTTCCAGCTCTGTTTCCAGGTCTGGAGGCAGTGGGAGATCTAACGTTCCGTCTGTACGCCGTCCGTGCAAGACTCGTAGCAGGCGATTTCCTAACCTTTTGGAAGGGGGATCCCGACCAAAGATGGCTTCAAGTTCTATTTTGTCAATTTCCCCATCTTCGAATTTCAAGCCCCGCTCAGTCTTGTTATTTGCGCCATAGGGTTTGAGAATCTGCAGCGCAGTAGATGTGCGGAAGCTGACTGGGGTGGATTGGGAGAAGGTTCGCCGCTGGAACTCATTAACGCTCAGATGAGATGCAGGATCGTACCATCGAGGTCTTATATAGAGACGCCGCAGGATCGACGCGGGTGAAGAGAAGGAAAAGGGTTGGAATGTTCGAGTTGGAAGTTGAAATGATGAGAGGTGCAAGCAGTTGCTTGCTGAGCGCAATACTACCGTTCCGGCATTGTGCATCGCCTCTATCGGGCCACAACCCGTAAAAACTTCACCGTGCGCAACGGTGTTGGTCCTGATAAACTCAAGATAGTGGTCACTTTGTTGCTCTGGCAAAAAATACGAATAAATCTATGACATGGCGATGTCAGGTGATGGCTGATCACGTGAATTATTATTTTTGGTTAATGAAGCAAGTCGAAGATTCGCCAGTTTGTCTTGCCCTCTGGAATAATCTCTCATTCAACTTCGTTTCTTCTAATTACCTAACAATGTTCTGGATATAGAATAATCATCTGCCCGAATTACATCGCATCATTGGGCTACCTAGTCTGGTATGCTTCAATCATAACTCTTTCCCATATACTTGGCCGCCACGTCCTTGTCATGCCCAAATACCAACTTCGCATCAAACAACCTCTGCAGCCTTTGAATCATCTTCAGTGATTTGATCCAGGCGTTATGGTCACGCGCAAGCCAGCCGTGCGGATGGCTCAGCTCGTAGTTCTCGGCAATGTGAAACTGATCTGTCGTCCAGATCCAAGTCCCGCTGTTCTCCAGATTTAGCTGCATCACCACAAGGCCAGGTGTGTGTCCAGGGCTATGGTGTAGTGTGATGCCTTGGTACAGGTCCAGGTGGTCTTCGGTGAAAGTTTGCCATTTCAATTTGTCGAGGCTCCTGCGAACGGTCGAGCTGTCAGTACTCTTTCGGGGCTATGTATGGAATAGAGGACGACTTGGTACCGCCTCAGCTGGGAACAGTCGTGCGCCGCGGCATGAGCAAACTGACTTATTCAGTGGCAGTGAGACTTACATATAGCCTGGTAGATAGACGCCAAGGTCAGCACCGGTAGCAACAGCCCAGCAAGCATGCTTGAACTCCTCTTCATGCACATAAATTGGTACGTCAGTACCCATGAAATGCTCAAGCCCGCCAGCATGGTCTAAATGTAAGTGACCAATGACAACCGCTTTAACGTCTTTGATGTCGTTGCCAGTTGCTTTGATCGCCGCAGGGAGCTTCTGACTCTCCCCGTAGCTGGTTCGAGGGAAGACGTCTGTCAAGGGAGCGCCCCACGCCTGTATATCGCAACGTCGTTATTGGGAGTTCTGTATCATGGATGCGGCAGGGGATCAGATCACCACTTCCAAATCCTCTGCACAACCCGTCTCGAAGAGAATCAGACCAACACCCGGATATTCAATGAGAGCGGCGAGAATGATCAGGTCGCGCCTTTTGTTCTCTGGGTTCTTGTCGCTCAGAGTACTGGTGTTGCCGCCACGGAGGAGCCTAGATCCAAACAATCATGCGGTCAATTCTGTGCTTTGAGGATCCTGGGTCATGTTATGCTCAAACCCACCGATGGGCTGGCATAGCCATTTGGTAATGGAGCCGATATTAGAACTCACCAACCCTCGTCTGCTTGTAGAGTTCCCAGGTCCAGGAAGTGCATTTTTGTCCCAGCAGGGCATTTGAAAGCCGGCACTCCTGCTTTCGCGAACAGCGTTGAAAGATCCGATGATGACGCCATAGCTTAGTGCCTGATATCGAGAGTGTATGTCAATCGATGGTTTGATCTCCAACTCGTTCTGTGGAATATGGATTGATAGCACAATACAGACCTAGTTGCTTCAACCAAGGTATACCTGAGGTGTGACAGCGGCTTTCCTGACAATTCGGTCTGACGTTTTGATGTTGTGATTTAAGCTCGGGAGTGGTTTCAGGTAACTTCTATAATACCGTGGTTCTGGTGGCTGAGACCCCTCCTCTTAACTCAAGCTTGGATTCAATGATATCGTCCATTGACACTAGTTCCAAGGTGCAATCCAGGCGGGGTAGGGCAGCCGGATTAGAAAGCTTCCACAGCAATTGTGCACTCGCGCCTCGCCATGCCCGCACTCAGGCGAAGAATCTGAGAGGGGTTCCGGATACGATTCCCAAAAAGCTGCTTCCATGCCACCGAGGAATTGGAAGTCCCCTCTCGGTTAAAGCTTGTTTGGGCCAGATGGTATGGTGGTTCCCCTTTGGAAAGACACCAACGAATCATTTCGCAAGTGATTTGGAGACAGAGCGGAGCTGCGAATGCTAGGCGGAAACCTGTCGTTAACTGAATTGCTCTGTCGTTGGTGGCCTCAGCATTGATTATAATGTAGTCCATTCTGATGCGGAGTATGAATCCACAATACGTCGGAGATCAAATCCCGCGGGTTCCAGTCGACCAAATCAACCCAGATCGGATGTGCACACAAACCGAACAACCGAGTGCATGAAGGGAGGTGCTGCCATTACCACACATCGGGGTCATACTATCAATATGCTATCAAGGACTAGGATTCTCCAGCTTCCAAGGTCTTGGTTCGTGGAGAAGGAATCCGTATGTTTATGCGACCCCTTCAGTTGGTCGAGCTTCCCCGCATCAACAACGAAGCAGGGGAAATGAGCCATGCACTCCACCTTGTGGAGAGACCAAGTCCCTAGGTACAAGAGAAGTTCAATTGAACTCACGGTGGACCGCGACTCTAGAAAGTACACAGTGGCGGTGTTTGTAAGTAGAGCCGACTTGACCATCGTTGGCATCGACGAGCGCAACACCGAGATAGTCCGTAAGCGTTATCATATCCCCTGAACGCCTCAGCCTTGCCAGCATCGCCACAATGGCAGCCACTAATCAACAAATTGTTGTTTCGCGCGGGATCTTTCACGGGCTGCCAACCTTTCCCGAGACTCCCGAGCTCACAGGTCTGACCGCAATCATCACCGGTGCGAATGGAATCTCAGGCTACCACATGCTGAAAGTGCTCGCCGCGGCGCCTGAGCGATGGAAGAAGATCTACTGCCTGTCTCGACGATCCCCACCCGATTATTTCTTCTCAGACCTCGGGGACGGGGCGAGTCGCGTCGAGCACATCTGCGCGGATTTTCTCACTGAACCTGCTGATCTAGCGAAGAGTCTGGGGAAGATCTCGACTGTGTGAGTTGCAGTTGCCCGTCTCTCGCCTACTAAGGGGCAATCTTGAATGCCTAGCGGTCTGATGCGATGTGTTCAGTGATTATGCCTTCTTTTTCTCGTACATGCAGCCGACGCAAAAGGGCAATATCCTAGGAATGTGGTCAAATGCAGACGCGCTTGCCGAAGTCAACTGTAAGCTCATAACTGGGTTCCTGTTCCCCTTCTCTGTCAGGTCAGTAACTGACTAATCGGATCTTCTATCAGCTTCTCTCCTCCGCAATTTCCTGGGAGCCCTAGAGCTAGCCTCACTCAAACCGCGCCGCGTTCTGCTCCAGACTGGCGCAAAGCACTACGGATTCCACATGGGACCGGCCACGAGCCCCTCGTTCGAAACCGACTCTAGAGTGCTCCTGGAGAACAACTTCTACTACCCACAGGAAGACATGCTGTTCGAGTACAGCAAGCGCAACGGCGCGGAATGGAACGTCGTGCGGCCTTCGTACATCATCGGTGCCGTGCGAGATAATCTTCTGAACCACATGGTTGGACTGGCAGTTTTTGCCTCGGTCCAGGCGCACCTTGGACAGCCGCTCCCATTTCCAGGCGATTACACGGCATGGGATAGAGAGTACTGCCAGAGCAGCGCTTTGTTGAATGCGTATCTGGAGGAGTGGGCCGTGTTAAGTCCGAACACGGGGAACGAAGCGTTCAATGCCCAGGACGGGCTCCCTTTCACCTGGGGCCGCTTCTGGCCATACCTGGCCAAGTGGTATGGGACGACTTTTGCGCCGCCGGAAATCGACGCCAGTAAATACCGTGAGACTGTCTCTAGGCATGACCAGAATCCACGAGGGTGAGTTTCCGTTTCCGTTTCCGTTTCTTAGCGGTGGTGCAGTGGCTCGGGTGGAGTGGGGAGCTAACATGCGTTGTCAATCTCAAGATACGGACCTCCAGGTGTGACACGCTCGACATTCTCACTACTCGAGTGGTCAGAATCCCCGCAAGTCGTCGAAGCATGGAACGAGCTGAGCGGGAAGCATGGGCTCCTGCTCGACCCATTCAAGGATCGGGCGCAGATCTTCGGGATGACAGACAGCGCCGTGATTGGTGGATGGGCATTATCTCTAAGTGTGCGAAAGGCGAGGAAACTGGGTTTCCTGGGGAACGTCGACTCCTATGAGAGTGCCTTTCATTGCCTGAAGGATCTGGCAAGATTGAAGGTGTCGCCTCCGCTGGCGACGCACGAATACGAAGAGGCCATTTGAAGGGGGGAGGGGTAGTACAATGCATTGATTACATCGAGCCGTTTTGCGGAATTTTTGCACAATATCATAATGCCTCACCAAAGCTTGACGGTTGTTGCTTTATCCCACGGTGAAACAAGGTAAAAACAGTAAGAGAGCGCAATTGCAACGACCATCTCGCGGACGAGAACGACTAGTATTATGTACAGATCACTAGATGTGGTATGTTATACATACAAGGCGTGTGGACTTCACATCCACATCCCAAGGGTTCCCTTGGGGCGTACTTTCACTGTACTCGGCTTTGGGATGGTTTCGGGCTTCTCAACACCGAGGCGAAGATTTAAACCTTTTCTGGGGGACCGTCGTTTTACACTTTGACTATTTCTAGAGTGTCTCCTCCACACCCTGAGATATTGTTGAAGTACCATAGATGATCATCGATACTGTTCCCCAAGGTACCCTGATTGCCCTTGAAGTTGACAACCCCACTTGAGACTTGGATATCGTTCGGGGTGACAGCAGCCCCAGTTGCCGAGGTAATCCAATATTCAGGAGAGACATGGGCGTATCCGAAACCATAGCCTGGAAGTTTGGGGACGACGTCTTGTGCGTGTGTGACGCGAAAGTTGGCAGTTGTTTGCGCTGTGACGAAGGTTGCCAGTGCAGCGTTCCCTACCATTGGTGAACCATATGTGTACTGCCAAATGTTCGTTAGTGAGTTGAGAGCGGATCGCTTGAAGGGGCGGAAATACCAGATCAATGGTATAGCCAGCCGTTCTCAGGTCGGCGGCAGCGAGCGTCGCAAGTGCTCCTCCGAGAGAGTGGCCAGTGGCAATGATTTTGTAACTCGGATATGTGGCCCGAGCATCGTCAACGGCGCCTTGGACTTGAGATTTGACACCGCTCCACGAGTCAAGCCAGCCAGCATGTGCAAAGCAGCCGTTGCAGACCGACCAGGGGACCAAGACAAAATTCAAATTAGCGATGAAGTTTAGAACGCTCCTCGAACCTCGGAAAGATATGACGATCAAATTGTTCGTATGATCTAGAGCCACGAAGCCAGTAGAATCAGAGATTCCGACACTATCTGAGGTCAGCAATCTTCTGTCTTGGGAGGCTTGGATCAGACTGCATCGTACTTTTGAAACTCTACAATGGATTGGGCACCAGCAGTTTGCACGAGTGGACAATTCCCGGCCTCACAAGTGATTGCTGTCGAAGAACCCGGTGAGTTGTTGGCTGGACAATATGCTGCTGCCGAATACTGCTCGAAGAATGAGAGCTGGGTTAAAAGATCCTGGGAGACCGCTATTTCGGTTAGGCCAGAACTCGTATCAAAGCTCTGATGACCACTGTACCTCTGGCCTCAATCGAGAGCGGTAGGGCAGCAATGGGGTTCAAAAATAGGGAAATGAATGTGGTAAGAATGAGAAGGAAAGCCATGGTGTTGATAGTGACGCAAATATCAGAATGAGTGACTGGTTGTTTGAAATGAATGGATGTCTAACGGCAAGACAAATGCAAAGAAAGCGATTCAAACGAAAGGCTGACGCTGCTAGGAACGTCTGGGTGAGGGCTGAGGGATCCTGATCTTGAGAAGGTGAAGGCGGCTCATGGTTCATATATGATATCGCAGTTGCCTCCAGACTTCCACTTCCGCCCTCCACAGATCAAGCTGGAGAAGAGGAGAAACATCAAGGATGTCCTTGTCTCGACTGTGTGAATCCCCCACAGATACAACGCAGTCCCATTGAAGCTAATGCAGGAGTATTCTGTCTTTCCCAAGTACATTCCCTACCAACAGCGGGACCTGCATGAGGGTTTTGCAGAATGTAATTTTGGTCTGTCAACAACGGCAGGTACGCTTCCGAATCCATCAGGCTCAGTGTCGTCGGAGCGGGCGAAGATATCCACTTCCAGTAAATGAGCCGCGCAAGTCGAGCGTGATGAAGCTTTTTAACCTCGGCCAACAAGGCTTCAGACATGGAGAATGCAAGCATATGATCGAGAGCCGACCTGGGGCAGCATCGCGTAGGGAGTTGTTGGACGAGAATGCTCCATGGGATAAAAAGAGGCGCGAGATGAAATGAGCTGCGGAGATTTTGGCGACAAATCAGAGTTTACAGGGCATAGCAGTGCCTGGAGCGTCTAATCCCAGAATAGATTAGTTACAACGGTGGGGGAAGGAGCAGCCACGTACTGTGCATTCACAACTTGCGATACGCGTGCCTTCCCCCATACAACTGTCAATCTCTTGCTTCAAGTTCAAGTTGCTGGGAGATGGCCTTGAAACTCCCACTCTTCTCTTGACCTTATCAGTACTCACCTTTTTCCTGCCTCACCGTTGTGCTTCATATTCTCAAGCTGTTAGACAAGGCATTCGGTGTGTTCTGGGCACCAAGAACCTTCAACCACCACGCCTTTAACCCCTGCACGGCTATTGCCAACCGACTCGGGCTTCCACCCAGAATAGGCATGACCAATTCAATAAATCCTTGCATGAGATTGGATCTACATATTGGCAGCACACTGACGAGATTCTGTGATGGGATGAAGATCTTGAGGGAACTCATCTGTTCTTGACCTTGCTGTGAACACAATCCAGCTTCGCCAGGCAAAAACAAAATGCTTGAGAGGCCGAGCAAACATTTTCTAAGCGGCTTAGGTCACTTTCGAACTCATTTTCCAAACTAGAGTGTTGGTCCTCCGCTTCGCGCCCTTGCAGAAGATCAACCGCACCTCTAAATGGATCAGTCAACGATCTAGAAGTCTGTTCAACTCTCCATCGGCTCATTCTATCTATCCTCAACCAGCTATGTGCTTACATAGGCCCAATGGACTGCTGTAGTTCATTCCACAGTGCTCCATACCGACCACCCAGCCACCATGCAGATTATGGAGATTACTCAGCATTTTGGCTATTATCTGACCCTCCAAATCAGGAAGGGGTGCTGTCCGCAGCCGTAGTCACAGACCACACTATGCGTTTCAACTCGCCAACAACATTTATTTCAATCCTTTTAAAGGTAATGATGATTAATCTATGTCGCGACGGCCATGGTGCTGGCATGGAGTTATCTTCCAATGCCTGAATGAATATTTCTCTCTACCTCCCTCAGGTACTCAGCATCTAAGGTAGGGAGGTTTGGGGAGGAATCATTGCTTCCATCTGGGGTACGGAGACTTTATTAATAGCTTGGGCGAGGTCACCTAAGCTGACCCGGGTTAGCGCAGACATCCATCGTCGCAATTCCGCACGGTAGACTGGTAGCCGCTTCGATCAACCCTTTGACTCCTATGATTTCAACTTAGACCTCTGACGGTTCTTCAAACTCATAATTTTCTATGCCTCATGCATTCCACTCAGTCGTAAATTTGCATTCTTGGTCAAGATGGGTGACCACGAGGGGGAAAGACTCTTCCATTTTGTGTCCATGCCTATGCGAAATCCTTCAGCCAAGACAAAAGGTGACCAGGACCTGCGAATGTCCCAAGCCAGATCTCATGCTGCAAGGATCACCCATATGCGAAGGAGGAAGAAGGCTAGGAAGGTAAATGAGGGCAGATCTCTCGATGATGAGCAAATCGGAGCAATCATGGAATTAAACATGGTAACAAAAGATGGAGCTCTCAAGACCGAGTACTCACCAAGCCCCCTGTCCCTCCTGGGCCAGCACAAAGTCGACCCATTTGAATCATATCCGACTGGACCGCTCCCGCCCTATCTACGTCGTTGTCTCGAATATGGTAAGCTTTTGAAACTCTATGCCAGAACATTGAGAACTTACAAATTCTAGTGTACGAGTGCGTCCATCCAACTTTGATATCTTCAACAAGGGAGTCGGACATAGCGACGATCAAAATCTCTTGGAGACGAATTGGGCTTGAATGGCCACTAATGTACCATCTTCAGGTTGCTGGAGCTGCAAACATTGTGAGAGCAGATGCCAGGAATTCATCATTACCCAACGACGTGGAAATTTTGCGCCTCAAACATCAAAATCAGGGCTTAGCTCTTTTGATGACTGCGCTCAAAAATCTTCAAGGGCCGGCCTCGGACGCGCTTCTCATGGCAATGGTTATGGCAGGCATGCTTACAGACCCTAGCCCTTCGCAAATTCCCGAACTATACCGAGCGTCACCTCTAGCAACCGCCCAGTATTTGAATGTCTATGCGAGATTAACGATGGTGCCGGCGACAATGCAGAGCATGTTACAGTCAGTCGTCCAGCGAGGTGGTATCAAAAACATCCGTGATTATGGAATGGTATCTATCCTGCAATTGTCTGCTCAATCCTTCTCTCGCTTTTGGTTTCTGCTAACAAAAGTCTTTGGATAGCGCCGATTTGCAAGCTAGTTCTCGTCTGGGCATACCACCTGCGTTTTCCTGGGTGTACCCGAACTCTACGAGCTTGTGCGCAAGACAGTGTGATCTCGACCAGGCTGCCATGGATATGCTGAGGGTCTTGGGAACTGGATTTAAATATATCCAATTCATCGATCAAGATCTCGCAGGCGCACTCGAAGCTATAGAAGATGTCACCGTTGCTTTAGACTTGTTCCAACGGTGCAAAGCAATTGCATTCAGCCTTCTTGACGTTGCAGATGCTGCAAACGAGGCACAGCACACGCTACTGTCAGTTAACCCTCCACCTACGATGGGGACAAGCGAAATGGATTGCCTGCGTGAGATCTGTCGATGGACTGCACTCATCTACAATGACATGGTAATTTTTCCCCTTCCGGCAACTACAGAGACCAAGCCAAGGCTCTCAAATGCATTACGTATTGCGATCGAGAACTACGAATTTCTTGGCAGCAAGTACCTGAACACATCTACAGAAGTGATGAAGGCTACCAATCATTCTGATTTGATCCTTTGGGCCTCTATGCTCGGAGCCATGGCAGCGGAGCTCACCGTGAACAGGACGTGGTATATCCAGAAACTTGGCCAATATCTTTCTCAATCGCCGTACAGGCATACCTGGTCAGACTTTCGCAAACTGATGTCTACATTCCTCTGGTGGGACTACATTTTTGATGAGCCAGGCCAGAAATTGTGGTGGGAAGGCTGTATGTCTATGAATACACCCCAGGATCGGATCAATCTGGATGCGTGCCAGCTAGACTCTGAATTTGACCCAAAGGGTCAATCATGATGATGGTGGACTATTTATTCATCGTTCATGCTTTGTTCACAAATGCCGCGACAGGTGGGCATTTGATGTCCAGAGTCACTTGAACGAATCTGGAGTGCAACTCGAGGCCACTCTGACAGCCTCCACAATTCTTTCCACAAAGATGCATGGCTGACTGAGAAACGGTGGGTGTCCTGCCGTACATCTCAGTCTTGCACTCTCGATCCAGACTATTTCACCATGGCTTCCTGAAGCCAAAGAGGAAGCGCCTGGTCATTCTCACAATACAAGGAGCTGACAGTGATCTCAGTATAGGCTCTTTTTGTCAAAGGGGTCTTCTGAGCAATTACGGTGTGATGTTGCAATTTCAAAGCCCAGAATGTTTGCTCGGAGGGGGATAAATCGTTGTAGAAGTCATGCTCTGGATTGTTCGGGTTGCAACTTCCGTCGGTCTAAGAATACACTCTGTCAGATGAAGTATGGGGTGACGTTGGTCTTGAGCCTACCTCTGCTTTGATAAACGGCGCCAGTTCTCCCCCAAGGGCAGTGCACAAATGATGTCCCAGCGGCAAGATGAATGCGCAGACATACATGAGACCGATGACTCCACCCTGCAGGCCATACTTTGATCTCTCAGCCCGACCCAGACCAGCCGCGGCCTCTGATCCGACCAGACCTCCGTAGGAATGCATCACAACAAATACCTTTGATCTATCCTCAACCTAAAGGTCTAACTCGGCTCGAACCTGGACGGCATCATCATACAAAGTCGCCACTGGGGGAATCGCACCGGTCGATGGTTGCTTGGGACAGATGACTGTATGATTCAAAGCCTCAAGCCGTTCCTTTGCGACCTCGAAATACTGAGGACTATGCCACGCCCCATGCATGATATAAATCAGCGGCTTGGCATCCATCGGTCAGATTGTGAAATCTTGCATGGCCTTCGAGGTTCAAGAGAATGGATCAATTTGGCCAAACACGGTCATATTTATACGGTTCACTCCTTGCCAGCCCTGCCTTTGCGTCAGAGGAGATACCTGGTCTCGCAACCATCTCTGGATGGTAGATTAATAGAATCTGACTTTCCAGATTATGTTTCGCAGAACCAGACGGCTAATAGCCCCCGAGAACACCGTTTCATCTTTTCTTCCTCGTTATCTCACTCTCTGCCTGCTGTGTATCTATGAATTCGCCTGAAGTGGATGTGATGATCTGGTGGGACGAAACAATCACCGAAAATTCCATAACAAATCCAAAACAGGGTGCAGGAGCTGCAGGCCACGGCGTGTCAAAAGTGACGAGACAAAGCCGACATGCAAACGGTGTCAATTCGGGAAGCGGTCTTGTGGATGGTACGAGCCGCCAAAGACATGGCTTTTCGAACCCACCTCCATCTTGGTCCTTGCGACAGATCCCCAGGAGCGGCGAGCGATTCAATTCTTTAACGAACAAACGAGCCCCATTCTCGCTGCATTCTCTACATTTACGCAACGCTTTTGGGATTCTTTCATTAGAAAGATGGCGCTTGCCGAACCGGCCGTCCGCTGTATGACCATAGCACTTGCAACCAGACAGGAGGCTGCTAGCTGCTCCCCTGATGATGTGCATGGCCTTTCCCGTTTACAATCTAATGCATTCTCTTCGGCACTTCATTTGCTGGTCCACCCGCAACCGGAAATTAGCACTCTAGCAGTATTGATGTCCTGCTTCCTCTTCGTCGGGTACGAAGCATTCCAGGATCCAATGGAGATGACACCCCCAAGCGTCAAGCATCTAGGAGCGGGGCTCCGTATACTTGAGGATCGATCCACAATGGCCTTCTTGCCATCTACTAGCTCTTGTGCGGAGGCTGTCCACCTCTATCTTGAGCCAATGTACCTGCAGCTGGAAATGATGCTGTCCATGCTCATGACGCCAAGAGCGATGTACCGCCGACGCAACATGAATGAAGATCTCGAACAGCCCAAGCTATCCCGCCGTTTTCAGCACCTTGTTGCTGCGCGTGTTGCACTTTACAGAATATGCCGATGGCATTTTGTCTTCCGGGCCCAGGAAGTGAACGAATGGACTCGCAAAAGCCCGCGTTTCTTACCGTACGATCGCTATTTTTGGAATGGCACAGATTGATCATGCTATACAACGATGCCTTATCACCAACGGATCTGGCGCAGAAGCATGGCTTACTTAGTATGGTCTCGCACTGGCGTATATACATGGTGTTCGTTAGTTCATTCTGCATCGGAGCTACCAGGCACAGTGCCTGGTTCGGGTTCAACATACCTGCCAAATGGTGGCCGCCTAGAGACCAGCCTCGTAGATCTGATGGATCCGGAACGTGTCAGAATCACATTCATTGTGGACCGCCAGACGCTGCCAATATTAGAAGTTTGTGACTGGAGTGACTGCGGTCTACTGTGTGAGCCTGCATTGAGAATATGGCCGACTGCCGAAATCAGAAAGCTCGCAGACGGTAGAGGCTTAGTAGGATTGGTGATTTCGCCTTGATCTGTGGGTTCGCGTGCTAGGAGTCTCCGCTGGAAACTGCCATCAATGCTGTCTATATCAACATTGAAGCAGGTGAGAGACCTCTAGCACTGTCCGACCCCTCTTCTGCAGAGGAAACGCTTGCTCACTTGCACCTCTTAACGTAGATTCGTTGCTAGACTTTTGGTACTGACAGATGTGCGTTGGCAAGTAGTTCTCGCCGCAGCTCGCTTCTATACACGACTGCTCTCTCCTTGGACCTCGAGAGTGTCCTCATCGATACCGATACGTATACCAGCAAAGCCGTTGAGATGTATTCAAGCACCCACTTCCCAGCACCATCGACATCATCTCACCTGTTTCGATTTTGCTACGCTGCACGCCGCTCCATGTTCTGGCTTAATGAGGGTGTCTGCCGCCCTGAGGACGTCGGCGGTCCCTGGCATTCATTGCATCGAGGTCTCCCGCTGGTGGAACACCTCTGCCACCCTCGCCGTCGCCACGTCTTCCATCATCGCCCGAATCACTGCTGTGATTGTCGTTCTCGCTCTCACCACCTTCACCACCGCTGCCACCAGAGCCCATTCCTCGCCATCCCTCCCCTAGTTCCGCAATGCCAATCGGAATCGCCACGAAACCGAAGCCCCCCATACCGGGAAATCCTATCGCCATCTGTCCTCCCATTCCACAATATCCCATGCCAAAGCCGCCGGGTCCTCCCATTTCTCTGGGTCCCATGACGAAGCCTCCTCGTCCTCCCCTTCCTCCGAGTCCACCCCTAGGAGGTCGGGCCATTCCGCGGCCGCCCCGTCCCATAGGACCCATCAGTTCCGGAATCCCCATGCCCATTCCAGGAAAGCCCATCCGGGGCGGCCCTCCCCAGGGAAATTCCATGTCCATAGGGTCTCCTCGTCCAACCCCAGCTGCCTCAGGTGGCGGACGAAAGCGACGTCCAAAGAGACCACACAAGCCACCTTGTCGGCCTCCTTGTCGGCCTCCTATCGTACCACTCCCCTGGCCACCGCCTCGACCTAACCCTCCAATTGGACCATCGCGCTGTGAATCATAGTCAAATTCATGCACATACTCATATGTGCCATCGTCTAAATGATTCTCATAGCTATTGTGGAAGGGTGCAAACGCTGGGTCATCATGAAATTGCCGCATTTGCTCATTCATATTGAACGGCCAGTCAGGCATCCCTCCGAATCCCCAGTTGTTGATGTTGCCACTACCACTACCACTGTCACGACCCGGTCCTCCACCTCCTCGAAGGACGGTGGCGGATGCTGCGGATCTGGAACTCTCAGACTTCTGTTGTTTCCGTTCTTGTTGCTGCTGCCGCACTGCTTCTCGCGACCGAAAAGCGTTGGCGAAGCGCACCCGGTCGTGTTCCATGGCTTCGTCAGTCAAAAAGCCGATTGTTGGTGTGTCCGAGTCGTTGGAAGCGAATGGGTCAGCCTTCGAAGCCGGTGGCCGTTCAATGGTTCCCGACTGCGCGTCTCTGCGCGTCCATGCCGAGCTTCTGAGGGATGCTGAAATACTCTTGACCCGCGCAAGACCCCTCAAGAACGTCGACGTCGATATCATCTCTCTTGCCGCATCTTGATGATCCAATACGATCCGATGCTTTGGGTCCTCGAGCTGCTTGGCAGGTTCACTTTCCGGCGACTCGCGCGCAGCATTATTTCCGAGCATTGCTGGTAACATATTGGTTTCTTCCCCCTTCGGCGCGCTCTCTTCAATATGAGTCTCTGGCTTCTCAGGTTCTGTACTTCGCTCTGGTGGGAGAGAACAATCCTCTGCCCGTCCTGCCAGAGGGTCAGGATAGTCTTCCGTGAAGTGAATATGGTGCTTCTCAGGATCTCGCAACCGAATGGAGATGTCATTGCAGGGCTGCTTGCCAAGTGCCGGGTTCTGTCGTGGGCTCTTTAGTAGACGCCTGCGTTGCCGGATCGTGGGCTGCAGCTGCTTTGAGCCCTCGATCGATACGGTATTCTTCGCCCGGGCGTCATCTTTTGACGTCTTCTTGGGTTTGGTGCCGAATTTGCCCAGGGACAGGTCGAGTTTGCTCTCCTCGAAATCGATGTCTACCCCGAAAGGTCCAGCAGAGGCTGCGCCGTCTTTGTGCTCCTGCTCACTGCTGCGTTGCGGCGGTATGTCTGCCACTCGGAGCGCGTACATCTCTCTGCAGGCTTCAGTAATTGTCGTCTTGAATCAGTGGCAAGCTTGATATTGGTGTAATATAGAGGTGTGCCGAAGAAGAGGGCAAGGAGTCTGGGTGCAGTTGAAGACTCTAGGCTATTTGGTTGGATATATGTATGGAAGGGCGACTGAGGGTGATTGCGAGATATGTAGTAATATAGGAAGAATCGATGTGGATATTAGCAGCAAAGAAAGAAATATATAGTCGCCATAGAGCACGGACTAGAAACATCTTGAAATCGTAGTTTCAACACAGTGAAACATTTGGGTTGCAGTGGTGAAAAGTATGATTAATGAGTGAAGGAATCAACATCAGATATCGAAATCACTTCGGCCGTTTGCGTGAAGAGCGTCTGCATTCTCCATTTGATTCTCGAACTCACGGCGCTGGTAATCGTCACATAACTCGTGACTGCCGGCCAAACGGGATTTGATTGCATTCCTCATCTTTAGCTACTAGTAGAGTACGGTGTATCAAACGCTGATTGTCTTGAAAACACCGAATCCCACACCGCCGGTGACCATGACGGTGCCAGGCATTTGCGGATGCCAATGCAATTCCTTCCCATCCTCGACGTGGTGAATGAACAGCAGCTGTGGAGGCACCTTCTCGGCGCCCTCGCCCAAGCCCATTCCAGTCTCTTTACCGTATTCCTCATCGTCGAGCTCGACGGCCAGGTCCCACAGCGTCGTGGTATTATCCGCACATGCGACTGCCACCACACTGTCGTCCGAGGGGTGCCACTCGATCGATGTGATAGGCTTCTTGTGGAAGTGGAAGTCCGCCACGGGGCTCGGACGCAGTTGCGAGTCAGACGCAGGCCCTGTTTGCGGTTTCCATTGCCGCAAGTCCCACACAGCCCAGCGGCCGTCGTCCGCGCCGGTGGCCAGCAGGTGGAAGGTCTGTTTCGACCAGGACATCACGTTGACGTCGGTGTCACTGATCTTGACGTCCACGGCGGGCTTGCGGCTCTTGCTGCGCACGTCCCACACCTTCACCGTGCCGTCGGAGCTTGCGGACGAAAAGACGAATTTTTCGTTCGGCGACCACTGGAGCTCTTCTACTGCGTCGGTGTGGCCCATGAAAGGTCGCGTGTCGGTGGCCCAGCCCCCGCCTTCGGTGCGCTGCGTGTTGAAGATCTGGCCCGCGTTGTCGCCAGAAAGGAGTCGGCCGTTGGGGTGTGATGAGGCTGGCGCCCAGTCCAGTGCGTAGCCCTCCGTCTTGTGCATGCGAAGAGTGCTGAGGGGCTTGGATGCGTTGGGTGGCAGGGTGAAGCCCGGGGTTGAGAGTGATTGGAGGTATGGAGAGACATCGTGGATTAGAATTTGGCCATTCTCGAGCGAACTCGCTGTGAGCGTTTGTGGTATTTGGCTGAGGTCGTTGGATGTAGATGACGGCTGGAATGCCCGTATCCTGTTGGTGGTGCTGGGCAGTGGTATCGACCTGGATTCCAGGATTGGATCTGAAGTATCGTCATCGTCATCACTGTCGCTGTCCGAATCTGTCTGGTCGCCTCGGTCCATCTTGGAAAGACTGCTGAGTCTGAAAACGTACAACTCATTCTCTTTTGCCCGTGCTGATTCAGCTTGAGTTCCGCCAACCGCATACAATGTCCTAGGATATTGCTTGCGTTGGCTTCCTAGGTTATCTGGTACAATATCGAAAGACAGGCACGGCCACGTCGTCGACATAACGTGGAGCATTTCATAGGTGGAGGGGTCGGGCGTCAGAGACATGCCTGGTTGTAGTATTGATCGGCCCGGTATGAATGTCTGTTCTTTAGAATCCACATCCATGACATCTCTTGACTCTTCTGCTTCTCTTTCTGCGTCTGGCCGTCCATCTACACCAGCCTCCATCACCTCGTCCTCCGAGTCGAATTCATCCTCGTACGGATCTTCGTAGTCGATCGCAGGCTTCTCATCGTCGCCAGGCTCGGGGCGTTGGCCACTTTTAAGAGACTCAATGGACTCCTCGTTGTCAGCTATGCGTTTCGACATGTTGTGGATGTGGCCTCGACTTGGCTCTAGAGTGTGAAATTTCCAGCCGCGGCGAGGCTTGTGCAGCGAAACCATTAATATGTTTCCCCCACAAAATTTATTTTGGTCGATAAGAGAGACAATTAGGTCGGCTCTTGCCTATCAGCACGTGTTACGCGATCCTTGGCACAGCCTTGCCGCGTTTCTCGAATTAGATGGGAGTGGAGGATGAGCCTCTCGAAGTTGCCAAACCAGTCACCAATAGTATGTAAAATTCACTGATTAGATACCGAAGGTGATTGCATTTCTCTGACCCTCTTAGGTGCACTAATCAGATTACGATGCCCAGCAAAAGAGGGATATCATTCAGGGCTCACGTGACGTTCACCTTTGTGCAATTCACTTCACCGTAATTAAGTGGTTCAATGTGAACCATATTTGAACCCCCCTTTCTCTTCGCCTTGGACCCATGGTCACGAGAATATGCATCGGCGAATACGAAGATCATGTTCAGTATCAGCGCTGTTTTCATGGCCCTCTAGATATCTCGAGGCTTTACGGAAGTGGATGACGCTGTCAGAGTCAAGGCAAGATAAGGTAAGAGTACGAGATGGCCAAAGACGTCAGATATTTCTCGAACATGGATACGTGGCGTCCAGCATCAGGATTGAATGTTTATGATCTGTCCAACTATCGATTTCATGAAGGACACACATCTACAGCTGTCTTATCCGGACGAGGTTGCGAATCAAGCATCTGCGACATCAGGCGCATCCAGCATTGGTGTAGTCTGCTAGTTTCTATGATTTGGAATTCCTGATGTCCACCAAACACAAACACACACCATTGGTATTTCGTCCGCCGCTCGTCCCGACCTCGTCCTGATCTCGTACTCCGCTCGTACATGGACTTTCTTCGAGTTCAGCAATGCCCAGCACTGTTTACCAGTACAGCCTCGCCCGCCTTGTCGCACGTGCGAGTTCGTACACTTTTACGGCTTCGTGGGGGGGCCGGGCTTCCGGCGGGGGACCTCGTATAAAGGCTGAGCTATGTTCCTTTCTTTTTGCATCACATGAAGGGAGAGAATGATTCTGGGATTCCTGATAGCGGTGACTGAGTGAACCTGCTCCGTGGCAAGTCGTATCATATGCTCTCGTTCGAACTCTTAAGGTGAACCGAGAGACACAGCAAAATAGCTTCTACTTGATGATGCCTCACTTACCACTACCGAAGCGCGAGACGGTCAGGTCTATGAGGGATGACCTCTACATTCGATTGAAGGACGTCTATATACCTACTCGCGACGGCAGCGAGCTCTGTGCCGACATTTTCCTGCCGTTGTCCACTGAACAAGGAGCCAAGGTTCCCGTCCTGCTGTCCATGTGCCCTTATGGCAAAGACGTCCATGCCCTCGAATGGGGTTTGCCGCAGACAGATTTGTATGCCAGGATGAACTCGAAAATCAAACCTTTGGGTCCCGATGCCGCTCTAGAAGCCCTTGATCCTTTTGTTTGGGTACGTATACCGCAGCCTTCTGAAGTTTGGAAGCACTTAGGATAGCGCGTACTGACACAATGCAGACCAAGGAATATGGATATGCTGTCGTGAGGATTGATTGTCGGGGCATTGGCGGAACGCCAGGTGTCCTGGATCCGTGGGGGCTTAGAAAAACAATTGAGACAGGCCAGGATGCGGAGGGTAACGGTGGGCGTTCTCATCCTGCAATCTGCTCTAAATCTCTGCTAACACCAAGCAGACTTATATGACGCCATTGAATGGGGCGCCGCTCAACCATGGTGCAATGGAAAAGTAGGTATGAGTGGAATCAGCTATCTTGGAATGGTCTGCTGGGAGGCAGGGCAACAGAACCCACCTTCTCTTAAAGCTTTGGTACCATGGGAAGCAGGGAGTGATTTATTCCTCTCACTATTTCGACCGGGCGGACTGTCCAATGCCAATTTCCTGGCCCACTGGTGGAAAAACTGTGTGGTGCCATACCAACATGGCCGATCGGAAGGCGTGTCAGAAGAGGAACTTCAAACTCAACGTGTCGACTTTTTGAAATGCTACGATTGGGAATTTCGCAGCGACGGCCCATTTCCAACTCTCGACCGCCTCAGAGGACTTGAGAAGATGCTAGTACCGTTTTATTCCTCGGCCAACTGGATGGACACGGAGATTCATGCCCCTGGCAATATCTTGGGATATATGTGGGCAGGCTCGAAGGTCAAGTATCTGGAGACGCATTCTGGCGATCACATTCACGCGTACTACGGGACAGAGGGACTGGCTCGGCAAAAACAGTTTCTGGACCACTTCCTAAAGGATGATGGCGGTTCCCTGGACGGGATCCCCAGAGTTGATTTGTTGATCAGGAAAGGCTCGAGCAGATATCGCCGTACGGAAGAAGACTTCCCACCCCATGACACGCAATACAGAGACTTCTTCTTAACTTCTGATGGTCGTCTTCAGAGCAGATGTAGCAGTGGTGGAAGCGACACCGTGATCGCTCAATACGAAGGTCTTCAGGGGTTAAGTTTCTTCGCGACCGAACCACTCGAGGAGGACTTAGAGGTATTGGGGTTCCCATACCTGGTTCTGGATGTGTCCACAGAAGCCAAAGACATGGATATCTTCCTAACCATGACAAATATTGCACCAGACGGCAAACTGGTTGAGTTCGAGGGAAATCACGGCGAGCCGTCTGTCTCCGTAACCCGCGGATACATGCGATTGTCCCATCGCGAGCAAGACACACAACGGTGCAAGAAACATTTCGTTGTTCTCAGCCAACAAGAACCGGCACCTGTGAAGCCCAGCGAGCGCTACATCATAGAAATGCCCGTTCAACCGACAAGTATGGTATATGAGAAAGGCCACCGCATCCAGATCGAGCTAGGCGGCAAAGATAGCGAGACGCTCCTCGCCGTGATGAGGCATGAAGGGCCTGACCGGACTCAGGAGCGCTTTGGGGGGAAGAATACATTCTTCTCTGGGAGCAAAATTGTCCTGCCCGTTGTCAAGCGTACAGTCCAGTAAGCTTGTGGCTCCGACAACTTTATGTCAAGGATGTGGACACTCTCCAGTAACTCCCCCCTCAATTCCTTCTTACATAGGAGCCAGAGTGTGCAATATCCGTATGATCGCAAGTTGGCAAATAGGCCCAGTGTAGTATGGAGGGCGTAAAGGTATCCAGAACATGTCGGACCTGGAAGCCAAACAGACCATACTGGTCCTAGAAACGAGCTGGGGACATTAGCATGCATGAAACTTTGTCATTTCTGGTAACACAGTCGCTGGCCAGTATTTCCCCAACTCATGTCACATGTAAAGCGACAAAATTGTCTATACTGGTCTTACCAGAGCGAAAGTATAAGGATTGTAGGTGGTACGACGAATCAGACAGCTGGATCCGTGAAAATATTCGGCTCCCAATGCTCAAATTACCTTGCGTACGCCTTCACGACCAGATGTGCCAGCGATCTTGCGAGCAAGGAAGAAGTCTTTCGCCTCAAACCCTTGGCTAATATTGAGAATTCCTTGAACTATCTTGGCTTGATCATAAAGAACAGGAGCAATAGGAGAGGGCCGAGGCATTCTTGAACACGACCTATATGGCCTCCAGCGGCGTGGAAGAATACACCAACTCAGCTCCGCAGCCATTTCGCGACTTAAGAATAGTCCCAATCTTGAAACAAGTCCCATTCTCCCTGTTCTTGTCCGATTTTCGCTACAAAGTCTTGTAAATCCTCAGCCAAAGCCTCATCAGCATGTCTTTTTGAATACTAAAATACTCCATGGACCATGGCACATAGATAGTCGACACGAGTCTGGATCAACGCCAGCATTGGCTCCATGCGATATCTGCTTACCGTCGGATTATGGACGTGTGCTTCTAGATATTCTCCTTGTTAGATGAAGATCGGGACCATGGCGGTATTTTTGCATGCAACAGCCACATGATAAGGAGTCCCCCGTTCAGAGGTCCAGGACTTGGCCTCAATATCGGCTCCATAATAGAGCAGTATAACGGCCATATGGAGATGACCGGTAGCTACTGCCAGGCGCAAAGGCGGGATCTTCCAAGACCAGGTACGAGCTTTGATGTCAGCTCCTTTCTGTCGAAGTATTCGAACGGTGCTGTCTTGATTTCCCAAGACTGCGATATGCAATGGCGCTCTTCTTCCTAGCCGCTCGGAAACAGAGGTGGATGGTCAAGGTTTAACAATATCAAAACACAATCAGTATGTTGACAGATGGTGGGGATCTGCACCGTCATGAAGTAGCTCCTGAACGGTTCTCCAACCTCTGCCTATCGCTGTATATACCAATGCGTGGTTCTTTGCGAGGACGAAATCCTGGTAGGGAGAAACCTTCCTGCATACTTAGGAGTCTAGCGAGACCAAGGAACGTCCACTTAGAGCTGCTTGTAAGTAGGCCACGCCATTCTTCAATGTTATCTTTCAAGTAACGGTCAGAGATCTTTCCTTCAATTGAAGAAGTCCCCAAAGGTTCTCAATCCGTGATGATTGATCAACCAATGTCTTTTCTGGAGAATTATCTGCTCCAAAGGACAGTCATCATAATTGGTGCACCCCACCAGATAATAGAACATTGCTTGGTATAAGCGGTCATGGTGATGTTGGGGGCTTGGACAATCGTAATCCACTATTGCCGGGAACTTAGAGCACATCTTGGAAATATTGCCTGCTATCTGGCTCTGACAAAGCCTGTGCGTCGCCTTCAGAAGGGCAATCGAAGAACATAATTGAGCAGGAGGTGCATCGAGCAAGCCCTTGCATTCAAAGCTGCCAACAACGTTCTTACCTCTATCCTACTGTATGAAGCCACCTGCGGTGCCAGTTGGTTGGTTGATGACAATATCTCCTAGCCTGATATCGACACCTTTCCGAAGGTACGCAATTCCACTTGCAATGCCTACTAGCAATAAGCACCTCATTCGCATGAACGTCCTAGCTAGATCTTTCCCACAGATGCAGCGGATACAAAAGCGTCATGCCTGCAGGTAAGCATGCAATAATCACATTGTATTAATGAATGCGCCCGGCAAAATAGGTACTGTGATCGTGATTGTCCTTTCGAGTGGTCGGACCAAGTTCTTCGCACAACGTTCCGATGGCAGCGGCCATCCCAATGTCCAAAGCACAGACAGCTGCAACATACTGTAGTATTGGATTATTTGGAAGTGGCGCCATTATGCGAGAAGCCTGGCGCCGCGAGGCTGCCGATCCAACTCGTTCGGCAACTCCAGCGAGGTACATGTCGATATATATTAGGTCCAGGGAGTTATACAACAAGGATGTCAATTAATATCTCAAGTCGGTAACGGTCAAGAAGTAGAAGAGTGATCTTCTAAACAACGAACGAGAGACATCAGGACAAAGTGGCGCACATCTCACCTTCTGAAGGGCAGATGTGTATCGGGAAGATAGTGAGTACCAACGACTTATTGGATACCATCCTTCCTACCCTCGGAGACCACGGTATAAATGTATAAGTCAACTATATTTTCCCCAAAGACAATGCTTGAGAATAAAACCGAGGGTAGAATATACAAGCTCTGACCGCCTTCCCTCGAACCTCGGAGCCTCATCATCTTGAGATACCTTTCAAAGCATCAAAGATGGTGGGTGTTCTGTCGCCCTGAAGAACTCAGGCTCCAATTCGGAATCTCATCACTGATAAAGGAGTCGATCTTCCTGCTTCGATTTACACGTCATGCCTCCGTTTCAACCGTCACGTTGGCATCAACACAAGCTGAGCTAGCGGTGTCCTGTTGGTTCAATCGCGTACAATGCTCAACGATATACCGTAAAATATCTTCGCAAGGCAACCGCTCGTCATGATTGCCAGGACAGAAATCTACGTAGTGTCGCAAAGTTCCAGTATCTGTTGTAAGCCACGGTGAATTGATGCCCCATTCTGTGGGTTCTTAGGCTGAATTCTCTGTCCCTCTGCGTTGGAGGCCCAGACTGTGCTCCTCGAGGAGGCCAATCCCTCAGAAGGTCGTTCAAATTCAGTTTGCTCCCCTCGCAGAACTGCTTCTTAGCTAGTGCCCACCTGGAATCGCAATCTCATACAACATTTGACGGTGAAACCAAACTGTTCGATTCAAACTCCGAGGACCCATTTTCCTCGTTCATAAACATAAAACGCTGTTGCAGCCATGGGAATAACCTTGGCATAACCGATTGTAAGACCGACAAAAAACCCTCTCCAGCCTCTTTCCGCAAATATTCTGCGTGCTGTTTCTGCAATACTCAATCTATGGCCATCGCCGACTGCCCCACTGACTTGCATGCGACGGCGGATCACCTCCAGAGGATACGAGGCGGTTTGTGAAACAATTCCAGCCAAGGCACCTGATGTAAGTTCTGCTGCTGCATTCAACTGCACCCGTTGGTAAGAGTGGTTCTTCGCGTCTGCAAGCGGAATGGGGCCCAAGGCGGTAGATCGCAGAACGGTGTAAGGTGCAAGGCTTGGTTGTCTGAAAAAATCACCAATTGTGTCGTGGGTTAAGAAAGACATGCCTGCATATGGAAGCATTCCTAAAAGAGTGGGAGAAAATCCCCGGTAGAAGTTGACGAGGCCAGATTTGGGAACTGCTTCACGTGTAATACCGGAAGCGACTGCAGCGGGACTGTTACCGGGGAGGATCTCTGGTTGGGGAGGCTGCTCGTGGTATATCTGTCGACATATTCGCGACAAGGACGACCGCGAGTCTCGCTTCGTCTCGAAGGCCAGTCGCACACGTATAACTTCAAGCGGGTAGGTGAAAAAGACAGATGTGATGCCTGCTAACGAACCCGAAAGGAATCGGCGGACGGGAGTCTCGTGGGCTTTGTCTGGGATGACCGCAGCTCTTATCTGTTCATAGGCGAGGAATTTGATGCCAGCATATGGGAATACTCTCAAGAGAGTAGCCGAATGGCCACGAAACAAGCCGCGCAAACCGGCCTGCTTATTGATATCTCTCATCGCCGTCACCACGCCGAACCAACTTCCGGTATATTTGGCAAACTGGGGGTTCGACGCTTGGAAAAGGATCTTGACTCGATCGAGGGGCCCGACAACGGTTTTGGCCTATCAGTCCTGTTAGCATTGACGAAGTGGGGAGGAACCGAGCCTCGAAGGTGTAGCACAGAGGAATCTTACCGCGCATCCTGCCAGGCCACCAGCAAACCCGGTGCGTAGAAGATAATCTAAACTTCTCTTGTCGACGTTCTGAGCCTGTCGACTCGCAGGGGCCTGTAATGTCATCGGAGCATCGTTTCTGGCAAAAATCCTCTGAGTTGGTGGCTCCTCGAGGAGTCTGGTGGAACCTCGGCTCTCCATCTGGGATGGTTGTGGGGGTTGTAATGTTGTTGCTGCATGGCCTGCACCTTGCAAAGGCATTCAACGGCAGTCAGGGCATGCCGTGGGAGGTGAATGCGAGTACTATTCGAGTGTCGAGTGCTGGAAGGAAGGGCAGAGGAGGAAAGTGTTTAGCAGTGCTAGTGACGTGGGGAGTTCAGTTAGATGTGGGCGTGAGGCGCTTCATTTCCTTGTGCTTCCGCCGTCGGCAATAAGAGAAAGAAACGCCGGGCTGTCGCCGCAGCCGCTGGAATCTCGGCCTGGGGCGGCCACGGGCGACCACGCGAGCCTCTCCTCGAGATTTTCGCCTCGGGACTGACTCTGCTGTTTACCGTCGAATGGTAATCCTGGAACCTTCAAGGCTGGGGGACGAACTGCGAGGCTCACCAACAAGTCTGCGCGGCCCCGGACCGAACATTTTCGCCTTCTGATTGCCCGCGACCTGGGGGTCCCCTCTGGGCTCCTTAACACCATACCAACCATGCATAATTACATCCCATTTCCGATCACTTTGGCCACCCGGACGGCTATTCACGGCACAGAAGCGCTGTGCTCACGTGCACCCGCGCGCACTTATGAAGAATGAAATGTTTCTCATCATTGATATATAACCCACGCTAAATACCTAGGTATCCATCCATGCATGTTCAGATTTTGGATGCAAATATGCAAATTGCTTATAGTTAGACAACATTCTACATGTGTAGGGGATCTCTACTCCCATAGCCCTGAGCTTTCGGTGTGAATTTAATCATCAAGAGTCGCGTTCAGCCTTGGGTACTATAGGTGGAGCTGACGCAGTGGTATTAGCACTCATACTATGCTGATGGCCTCTGGACTTAGCAATCGTGTTCGTTGACGCAAGGGACGACCTTCGAACTGGTTGAGGTGTAGCTCCTGTAGTGCTGGGAGCCGTTTCCGTTGGTATCGGCGCCAGTGTTGGAATGAATGAAGTCTGCTTCTCTGAACTTCTCGTCCTTGTTTGCAGACTTTTTGGCATTTGCTTCTCCGGGCTCTTCGACCTTGTTCGTTGCCGAGAAATTACTGGTGAGATCGTATCCGGATACGTGCTCGTTCCCATCCATACACTATCATTTCGACAACGACCTTCAGCCTCCCACCAGTTGAGATTTCGTTTAACGGGCGCCGTTTGCATGGCAATGGGAGTGGGCCTTGAAGGGCTGTTCTTCTCAGGACAGTGCCGTTCCAAGAGAGCCTTGCTCTGCCGCTTAAGGAAGGGTATGGACAGCTTAGAGTTCCCATCAACTCTTCTCCACGGCCTCTCCATCCAGGAGAATAAGATGCCATCCACACCAGCCTGGAGGGACAACATTGCTGTCTGCACCACCGCTAGCCAGAAAATCGGGTGCATGACGTAGTAGTGACTGTATGTCAATGCGTGCGACGCAAATGGAAAGCTCCACATGATGATATGCACGAGCGGGTATATAAACAAATATCGCAGCTGCTTTCGAATTGCAGCCCGAGTTTGCTTTAGTTGGTCAGTTAGTCCGTCTCCAACTGTGATCCTCTGTCCCACTTGCTCTGGAGAAGCGCTCTGGAGCTCATCAGTATCCCCTGATGTCCCAGCTGGCGAGGCTGAAGACTTCTGACCAGTGTCATGTGACGAGTGCATAGTTGCATCCATAACCGACCACGGGACCGCTGGGAGTTGTGTTTCACCCGACCAAGCACTACTGAAGCGTGATGTCATGCCAGAGGATTCATCCAGAGATGGTTGAGAAGCGGTGGCTCCTGAGAGGCGCCTTGTGGTTGCAAATGTCATCTTGTCCCATGGCCGCAGTGTTTGTGAGTCGGACTGCTGGTCAGTGCTCGCTTCCTTTTGAGCTCCTGAGTCTGGCAGCGAAGATATTTCAGGCGCCGATAGGAGAGTTGGGACACTTGAATTACCCTCCGCTTGCTTGCTGAGATTCTGAGATTCGTTCAAGGGTGGTGATGCGAGCCTAGAATCCCATCGCGAGCGGTCCGAAGAATCAGTCATTGCAAAGTTTTCGAAGCCACGAAACTTGAAGTGGATGTAGACATAGATCCAGATGTACATGCCTAATATCATGCTGATGATCAAATATCTTGGAACCCAAGACAGGGCCAATCGATACCAGAAGGGCCGTTTAGGAAGAAAGCAGAAAGTTCCGGCTGTTACATATGCAGTACTCTCATTCACAAACGCCAAGCTCGCTGAAAGCAGTGGTGGGCCAAGCCAGAGAAAGCAGATCCATTTCCGGTAGGGATATAGTCCGCCTTCACCCATGCGACTCGTCGGATGCTTGATGTATAGGATGGAATGCAGAGCGATGATAAAGATTGCCATGTCGCAGGCCTCAATGGAAAATTGGAGGAGGAACCCGCTGGCCTGGCAGAATTCTGACGGGGTGCTGACGAGACCTTTGGCAAAGATGACCACTGAGAAGACAAAATACCATAATGCTTTGGCTGTGTCGCTGATGATCAGAAACATGACGAGTTGGTGTCGAAAGCTTCGTCTCATCAGCAAGAACCATCTCAAGGCGATCAAAACTATCACAAAACTGAGTGAGGCCCCTACAAGGGCAGTGACATGTATTGCCAAATTCTGTGGATCACTGAAGGAGCCGCCAGCTCTGTGTTCAAAATCGGCGGCCGACGACAAGAAATCCTCGATTGGGTGAAGCTCTTTGGGTTTTGCATTTACAACGATGAGATCCGGTGAAGTCGGCATGTCGGTGAGTTTGTCTGTATGCGATAGTTGTTCTTGTCCTATGACATTATTGGCGAGACATATCTATCAGAACAAATAGAGCTGCCGCTACCCTGTTTTCGCTGGAGAGATTTTGAACAATCCTCCAAGTCATATGGTGCAAAGCGTATCTAATGCAAAAACAAGGAGGGATAATGGCATAGTTGCAATACAACTGCCTCCATTGATAAGCGCTGAGGCGAGACAGAAAGTCAGAGAAAATTCACAAATGGGAATTCAAGATGGTCATGACCACGGCATTGAAAGGAATAGCAACAAACACACGGGGAAACCCACACGTACGGACGGGCTGCCGAAAGCGAAGAGACATCTCGGCGATCCCTCTACTTACAGGTTACTAGCCATCAAAAGGTATGCTGCTGGTGCATGAACATGGCGAGCCTAAGAGATGGATAAAAGGATCAAAGTTAGAATAATGGAACAGCCAGGCAAATGATCTGGAAGGAGGGAACGATAGATTGACTTGGTGAGGCCAACCTGATTGACACTTTGGCCTTTACGAGGTCCGTGTGGTGTCTGTGAGGTCTGTGATGGATAGGATCGAGTCCCGATGTGCTGGGTAAGGATACATACGAGTAATAATTACAAATTGAAGGCTTTTCCAAATTGAGCGTGAGAGTTGCACTTGCACCTTTCTGGCCCAGCTGGCCCAGCTCCTTCCCGACGACCACACGTCTAAGTTAACGTCAACGCTCTCTTCAATATCTCCATGGTTGTCAATGCTAGGTATAAACGTCCCTCATGGCAACAGCTATTGCTAGGATGGAATATCGACCGAGATTACTCTTCTTAGCTCCCCTGCGCAGAACGAAGCAGTCTATGTACTAAAGCACATCAACTCTCCACTTCAATAACCGACTCGGACCATTATGGCCGAGTCGCGAGTTTTTCTGATGGTCGGCTGAAGTCTCTGCTCGTGTGCAGTATTATCTCTCGAGCTCACTGTTCCATGTGTCTCCTATAGGGAGCCTATAATATGGCGGATCCTATCCTCTACCGTGATGCTAACGACACAGTCGTCCTCATTGACATCCCTACTTCAATTGAGTATGCTCAACAAAATCATCTCATTCTTGCATCCGTTCCACCACCAGAAGTGCCATATTCAAGCACCGAACCTCGAGGCAATAAGCGGGCAGTTGCGTTGGCTAGAATACCAGCTCAAGAGCGGACTTATCATTCTTCGGTGCAATGCTTGATTCAAGAGTCATTGGCAAAGATCAAAACCTCGTATATTATTCAAGTCATTGACGGCCAGAGCTGTTCTTGGCACCGACCGCGACGCTATTTGACTGGAGGGGACGCAACTACTGACTCAGGCTTCGGTGCCGCACGAGCCTTGCCAGACGAATTTAGGTCTGTGACCGATGGTTCGCTGGTGCACCCCATCTTGGTCCCCGTCATCCTCTCATCAACAGAGCTACGAAACGAATTTCCCTCTCTACGGGCCGTGCAGGATGTGATCGTGCGCAATCCCCGGCCAGACTCCTCTCTGATGTGTCTCCAGGGAGCAGGTGGTTTTTGGGTCCCACCACATTCCACCTGCATCCAATCTAGTCTTGAAGAAGGGTGGGAAGCGTTCGTGAACGGCATTCCGGTATTACAAACTCCAAAATGCCGATCATTTGATCTGATACTGATGGATCCACCATGGATCAATAGATCAGCACGTCGTTCTGGCCACTATGAGACGGCTGAAACTCAGATGACCAACCCATTCAATACAGCCGTGCAAATCGTCAAAACCCATCTTGTTCCAGATGGAATTGTGGCAGTGTGGATTACGAACCGCGCCGCAATCCGTACGACTGTGCTCGACACATTTCGAGCCCTGAACTTGGAGCTGCACCAAGAGTGGATATGGATCAAGATTACGGCCGACGGAGAACCCGTGACCCAACTTGATGGCATCTGGAGGAGACCATACGAAGTCTGCCTGTTATTTCGTAAAGGTCAGTGTTCAGACAACAAGCCCAGGCGCCGAGTGCTTGTCGCAGTGCCCGATATTCACTCAAGAAAGCCTAATCTGAAATGTCTACTCGAGCAACAACTTCCTCCTCGTTACGAGGCACTTGAATTGTTTGCAAGATGCTTGACTGCAGGCTGGTGGTCGTGGGGCAATGAGGTCTTGAAATTCCAGCATGAGAGCCAATGGGGTCTACCTGATACCACCGACTGCCCAAGATCACTGGAAGGGCGAACATAAGGACGCCCAAGACTCTAGGAGGTTTCATGACTCCGATAAATGATATATTGTATTATGACATGCTTGATGCCGTGGTATGCTCTATGTAGGTAAAGAAAGAGTCTATGTAAGAACGGCGGAAGCACCGACTGAGAGCCGCCTATTTTGGTCTGCCTTTGTTCCATGCTCTATGTCTTCACTCGGTCGAACAATAGATCGTAAGACTCCAATTTTTTCTCCAATGCTCTTCCACTCAGGGCTACACCCTGGACCTTTGGTGTGGCCCAGTCAGATGCATGGGTATCATGAGACTGTTTATAAACAAGCATCCCCCGTCCGTCCTCTCTAAACCGGCCAGTCCTCCGTAGTGTGAGGAACCCTCCTTCCGCGGGGAGGCGAAATACTATTCGCGGCCCAGGCGCTCGCCCTCATCATGCTTCATCTCATACGCAGGACGATACCGCTCCTCACCTTTCTCATCATGATATTTTAAACGTGGATTCCTCACCGTATCATTGACGCCCCCCAGGCTGGTATATCCCTCATCATACATGGCACAATATCGCAGAGGGCCACCATCCTCCAGATCCTTAAGGTACGGCGACCGCAGGAAACACCAAATCTCCTCCAGATGCCAATCGATCACCGGGTGCACACGCATGAATGTCGGCCAGTTATGGTCCGTGGCGTCGAAATGCGTCAGGTGCCCGCCGTGGGGGTCCGTCCGCCGCGTCCCCACGAATATCGCATGCACCTGCGGGTTCGCGTCGAGGTAGAGTGCGAAGGCGTCCCGGAAGGATATAGTCGGTTTGGCTTCTGGCAGATCATGGTTTTGTTGTAGGTCGTTGAACTTGGGCGGTGGGTGTGTCAGTGGGGGGTTCGAGTGGGAGCGCTGTTTCTTGTTTGGTCCTGGGTTCGTCGATATATGTGCTAGGTCGAGGTGGTATACTCGGGCCGAGTATTCCACGAAACTGGTCACGGCGGGGAATGGGTCGGGTGGTTTGGCGTAGATGGAGGGGATGGACTGAGGGAATGGTTGTAAGGGAATCTCTGCTTCGCTATTGGTCTTCCGCGAGTTGTTCTTCGCTGCTGGCAGTTGCTGCTGTTGTGTGAAGTGCGCGTGCAGCACCGAGAGATACAGGATCAGGAGCACCAGGCAGTCTTTCCCGCCATTGTAGGACAGCGAAACATGTTCGAACCTAGCATGAAGCCAGAATTAGTCTTTGCTTTTTGCGCGGTATGTGCCTCTCCCTTCTTTTTCTTCTTCTTCTTCCTATGCAGACATCCAAATATAAAGCAGGGGGAGAACGCATTCCCACTCACTGATAATCCCGCAGCGCCTTTTCTACCACACCCATCGCAGTGCGAGTCTGGTCCTGCGTGCGCTTGGTCACTTCGTCTGGAGGCGAAGAGGACAGAAATGCCTGTACTTGGGCATGCAATCCAGCGCAGACATTCTGCAGCGACGAGGCGCCGCCGGAGTCTATCTGGGAGTTTTCAGTTGCGGTTACATCTGCTTCTCCATGGCCGCTGGCGACGCCGTTGGTCATGGGGGCATTGGGCGGCAGCGATGTAGAGGGCGTGCTCATGGTGATGTCATGGGCCAGTACCGTGGGTGTCTTCGGGGAGAAAGAGGGATATGCGATAAATGGAGGACCTGGAATACAACTTGCTGTTTAGCCCTCGGTATGATGTTTTGAGGCTTTGAGGAAGTAGAGGGATCGGAGTGAAGCACCCAAAGGCGGGACAAGAAGGTGACAGAAGTGTGGGGAAACATTTTCTTGAAAGAATCAATCGCGTTCCGACCCCGACTCCGTCCAGAGCCCGGAACCGCCGCATGGGCTCAGCTAGCATTGCGTTGATGCATCTAATGTAGATTGTCGGATAACCAGCCTGAGCTACATAGGACCTTGTTCATGTTAGTCTGTTCCCCCCCGTGGAGCGCCGTCCAAGTTATTCATCTCTATCTCCCTATTCTGTGGTGCCTCCTATGTATGCATCCGACCCGAGAGATGCGAGCGAAAAGACCCAACGGCATTAACCCATCGCTAACAGTGGTATCAGAGTTACCATCGTCATCATCCTATGACCTTCATCTTCTTTTTCTTCTTCTGCTCCTCGCCCTTCTTGACTCCCTTCTGGAAATCCCGCCAGCTGCCTATCCGCTGCTCACGTGTCTCTTCCCACTTCTTCTCGTGCTCCCTCTTCCGCTTCCTCTCATCAAATTCGGCATCTTCTTTCGCCTTCTCCCTCCCTTCTTCTTGCATTTTGGCCTTCATCTGCCGTCTGCGTCGAGCCTCAGCTTCCACAAGTACTTCAATGGTCTTCTTGCGCCATTCCACCTTGAACTCTTCGGTCTTTAGCTCCTCCGAGTCGACTGTGTATTTGTGTGCGCGAATGAGTAGCTGTCGGGCATCAGCAATGCACTCGTCCAAATGCTGCCGCTGCTTCTCATCTAGTAGCACTAATTGTGCCTTCTTCAGCCGGTCAAATGCTTCAGGCGCCTGAGGGTTCTTGGTCTTGTCCGGATGGATTAGCAGGGATTTCTTGCGGTAGACGATCTTGATGTCCGATTCGGGAACACCAGGTTGCAAGTCTAGCACGGCATAGCTGGCGAGCAGGTCAGTAGGGGTTTCATATAGACGAATGGTGAGGCAACTTACGCATCAAGCCTGAAGGCTTTCAGAATCCGATCAATTTCTGCATCCTTGAATCTTGTCAGCAACCACATTCCATCAGCATCGCCATCCAGTACTCCTTACCTTGTCATATTCCTTGGCTTCCTTTTCCAGGGCATCAAGAGCATCCGACTCATTAGCCATGGCGGGGCGATTCTTTGGATCTTACCGATAAGATGGGCAGTACTTCGCTGCACGGAGTATTTAAAGTTGGTTGTATAGATCTTTCAGAGACTCGACGCCCTAGTCATCTCATTCCACCTGGCTCAATTTCTCTGAGGACTGCTGGAATGAGAGGTAACGCCGAGGTGTGAAGCCGTTGGGGATATCGCAGGCACGACTTGGGCTCCCTCAAGAAGAAGGTATCCCGAACATCACGTGTTTGCACAGAATGATGACCCTCAGGTTAAGAGGTCTGTCGTAGATTCTCAATTTTGGCTGCTCCAACTTCTGCAGAAGGGAGCAGATGGAGAGTGTCCTCAACTCATGAATGCTTCTTGCAATTTCAAATTTGACCAAAGGGATGAAATGGCTATGCACCTTTTCTCTCAGCCACATAGTAGATGCCAAAGTTGGGTCCCATGCACGAGTGGTGCAACTGTGATGCCCCTGTCTCCTTGGGGCAGCCGGGCGCCAAATGGCAAGCAATTTCAAGCCTAATGCATAGGCTGAAACCCCCTGGGACTACACAGCCTGATCAGCCTTTTCAATCCTATTGTCGCTCAAGAGATTGCTACCCATTCCATGTCGACAAGCTTATGTAGGCTTAACGCACTAAGAGTATGTATGACACCTACTATACGACCATACCCGATCATCACCTAATTCGGTAGGAAATTGTACGTCTGTCTTGCGAGACTTGTCTCTTCTCGACTTACTTCCCACGTTTTGCAATCCAGTCGCTTTTCATGGCATGTCGTGCCGGAATTTCAATTCCTCCGGGATTTGTGAAGTTCTCTTGCGGAAGACTCAACAATAATGGCGCATTTACGCGTTTTGATAGTCGGAGCCTCCGTGGCCAGACCAACAGCAGCATACTGGTTCGCCCGCGCTGGCGCGCAGGTTACAATCATTGAACGCTTTCCCTCTTTCCACGCCAACGGTCAAGGCATCGACCTTCGTACTGCTGGGGTACAAGTGATGCGCAAGATGCCAGGCATGGGAGCTGCCGTGCGCGCCAAGACGACTACGTAAGAAGGCGTGAGCTTCGTGGACACGCATGGATAGCCGTATGGGACGTTGAGGGCGACGGGAGACCCCGACCGGCAGGGTCTTGTCAGCGAGTTTGAGTTTTCAGAGGGAACTTGGCGCAGATTTTATTTGATCTCACGAAGGACAATGAGAATATCGAGTACGTCTTCGGCGAACACGTCGCTTCGATCGGACAGGGCGAAAAGGAGGACGGGCCTCTCAGTGTTGAATTTATGAATGGTAAATTGCCGGCGCAGACGTATGATCTCGTGGTCTCCTGTGATGGCGCAACCTCGAGAACTAGGGCAATCGGTTTTAGCTGCCATTCGCGAGAACTATATCAGCTCGATGAACGCCTGGGCAGCTTACTTCACCTTGGAAGAAGATCTTATAGAAGGAAGCAAGATCGGACAGGGCTACAGCGCTGTTGGCAGCCGCTTTCTCTCCATCGGACAGGACCCCTCGTGCACGTCCAAGGTCTGCTTCATCAGTACCCTTCCACGGAAAGACCGAGATGCCACACTGAAGCAGGGAGACGACGCGCTCAAGCAATACGTTGCCAAGCGTTACAAAGACTCCGGCTGGAAGAGCACCGAAATCATCAAAGGCATGATGAAGGCCGAAGACTCCTACGCCAGTGAATGGGCTCAAGTCAAGAAGCCGAACCTGTACAAAGGACGTTTTGTCCTCGTTGGTGACGCAGGCTGCGCACTCGGTCCGACTGGTGCTGGCACGACTCTCGCTCTTACCGGCGCCTGCGTGCTAGCCGGCGAGATTTGCAAACACAGGGGCAACTTCGATGCAGCATGCGCAGGCTACGAGCACATAATGAGACCGATTATCACGGACTTTCAAAAGACCCAACTGGGATTCCGGGAACCATAGCGCCACAGACTGCTTGGGCCATCTGGCTACGGAATACCATCTCTGCTTTTGTCACCTGGCGTGTGGTGGCCGAATTTGTGCAAAGATGGTTTGGTGCCGCCACGGCCGAGAGTGATAAATACAATCTCCCGCACTATGACTGGATGCGCTGATGGAACAGCAGGACACGTGGCGTGGTGGCGCTAGGGCCTGTCTATTGCAAGCGAATAGATCATATGTAAATAAATCGGTTGGTCGAAATCCGCAAATAGGAGGCAGACTTGAAAAATAGTTCATGAGTATCATACGGAGTATGTATCTCCTACCTTGTAAGCGTTAAGCACCCCTTGGCTAAGTCTTGAAAGATTCCGAGATCCTGTAGAACATTTGCAAAACAACCCTTTTCCCGACTAGGTATGTATTCTGGCCATCTCGAATCAATGGATGGTCAAGACTCAAAGACAATCGACACTCTGCTTCCGGATGGTAGCGATACGCCCACTGACATATCAAGAGAGAGGGGCAGGGTGTCTGCCAAGGTCGTACCAAGGCTTAAGAATCTCTTGACCACGCTCCACTGCTACCTGGTACTTATCTCGCATGGCTTCTGAGACCATACAACCTGCCTCAGCCTTGCGGGCGGAACTGATGCCAAGGTCTGGGCATTGAGCTCCACTGATAAGAGACGTTGTTTGAGTAATTCCTCCACTTCATCATCTCTTCGGCCCCTTTCCCCAGCGGAATCCCACCACGAGGTACGAGGTACGGAGTACTGCGTACTGGCTCATCAATCTGTTCTTTGCGCTAGCACTGCCTCATTAGGCGAGATCTATCAGTCACTTGCAATGGGGTTTATCAGTTGCGTTTGTGATTGGTATTGCGCTCCGAAATGTTCGCCTTGGCTGCCACGAGGCCTGGGTGCTGACATCAATGGTCCACCTTGACTTTCCCGGGTTCAGGGATCTATGCCAGCTTCCAGGGTTTGCACGCATCTCGAATTCTTTACTGCTACTCGAACCTTGAGCTCTCAGCAATGGCATTTGCCTTGAAACAACCAGGACATCAGAGAATGAAAAGAGTTCTTAATCTCCTCTGGCCCGATATCCCAGCAACGGTTTGCGAATATGGTGACTGGAAACTACTTCGGTCTGAGGCGGCTTCGCCTTGATCACCACTCGGTGGCCTACCACTGGATAGCCTTTCCACTTTGGGAACAACAGCTATCAGTGCTCTATCTCTTGGCTTTCTAGGATATCTGGAAGTATGAGGGGCGAGTCGTGTTACCCTAATTATGCACTCCGAGTTGAACCCTTCATAACATCATGCCATCCTGACGATCTCTCTTCTGCTCGTTCACGTCTTTCATTGCCCTTTTACTCAAGGTCGCACACCCTTTCTTCTTGTGCTGGAACCAGAGTCATTCTCTTTCATCCTTGTTGAAAAGGGATTCTTTGGTGTAACGCTTGTTTGTTGTCACCATGTCGGACGAAATCACCCCCATCACAGAATGGCCCGACTACAGTGTCAACCCCCAGGGCGGTGACCCAATCACCCAAGATCTGAATGCTCCATACGACAAGGTAATGTTCACAGCATGCTTCCGTTATGGCGCAGTGTTTCTCACAGACTTCTCAATAATAGGGTGATCTTTGCTGGATCCTAGTGTGCACAATCCTATGTTGGCAAATCACTCCCGCTATCGGCTACCTGTACGCGGGCATGCACCGCCGCAAAGCCGCCTTGACGATGATATTCCAATCTCTGTTTTGCGCCTCTGCTTGTGGCATCCAGTTCTGGATCTATGGTTACAGTCTGTATCAATCGCACACTACGAATCCCATGCTCGGAAACCTCTCACTGGCTGGTCTGCATAACGTCCTCGCAGCTCCGTCCCTGGCCAACTCCGATATCCCGGATATTCTGTATGCGTGCTTTGGTTTCACTTTCGTCACGGCGACGGCGATGATTTTGGCTGGTGCGATGCTCGAACGTGGTCGCCTTTTCCCGTCGATGCTTTTCCTGCTCTGCTGGACGACTTTCGTTTACTATATTCTCGCCTATTTCGAGTGGAACCCGAACGGTTGGCTGTACCAGCTGGGCGTGTATGATTTCGCCGGGTCTGGTCCCGTGCATATTGCGAGTGGCTTCTCTGCTTTGGCGTGGAGTTTGATGCTTGGACCGAGATTGAGTGAACACGACGCCGCCACTCGTCGAAAGATGATCCATTACAAGCCTCACAACCCCTTTTTAGTGGGCATTGGGACGTGCTTCATCTGGTTTGGATGGTTCGCTTTCAACGGTGAGTCTCGTATAATCTCAAAAAATAGTTTCAAAAGACGAGTACTGATACGGAGTCACTAGGTGCAAGCACGGCGAATCTCTCCATTCGCTCCATCTACGTCGTCGTGAATACAAACCTCGCCGCCTGTGGAGGCGGTATCGGCTGGACTCTGCTTGAATACTTCTACACAAAGAAATTCAGCATCATTGGCTTCTGCTCCGGTATCATCTCTGGTTTGGTCGGCATCACACCGGCCGCTGGCTTTGGTGAGCACAAACATTCCTCACTTTCTCTTCTATTCTCTCCAAGAAACAAGGGGGAACAAACAACTGACTCTTTCGGAAATGAATAGTCCCCGTCTACACCGCCGCACTTGTCGGCCTCCTGACGTCCGCCTGCTGCTTCTTCACCAACAAGTACAAATACCTGATCAGCATCGACGAGGGCCTGGACATCTTCGCCATTCATGGCGTCGGCGGCTTCGTCGGTGACATCCTGACGGGCTTCTTCGCCGCATCCTGGGTGCCAGCACTCGACGGCGCCTCTGGTGCAGCATACGCCGGCGGCTGGTGGGAACACAACTGGATCCAATTGGGTTACCAACTTGCCGCGGCGACGACGTGTGCCGCGTGGAGTTTCATCGTCAGTTGTATTTTGCTGTTTGTCATTAATAAGATTCCTGGGTGCCATTTGCGCGTCAAGGAGGAGGACGAGGTTAAGGGTTTGGATTTCAAGTATTTGAATGATGTGCACTGGGACGATTTGATGGAACTCGGCATGCCGAGCGGGAGTGTCATGACGACCCATCGTGGCGTCCATGAGGGCGTCCCGTTCACGGGATCAGGCCCCGGAAGTGAGAGCGGGAGTGGCAATGATGGCTCAGGCGGTGTGAAGAAGGAGGGCGTTCCGGCTCCTAAGTTGGATTAGATGCTTATTATAGGCAAGGATGAATGCCGCTTTCAGGCGGACAACGAGCCTCTTGATATTTTCCTCCGGGGGCGCACGTTTGAGCGGGAACTTCGCACTCTGCGAATGAATGTGCTCCTTCTTTTTGATACACCGAGGGACAAAGAGACGTTATCCCACTGAGTTTTTCTCTTTTCCTTGTTAAGCAAAGATCGGTCCGCCACGCGAACCACGCGAACCACGCGAACCACGCGAACCAACTACTCGCCAAATCTCAAAAATGACTGACTCACGTGAATAAGCTCGAGTAGTAGTGGATGGAGCGCAGGCACAGATTGCTCTCCATATGTCATTTTTCATTTTGAACATTGTCAATATCCATAGAGTAGGCCTTTTGGTTTGGGTGGTTTGCAGACACTATGCAGTAACTGCGCGCATTTACCAGCAGAAAGATATTATGTAGTAGTGACTCTAATTAATAGTAAGTGGTCCTGGCAGGGTTCGCGTGTTCGCGTGATCTCGCGCGTCGTCACATGATGGTGCCTATTCAAGTCGCGTCAGGCGTTTTCAAATGCGCCACTTCAACCCTGATCAAATGTGAGACAAATAACACATTAATCCATGGAACAGTAGCGGTGGCAGCAACGGCAATGCGAGGTATCCTTGTCGCCCTGGCAAGTTCGTGATGGGGAGAAACAGCCTGGCTTCAGGCCAACTTACATGGCGGGGCGTGCCGCAGGAATTGCCTTGCCATGGTTGTAGGATGTGGCAGGTTTGCAGCCGGGTTGGTCAATCATCGGCCAGGATGGCGAGGAAGACATTTTCGAGGCAAAAAGGCAGTACAGCTGCGATCAGGGCTCCTTCTGCACGTTGACATTGGCTAGGTAGGGAAGGCTCGGACAGATGTTCTACGAGGAAGTTGGGTCGTTCGACTCATTTCCTGATATTTGCATAAACAGTGTCCAAGTCCCGGCAAAAATGTCGTTAATGCAGCATGGACATCTATCATACAGCTACTGAGACAAATAGGCTGGTCGAACTTCGATACTTATCATCAAGCCCTCGTCGCTTTTGATTCCAATAGCAACGGCCGAAGCATTTGCTGCGTTTGAGTGCAGCGGACTCAGGCATCCAAGTGATCGATTTCGGTGGTCGAACCTTGCTCCAGGGTTCTAGGCTGCTCAGATATGTCAAAATGCATCAAGAAATGTTCGCGATTATTTGGAAGAGGTTATGGAAGTCCTCGATCGCATGTAGAAGGTTCACCATGAGACTGAAACACTCGCATCGAACTAAATCAGCTTGCCAACGTGATGGCTTCTGCTGCTACCGTCAGGTAAACCGCGAAGGGGCTGTATCAGGTCTTGAAGTGTTTCCCCCAAAGCCGTCAAGTCCTAGCCGAACTACGAGATCCTGGAGCGCGATCAAGTTTGTTACCAAAGAACATGAGCTTCAGAGAATGTGAGAGAAAATCGAAAGGGGAGAAAACGACTTCACTGCCGCACTCAGCCTTCCAGGGGTCGCACTATCTGAGTAACAACAGGTACGTCGAAATAATAAACTCAATTTCTGTGATCAGGTTTATCTCAGGTATTTCAGCTCTGGATCGAATGCAGAAGACAACAAGAACAGCGACGAATCGAAAATAATCCAACTTGACACCCTACCGGAAATCTCAAACGAGCGAGAAATGCTCACAGGATTGTGATGCAACTCTTCTGGTGGTTGATGGGACCATCTATATTAGTCACCAGATTCGAACCATACTCCGACTGCTGTCATATCGGATCTAAAGAAGCTCGAGGGAATCTGACCGGGTTGGAGGTTATTTGGACGCGGATGTGCTCCCATCCTGCAAGTATTCTCAACAACCATCGCGATGGAACTCTCGCGCTACCGACTTACAACTTACAACACGCGTCGAAGTGGTAGTACGGACGGACGGCGCCTGAATACCTAGTATTTCTGAATGGACCATGAGAGCGCAACGACCGAAACCGCCTTCAATACCAAACTATGTACTTTGTCATTTTGCTGTTTCTTCATTTTTTGATCAACCCATGCTCTCGAGGTTTGTTGGCCATTCAGCTTCAAATCGATGGATCGAGCCCTTCAGAGAACATTGGTGCGAGGGTCTTCCTCGAGTCCATCCGATCAACGGATACAGTGTCTTTCATCTTAGCAAAATCAAGTAATGGGAAATATTCGACAGCCACGGGCGTCTTCAAAATTGGGGAATACCACGAAACGCCCGCTTCGAGAATTATCACTGTCCGTCCGGCTACAACCTCCACTTAATTACCAGGTGTTTTTCTCTTCTGGGCCGATCCTTCATGATGACCCACCACACTGCGAAGCGCCTTGGCAGCTAGCCGTGCATGCTCTGTCTCAAGAGCAAAAATGCGCAAGTTTTCGTAGTATGAGCAAGTTTGCTCTCTTAATCGATCCACACCACTTCGAAAGCTTGCTACAGCTTGACCAAGTGCTTAGCCAATGCTTTAGCCCTCTGAGGACTTCCACATCACTTTCGTATGCGCTTGATTGGTTCATTCATTCCCCGAGTGGAGCCGTCATGCCACGGCACAAGATATACATGGTACTCGTACGCAGCGGTGCGAGTCTGGGCCCGTTCCTCGAGCATCAGGCATGTGCCAAAACAATCTTAGCTGGTTGATGCGAATGGCTGGGCATTTGTTCGCACTTTTGGATACCACGTTGAGCGGGTCAGGGAGATGCTAACCTTCGGAGTGAAAAGTCCGGCCTGACAAGGGCGTTACCTATGGCCGTGCTTTGGTTTGGCGGTCGGGATGCTGACAAGGTGAAAGACGTGAATGGCTTGCTTGATCTTGACTCTTGACCAAGGCTTCAGTCCCGCATTCCTTTTCTTTTCAACTTCGAGATCAAGCTTGTCTTTGAGTCTGAGCGCGCAGTTCCTTTGCCCTCAGCGAGTCATTTACAATGGATATGGACATGCCACCCCCAGATCCGACTATCGTGAACCTACCATTGTCGGATCCCAGATGCAATGTGTCCGACTGTCTCGCATTCGCGGCTGCCGCCGCTGAGTCTCAAGCGAAAATACCTTGGGCAGACGGATTCAAGTACGGCCGTTGGGCGACATACTACTACCTTGCCATCACCGGGTTGTTCATACTCAGCTACGCATACCACAAGTATCAAGATCGAAAAGCGACTGTGTCACGATTGTCAGACGCCCAAGCACCTGGGCTGAGGCAAAAACTACTCGCAGTAGGCCGGTGGCTGGCCTATCGACGCATTGAGTTCCCTGGGTCGAGCGTGTTCGAGATTCCATCGTTCGGGGTAGTCTCACTTCTTCTCGCGACGGTCGTGTTCTTGGCCGCTCTTACCTTCGCCGCACGCCCATACTATCGAAAGCACGTCCACTACGGCTCGCCTCCCATTGCTACCAGGACGGGCCTCATGGCTTACGCGTGTACGCCAATTTTGATTGCTTTGGCAGGAAAAGCGAACGTCATAACCCTGATAACGGGCATCAGCCATGAGAAGCTAAATGTGATTCATCGCTGGGTGGGATGGTTCACGTTAGTCTTGAGCTTGGTTCACACCATTCCATTCTTCTATCAACCTGGACAGGATCATGGATATACCACTCTGAATGCTGAGTGGTCTGTACGTATGGGTGGCGATATGGTAAGTCTCAGTGATGATGAAAACAATTTAACCCATTAACACTTGCGTCTCCTGCAGTATAGCGGTGTGCCACCACTAGCAATGCTCGTTGGACTTGTCTTCCTTTCCATACAACCCATCCGCCAATGGGTGTACGAGACGTTCTACTTCTCCCACGTTCTGATGGCCATCACCTATCTGGGCCTTCTCTTTTGGCACGCCGCAAACTTGGGAGACTCCTGGGCATATCTATGGGCTACACTGGCGCTGTGGCTAGCCTCATGGCTTGCAAGGCTGTTCTGGTACACCAGACCGATGAACATCCGGAATGAATGGTTCCAAGGAGCCACCACCCTGCTTACTCATTTACCGGGTGGAATGACCAAGATCGAAGTGTTGAACCCACCCGATGGATTCACATGGACGCCATCGCAGCATTGCTTCCTCCGATTTCCAAGAATCAGTCTTTTGGACAACCATCCATTTACGATTGTTTCCGGCCCGTTGCCTGCACCTTCGAGGAGGAACAATGTCAAGCAGCGAGGGGAGAAAGTCGGCGACGTGTTTCAAATTCCTCACAAACAAGTACCCCTGACCTTCTTGGCTCGGACGCATTCAGGATTCACACGCCGCTTGGATTCCTTCAGCGCGAAGCACGCCGATAATGCCCTGGAAGTCTGGATTGACGGGCCATACGGCGGGCTCGGCAGGCCAATCGAGAGACTCTATGACCACCTTGTGCTCGTCGCCGGAGGGTCAGGCATCACAGTCTGTCTCCCCTGGCTAACATCCATCATGGCCGCGGAACCCTCGGAGATCAGAGTCGAACGCATCTCGCTGGTTTGGGCCGTGAAGCACCAGGAGCATCTCGACTGGGCGAGGGATTGGTTGACTGGCGTGAAGGAGAAACTGGCGCAGAGAGTGGAAGGATCGAGATTAGAGATCAACTCGAGGTTCTACGTTACGCAGGAGGCCATCGAGGAGAAACCCATCACCACGACACACCTACAAGATTCTAAATCACGGCCCATGCCACAGAGCAAAGAAATCGACGACGAAATCCACAAGAGCCCTTCACCTTCCTCGACCATCGACGACCCCACCACCGCCACCACCAACCAAAACACATCTCCCTCCGCAACACAGCAGCTTAGCAGCACACCAATCTTCGAGCCCCTGGATCTGCACAGCGGCCGTCCGGACATGGCAACAATCGTGCGCGACGAGATAGCTCGCTCCGCCAGCAACAACAAGAAACTCTTCTTCGTGGGCTGCGGGCCCGGGAGCATGCGGAACGAGCTTGGAAACGCTGTCGCGCGCGCTCAGACCGGTGTCATGAAGGGTGATGTTGCGGAGGTGGCGTTGCATTTGGAGGCTTTTGGTTGGTGAAAGGTTTGGGTAAGTTTGAGATCGGGCGGGATGGTGTAGGTACGTAATCGGCAGGAGAATGAGGGTACGAAAGAATCTACAAGAAACCTAAGAGATATGATATGAAATGATTCATCAAAGAATGTATTTTTGCGGGCTCTATATGAGTGCACATACCATCCCGATGAACTGCCACTGTAGGTAGCTCTGCTTCGAAGCCCACAGTATCTACTACGCAGAACGTCTCTTCCGAGCCCTGCGCCTCGCCGCGGATCCCGAATTACCAGCCCCTTGCACTTGTGGCTGCTGCATTCCGGCAACTCCATCAGGCGGTGGATAGGGAGCGAGTCCGCTGAGCCAGAGGCCCGGGGATGGGGGAGTCTCCGAGCCGGAAATGGCTATCGCTCCCAATCCTCGAACAAGGTCGAAGACTTGCGTGGCGGGAGGGACGAAAGTTGCCGACAAGGTGGGTGAAAGTGCGGGTGCAGTCCATGGGTTCAGAGAGTAAGTCGACACCTCGTCCATAGGACTTATCGTTCCGTTACAGTAATATTCTTGATCTCTTGAACTGATGCTGGGAAGGATGTCTGGGCGGCAGCGTGGTTGGAATGGGTTAAGGCTGGAATACCGGAGCGGTCGCAAAATCGGGGTAGCAGGAACTGGGAAGATGGTTGTTTGATCGATGGGGTGCGATAAAGCGTTGCTGGTGGGCTGGTAGCAGGCACCTGCTACTTGCATCGGGGGCAGTGTGTTTGTGTAGAACGGCTGCATTTGCATGGAAGGTGCAGTTGCTGGTGGAGACAACACGTGGTATGCAGAAGCAGCTGGACGAGATAGACTGGTCATCAAACCGTGTTGTGTTTGTTGAGCATACTCGTCGTGCGCACGCCGCCACTGGTGGTCATCCAGTCTCTGCATCTGCGCCACGACGGCGTCGAGATTGTTACAAAGAGCTTGGCCGGCACTCTCGCATCTCGTCAATTTCGATCGGGTGGTTTTCAGGCTCCTTTCTAGTCTTTTTGTTTGCTCGCTCGGCCTCTGGTCAGTGGTGGCAAGAACAGCTTCCATCTTGTTCAGTATTGAAGTCAATCTTTCTTTGCGTCGCTCTTCGTTGGCGAGCGCTCGGAGTAGATAGAGTCTCTCTTGCTGGAGAATTGAGTGCTGGACCGTGCACAGACTCGGCGGATCAGAGGCAATCCCATCGTGGTGCATCGACATGGCCTTCCGATAGATTTTGTTTAATTAGAGAGGATGATAGGGAGCAATCAATCTCTTTGAAGATCTGAGGGATGTGACATATCGACAGAGAACTGTCAACGGCTCCATGGCCGAAGCCGGCGTATGAACGGCTCTGTGCAGTTGACCGTGCTGATAAGTGGATTCGACAAAGAAACAAGGCTAGCCAGTCAAGCAAGGCTTATCGCAGAACCCGGGGCCAGGAATGCAGGACAAAAGAGTCTCTGTCCAATTGGTCGCTGACATGTCACTTCACACATTCCAACCACCATGTCTTGCAGCCTCAGCGAACCTCCAGAGGCCAACATCTATTGCTGCCTTCTGCACGGCGTTGATTTCATCGCGATTGACAGCGCGATCGATTTCAGAGTAACGCTTCTCTTTGACGCTGGCGCCCCTCTTCTCCTTCCCGACATGGGCGGTAGGGAAATACTGCTCCATGACATTGACAAAGACATCCTTTCCTAGGGCACTGGCCAGCCAGTTCATTATCTCCACGCCTTCTTGTTCTTTGCCGGGCATGACCAGATGACGCACGAGCACGCCTTTCTTCGCGATACCGTCACCTGTGAAGCACAGATGACCCACCTGTCGGTACATTTCTTGTATACTCTCCCTGGCGGCGTCCGCATAGGCATCCGCCTTGAGGAGCCTTTTGCTTGTATCGTTGTTCCAAACCTTGAAATCTGGGAGGTAGATATCTACAAGGCCGTCCATCAGGTGGAGACTTTCCAGACTGTCAAATGCACTGGTGTTGTAGACGATAGGGACTTTCAGTCCTAAATCTCGTGCGGTGAGGATGGCCAGTGCGACCTGCGGTACGACGTGCTCTGGTGTGACAAAATTGATGTTATGCACGCCACCCACCTCCTGTAGCTTCAGCATCCAATTTGCAAGCTCCTCAGGCGTCAGATCGAACCCGCTCTTCTGATGGGCAATGTCATGATTCTGACAAAACACGCAGCGCAGGTTGCAGCCGGAGAAGAAAACTGACCCAGAGCCATTATGGCCTTGTAGACACGGCTCTTCACCGAAATGCGGTGCGATGGTCGACACCTTGACTGTCTCGGCACCGATCAGACAGTGTCCCGTCGTCTCGTAGCGGTTGACATTGCAGAGGCGAGGGCAGAGGTTGCATTGCCGGAGGTGGGCATAGGCTTTGGATCTTTTCTTGGCCGCGTCTGTGGATGACAGCAGCTGGTATCGCGGTATATAATCATCGAGGAGAAACGGCGGTGCCAGATGGAGACTGCGGCCTCCAGGTCTGAGTCTGAGAGGAGGAGAGATGGCTACTGCTGCGGCTGAGGTATCCAACCACTTCAGGCGGGGCCTAGCTAGGCATGATCGGAACATTCTCGAGGTCAAGGCCATGCGAGATCATGTTTGACAATCTCTCGTGGAGATATCCTCGGGTGCGTTGGATATAATGCGGGAGGGAAGAGGAGCACAAGCTAATAATAATGTTTAATATGTTTTGTTAGGAGATCGGTGTCTGGGAATCGCGGCCTCATGTGACGTAACTCAGCTCACCCATCCGGGGTCCACGTCCTGTAGTCTCTACTTCCCAAACAGCAACCTGAAATTATATCCTCATATCTACACTGGCACTTTGCGGACGGGCTGATCCTGTCTTTTACCCGAGTATATCAAAGTGTCGCCTATTGGGTGCTTTGCCCACACCATGGCACGGATACGGGCCTACATACATCCTCTCGGCTTGGTTCTGGTGCTCGGCTTCCGAACCAGAATAGGACAGCCTTGACGAGCCGTAATCAAGGATAGAAATAGCCTCTATCGTCTGTGCATATATTTGTTTATTTTGATACCTCTCGAGTCCTCCCAAAGTAATGATTGTTTATTCGTTTGATGGTAGCTTTGGCAGCCACAATAACAATAAATAATACTGGCACCGTACCAGAGACACGTTATTTTGCGTTTCTCCCTCTAGCCACGGCTGAACTTCGGCGGGCTGCGACATCTGATACATCCGAAATTAATTACAGTACGAGTAATCCGTACTTGGACCCCGAAAACGCTCCAACATTGCTGCCTCGTCAACTCACATAATCCTCAAGCTTTGTGTACCGGACACCTCGTGCAGCACATAGACTACAGTGCGCAAGGGAGGCGGCACTCCAGCACATCGAATTCCCTGTAGTACTCTCCCCTGTTCAACATTCCTCCTCCCTCCACTAGCACAACCTGCGTCCCTTTCCTCCACCCCCACTACAACAACCACCACCACCACCAAAAACATCCAACCATGAAAGCAGTAGTCGCCGTCCCGACAGCGGCCTTCATAATCATCCGAGCCCACCGGCGCAAGTCCCTAACACCGCTGGGGCTTGTCTCCGCGGGAGCCACTGCCACGATCCATGCCCTGCACCCGTCGCCCATCCCGTTCCTCCTGCTCCTGACATTCTTCCTGCTGGGCACAAGCGCCACGAAAGTCAAGCATGAGATAAAAGCCACGCTCACGCTCTCGAGCAGCGGCAGCTCCGGGGGCGAGGGCCCACGGACGGCGATCCAGGTATTCGCGAACAGCGCCGCGGCGAGTGCCATGGTGCTGCTGCATCTGTGGGCGGACGGCCTTGACCTGGATGGGACAAAGGGCTGTTTCGGGAGCCGAGCGGGTGCGGGCACGAGGCTGGCGGATCTGTACCTGATGGGAATCATGGCCAACTACGCGGCTGTCACGGCGGATACGCTGTCGAGCGAACTGGGGATCCTCTCGAAGACGAGGCCCGTGCTGATCACGACGTTGAAGACTGTGCCGCCGGGGACGAACGGGGGGGTGTCGTTCGCCGGGCTGGTGGCTGGCGTGGGCGGCGCCGCGGTGATTGCTGCCATCTGCTGTCTGCTGTTGGATGTGTGCGGCGGCGTGGTCGGGGGATCGACGACGGCCGTGTTGCTTAAGGTGTTTGCGCTCCTCACCGTGCTGGGGAGTGTTGGCACGCTGCTCGACTCCTTTCTTGGCGCTATGCTGCAGGCGTCTGTGATCGATCGGCGTTCGGGAAAGATCGTAGAAGGTGCGGGCGGTGTGAAGGTCTTGACCAAGCCCACGCGGCGGCCCAGCCAGAGCGTGCCGGACAGTCCGGGAAAGCAGTCAAGGAGCACGGATGAGAAAGCGAAGGCGGATTTACACGAGAGCAGGGTCATCAACTCCGGGAACGATATTCTCGACAATAACCAGATCAATCTGCTTATGGCGTGTATTGTGAGTGGATTGGGTGTCTTTGCCGGCACTTTATTATGATATGAGCTTAGAGTAGATTACGTTCAGAGGAATTCCTATGTCCAATAGATTCAAGATTATTACACTATATATGTACCTCTCATCACCGGGTATCATCATGACAGTCTTGGGCCGAGATGCCCTCATCGCTAAACAAAAACCCAAAGCAGTCCATCAAGGAGTGAATTTGCTTCTCGAGCAATGATATCTTTCAAAGCTCTAGATGAATATCCTTCCAACAGACCATCATTCCCAACAAATAGGTAACATCGTCAGACATATGCTGCATTTAGGCTGTCTAAAGATCTCTGATCCAAAAGCATAACCAACTCATTGATTCCAAAACAAAAACAGTTTACCACATTCCACGCTAATTTCAACGGGTTGGATCTTCGTAAGGGCCTCCTCTTCAATTAGAGACAAGGCCTAATCGCTGCATTCGTAAATATATCATGTCACAAGAGAATATTGTACAGCACACATGTCGCTATTAAATACCATCCAAGCAATTCGGAGATCGGTATCCTCAAGCTGGTGAGAGCAGCACCATTTTCAGTAGCACTCCCCGTGGCAGATGCTGAATCCGTAGACCGTGCTCCAGTTGCTGCCGTGGGAACAGCAGTTGGAGCAATGGTAGTTGAATGCAGACCTATTCCGTCCGGTCCGAATGAGACAGTCTCGCCACTAACCACAGTTGTTGTCTGTGGGGCATCGGATCCGATTCTGTAAGTGGTACTGCTGAGGACTGCCTCGTTGTCGTCGACCGAAAAAGTGAAGCCATTGACGGTGTAAATCACGTAGCGTGAAGCAGTAGCGCCCACGGGAGAAACAACTGTTCTAGGCAGAGCCACTCCGTTGGAACCCACCGAGATCGTGGTGTCATCGACCGTGATCGTGGTTGCAGGCGCGTCTTGGCCGATTCTGTATGTGGTACCGGCGATGACGGCGACGGTCTGCCCAACAATCAAAGTCTGCCCATCTCCCACAGGTACAGTGGTAGAAGTGGGACGGGGTGTAATAGTTGTTATTTGACCTTGCGGCGGTAGTGCGAAGGTGATGGTTGTGCCTGGGGCAGCGATTTCTGAAGGACCGAGGCCGAATCCAACACCGTTGACCTGGAAGGATGTCCGCGCAGAAGTAGGAATAGCAAAGCTGTGGTCTCCAATGACAACAGTCGATGGGAGCACAAAGATAGGGATACCATTGATGGTGATGGTGCGAGGAGGTTCGCCTATTGCTCCTGAGAAACCAGAGGATGTTACAAGCGGCTTCGTCGTGGAAGGAGCGGCGATGTTGTTATTGCCATTTGGTCTTGTACCAGGACCGCTGGGCACCCTTGGTGGGGAGGGGATTGTGTTTTGTGCACCATTAGCTGTTGACGGGGGGTCTTGGAAATTGACACCTGGCGAGGTGGCTGGAGGGACTATCACTGTTACGGGGGTCTTCTTGGTAACAATAACAGTGCTAGTATAGGGCACGCTCGAATACGGTGCGGTTACTGGGGTGGTGAGCGTGGCCACATTGTTGGACGGCGCTGTCGAGGTATCGGCTGAAGGAAACGGGACAGCTGGTGGATAGAAAGTCGCAAAGGCGGGCAGATCTAAAGTTCTTGACCCAAAGGGTTGATTAAGACCATTTTGGGAAGACTTTTGCGCAGTCAGGCCCTCGGGGCCGCCCATGGGTGTAGCTTCGGGAAATGTGTTTTCGAAAACCGACATGATGGTACTTTCACAGGGAGGTAAGGGGGTGATAAGAGTCTCCGCTGCAGCCACGGATACATCGGCCGCTGTGACGGTCACATCATAGCCTTCGGTAACCGTAAGGAAGACAGTAGGAGGCACTGAGTTGTAATAGGTAGCGAAGCCAACGCATGTCGGTTCTGTGGTTGACACATTTGGAAAGGGGAATGGGGGAAGGTTGGGTAGACTCAATGTTGGTACGAGCCCTATCGGTGATTCCTCACTTGTAGACGGCTCTGCAATTCGTGGTGCTGCACTGGCTGAGGGAAGAAGAAACGTGGTGGTCGAGGCTGCACTATTCGATTGGGTAGTTGCGGCGGCGGCGGTGGTGGTGGACGTGGTGGTGATGGTAGTGTTAGCGAATGGACTGCCTCTTCGCATATATCTGAGCTGTGGCGCTGGATCGAGACTCAGGGCGTGCGCAATAAGTAGCGACGACAGAACGACACTGCTGGTTTTATGCATGGTGCTGATGTGACTAGGGATGCAGATAATTGTGCGTTTCTGCGTGTTGTAAACGAGGGTGGGTTGTGAAGTAGAATAAACGAACGTGTGTGCCAGCGTGCACTTCCTGAATCTGCCTGGAGTCCCTTATAATACCATCGTCTCAAGGAGAGGTTGTTCGTGTGCCCTGAGGCCCCAGGGGCAGCGACTATCGAGAGATGTCGTGGTACCTTTTCGTCGCACTCCAGTTTGAGATAGCAAGGTTGGATGAGTGGAAGGAGCCACTGTTGCGGTGGTAGAGCCGAGGGAGGAGCGTGATAGACGCAACTCTTGCCTCACTGTTCAAGAGACCACCTCGCTGCGCAGAACTGAAGCACCAGAAAGCACGGCGAAACGAGTGATGTTAGCGAGTGAAGACCTGTGGCCATGGGCGACGCTATCGAACATAAGAGATGAGGTAAGAGGTCCGGCGTCCACAAGAGAAAAGAAGACAGACCAAGTGCCCAGTTCGGACTAAGAAACCTCAATCGCGTCGTTGGCCCGTCTCGAAGTTTGGAGGCTGAACGCTTGGGGGCTGCCAGTATCAAGTTACCAACCCGAACGAGGTAGCGCCTGGGCACCGGGCGGTGGCAGAAGTATGGGCAGGGGTGCAGGTCCCTAATGTACTCCTACTAGGGTCCACGCCCGGGACTATCCAAGTTCGAGCAGGAAAACAACCTAAACCAAGGCATGATTTGCATCTGATTTGGATAGCCTAGAGGATCCAAAGTGGCTCTCTTTTCACCGGTCGTCAATCCGGCCACTCAATGTGCCATTATCAGTTAGCGGGGATTGGACTTGCAGGGTGTCAGGAAGTGCCAGAGCATCAATCTGATGGATGTCCAGGCTTGAATCAGCTTGATGTGCCGGGTGCTGCGTGATAACCTGACCTGATGTGGCAGTGATGCCTCCTGATTGCTGCTACAGCCCCCCGCAACCTGATTTTACAAATTGGGGGATTGCCTTCGTGTCCATGTGGTTCCCAGTCTCAAGTTTGCGTGACGGCACGGGTATGGGGACAGTTGAATGGGTGACGACCTCGGAGTCGCTGACCCAAGAAATTGAATTCCCCGCCCGGAGGCGAAAGGCTCACCAACGAACACGGCTGAAAAGCCCATCTGCCCTGGCCCCTGGTAGGCTGGTACGGGGCACTGACAGCCTACTGGTGGCCCCGCAGGTGCCGAGTTCGACTGGAAACTCCCCGAATCCTTGAAGCAGGTCCAAGCAATTGACAGCCAGCCAAACCCAGCCAACTCGTCATCTGCTGCTTGGTCCGTGGAACTCCCTGGGGCCCCCTGGTTAAAAGGCCACTTTAGCTTGCCGTTAGGCTCAAGCTTGTGTCCTTAGCCGACATAACCTGCACAGTGCTTGAGTGCTAAGTGGCCCTTTGCCCTCGCTGGCCTCAAATCATCCTCATCTCAGGCTGACTCCTCCCACCTCTTTATCGATTGATCACTGCAGGGGTCTTCGGAGCCTGGCAAGGCTAACTTGTTTTTTTCCCTGTGTTCGTACTCCGTAATGTGGCCTGCAACAGGATCAAAATTCATGCCGGTGGCTAGCAATAAAGGGCCAGAGCCCCAACAGCACTCTTGCTAGAGAGTGGCTGTATGACCTGAGACACGCCGTTCCTTCTGGAATACGAACACCTCCTCTCAGACCCTAAGATGCATATTGCTTCAAATGTGGCGAGGACCCGAGCACCAACATTACGAGGACTCCTACTTTCTTGCAGTCCTTGATTACGCTTTTCTCATACCTTGGTCTCAGGAAAAACTCCGTTCCTGGGAAGCAACTAGCGAGGTGAGTCCATCACCATCATTTCAAACGTCCAATGTCGCAGTTGAGAATGTTGATGGTAGTGGTAACCTTGATCGGTCTGAGGAAGCTTGGCTGCCACTGGAGTGGACTGCAGTGGACTTCAAGTGTTTGGGCGAGGAAACCTGCTAAACTGCCGCATCCGGAAGGTCCAAGTCTGGCTTCCTTTGAGTTGTGGGCAACCCGAAGGGTGGTCCAGTGGCCCGGGGCCGGGGGTCCCGAACGGTCGTACTCAATAATACCTGCCAGGACTCTTCGAGTCTACGAGCGTCGAGTGCTCGCACATGCGGTACGCGGTAGGTTTATCAAGGGCACACCGACCCTCGTACCCGGTGCTCCGTCGCTGAGGGACGTGACGGCCGCTCCAGGTTGTCAAGGTACCCTTCATCTCAGCGGGTTTTGTCCACAACTGTAGGTCGCTAGCGTCATGCCTCGAAAAAACCGAACACCACGATGTACGCCAGTGCCTCTCCAGGACTCGCTGTCCCTACGCCCGAGAGAGACCTGGTGTGGTATGGATGCTTTTGATCACAGCCAAAAGAAGCACCGGTGGATAATGTAATATGAGCTCTCAGACCATCAGGTGCCATCCACATCCGTACTCGCACAAAGTTGGTGAGCCAGGGAGTTTTGACTCACCCATTCTGAAACATGTCCTCTGTCAGAACTCAGGACTCAGGAACCAAGAGCATGCATGCATGCTGGGTGGCATGGCCCGAGATGTCAGCCCTCTGAGCTGCAATTGGTACCATGATGCCTGGATGTGTGGAGCAGCGAGCCCCAATAATACATGTACCCATCGCGTTGGTCGGTATCGTACGAGGCCGTAATTGTTAGGCTCTCGGCACTTTCGAGCCTTTAGCCTTTACCGAGCAGTATCAAATCAGCTGTAGGCCAGTCGCCCCCCAGGATAATCCCCCCCAAAGATACCCCCACTTGCCTGACGAGTGCGTGCCTGGTACGCGTAGGTACGAGGCAATCCGTATTGGGTTAGGGTCCAAACAGCCGCAGTCTGGCTCTACCACTGCTCCGTCCTTCGTACTGCTCACATCTCACTGTTCAGTCGCAGCCGCTTCCGTGCAAGCACGACACGATATTACTGTTCATCCTACTTTTGACTGCGAGTCCTGTTTCCTCGAATTTTGTTTCCATCGGAACATTCGCTTTGTCGTATAGACGTCCTCTCGTTGCCCATCCATATATCTCCTTTCCGCATTCCAACGGCAGTGACAGTATTACTAAAGCACCCTCCACATTACCCCGTTGCTGAACTACACTCACTCTACAGACCTTTCGCTTTTTACCGATTGCGCACTCAGCCTGGCATGTAGATGTCAAAGCCTGGCACGCTCGCGACACAATGCGGCCTTGCTCTCACTTGTCGTTCTTGTCACGTTCGCACGTCGGTCAATGGCTATCGCTGATCATTCTCGACTTGCTCTTCCACCCTTGCCTCGCCGACTTGCGCGTCCCACAGCCTATCGTCGCGACAACAGGCTCGACTTTTCTCGGTTATGATGGTGCTTGGTCACCCGTCAACATTCGCGTCGGTACACCGCAACAATATGTCTCGCTTCTTCCCAGCACATTGAGTCAAGAAACTTGGGTTGTAGGCCCTGCTGGTTGTGACGGAACCTCGGCCTGTACGAACCAGAGAGGTGGGCTCTTTTCTGCCAATCAATCCACCACTTTCCAGGAACGCGGACCTTATGAGCTCAATTCCCATGACACTGGCTTTGGTTACTATGGCATGGATACCATCTACTTGAGTGACGACGTTTCTACAGCTGACCAAATTGTTGCCTTGGTCAATTCCACTGAACACTGGATCGGAAGCCTAGGACTCGGCGTACAGCAGACTCGCTTCGACGGGACCGAGAACCATCTGCCCTTGTTATCCAGCCTTGTCCAGAATGGCAGCTTTATTCCAAGCCACAGCTATGGATACACCGCTGGTGCTTTCTATCGTACGTTACGCTTCTTGTCCCCCATCACTTCAATCCCAGAACTAATCACTAGATAGGTTTGAAGAGCGTTCCAGCATCTCTGACCCTGGGGGGCGTTGACGCAAATCGATTCATCCCTAATAATATGACTTTCACCTTGAGAACAGACTACGCTCCTGTTGTAGCCATCAACTCAATCTCGGTGTCGGCAAACCCACCTAACGATGCCTCGCTTCCTGTGAACTGGAATTCCAATCCGGTATCTTTGTCTGATAGCTTTCAGGCTGATACATTTACGATTGACTCTTCAACTCCTTTCCTATGGCTACCAGAGGCCATCTGCGATAACTTTGCACAGGCACTCAATCTCACTTATAATGATACCCTTCAACTTTACTTGTACAACAACGACTCATCACCGAATGATCTCAAATCCTGGAACTTGACATTTACTTTTGCAATCGGCAATCTCCCTGGAAGCTCTAGTAACCTTGACCTTACTTTACCGTACGACGCATTCAACTTACAGTTGTCGTATCCATTTCCGAATCTTGACGCCAACTTCACCTCTCCACCTACCAGTTACTTTCCACTGCGCAAAACCGCCGACCCAACACAGTATATAATTGGCCGCTCCTTCTTGCAGGAGACTTATCTGGTAGTTGATTACGAGCGTAACAATTTCTCCTTGTCCCAGGCCGTCTTTACAGTCGAGGCCGTCAACAATGTCAACCTCCTGTCCATTACTCGACCCGAGAACAGCATTTGGCCAGGACCTTCTGTGTCCTCTGTGACATCCTCGGCTCTTTCTACAGGTGCAAAGGTGGGGATTGCTGTAGGAGCTGTAATTATTGCGTTGCTCGCAACAGCCGCCTTATGGTATTTCTGCATCAAGAAGAAATGTCCTGTTGGCGATGAAGCAAATGAGCACCCAAAGAAGCGTAGCTTGTTCACCAGACTACACCTAGCACCTAGTCCAAAGACATCGGTGTCCGAACTTCTTGGCGATAAGCGACATCCTACCGAAGTCCCAGCAGATTCATCCGCCACTCGTTTTGAAATGGCCGCAGTCGAAGATGTTTCATCAACCTATTTCCAAAGGGACAAAGCAATTGCACGAAATGATCCGAGAGATCCAGCAGAACTTGACAATCGAGACGTATCCACGAAAGCAGCAGAAGCAGCGGCTATTGCTGGTGGAGGCAGTCAACGCTCTGCCTCTCCAGTCCCTCCCTATTCACCTGCAGATGCCAACAATAGATTTAGCGATAGTATTAGCCCTTACACTCCGAGACACAGCCACGGCTTCGGAACAGTCTCTTCTGGGGAGCAGGGTATCAGCCCGGTAGATGGGAGCAGTAATGGGCACTCGCGACAGTCCAGTAACAGCAAAGCACTCTCCAGTCCAATTTCACCGGAAGCCGCAGCGACAAGACCACTGCAGGATCGAAGCCCTAGAATATCCAGCAATGGATCTCCAACAAACAGCAGTAGTGGCAATCTGATGGTGCCACAACTGAATGGGCGACCACTATCAAGATCGCCTAGTACTGGAAGCAGGTTTGTTGAGCAAGGTCTGACCGCCGTTGCAGAGGAGCAGCCTGCTAGTCCCCCTGCAGCTTTAAAGAGCCCAGGTCCAAGGTTCAGCTGGGAACAGTGAGCCCTGCTGAAAGGTTGCCGGCCGCATGACCATTAATGACTCGAGATGAAATTGTTACGATACTTGCCCCGGTCCTGACGAGGCAGGCGTTCGGTCCAGTTCTGATGACAATGGGATGGATTAAAAAACTCGTTGTTGTATTTACCTCTAGATGGACGCCAGATGTTGGTATATAATCCGAAACATGATATAACGTGATTCAAATAGCTTTCTGGGACGATTAATCCCCTGAGAGTGATTAGAGTAATCCTCGGACAGTGCGGGCGCAATGGGCGCTGCAGTGCTGGATTTGGTGCCGGATAACTTACGAGTAAGAGAGCGAGGCTATGAGCTTAACTAATTAGTCGCAAGGCCTCGGTGAGGCTCCTACCAAACTGTTAGCCAAGGCTGGTGTTAGGTACCACCGAAATACCGGGTGTAGCCGCGACTCGTGATACGTCACGCTGCACCACCACCAACCAGTTCACAAGGCTCTCTCTCCATATTACTACCACGCTCGATATACGGGCTTGGGATCTGGTTCACATCTATGATGGGCTGTCTAGCTGCAGCTGTTCGACTTTCGCGGTGAGAGAAAACCATGGCGCTCACCAGCTGGAAAGCGTTTCCATTCTTCCAGGTCTCGCAGGTCCCTGTGCCTGCGGACGAAGATGGGTCCTACGTTTTTGATGTGCGTATCAACTTGCCTACAGTGCCGGCCAAGTCTTTCTGATTGTATAATAGAACGATGTCATATCCCTGGCAACCGGATCCGACTCTCTATTTCTGGGTTCCTCGGACGGCTCGGTGCGCATCCTCTCCAAAGCGCTGAAAGTTGTCCGCACCTTTCAAGCCTCAGACACGGATGATGGGTCCATCACCCACGTGCGACACATTCCCGATACTGCCTTTCTTGTGACCGTCTCGGAGAACCTCTCCATGGATCCCTCGTTGAAAGTTTGGGCGCTGGATAAGACAGAAAAAAAGACAGGTGGTCCAAAGTGTCTATGCACTGTTGCTGTGCAGAACGGCAGGAGACAGTTCCCTACATCTGCGCTTGTTGTACTGGATGACTTGAGTCAGGTTGCAGTGGGTTTTGCAAATGGTTCGGTCACAGTCATACGGGGCGACTTCATCCACGATCGGGGAACAAAGCAGCGCACCGTCTTTGAGTCGGAAGATCCAATTACGGGTCTAGAGGCCCGTCAAGGCGCGACCAAGACTCTCTACATCGCGAACACCGCGCGGATATGCAGTCTCGTCATCTCCGGCAAAGGTCAAGGGCAACCGGTTCGCACGGTCGATAACAAGGGTGCCAGCGTCGGCTGCATGACTCTGGATAGGGAGAATGAAGATGTCATCATCGCCAGAGAAGACGCCGTCTACTACTATGGTCCCAATGGCCGTGGACCCAGTTATGCATTTGAGGGACCGAAGAAGATTGTCAAGGTGTTCAAGGAGTATGTTGGTTTGGTCTGCCCACCGCGTGTTGCTCAAATGTCCAAATCCAAGACGTTTAGGCGACTTGGAGGTGACGAGATAGACGAGCTATTCAGCAGCTCTTCGTTCACTTTGCTCGACACCGACTTGAAGTACATTGCTCATACAGAATCTCTGTCTGCACAGGTCAAGGAAGTTTTCGTCGAATGGGGTGAGCTGTTTCTGTTGACCATCGATGGCAAGGTGAGTGAAGGATGCATCAAACAAGATATGTATATGACTGACACCTGCCATAGCTGTACAGATATCAGGAGAAAAGCCTGCAGCAAAAGCTCGAGATTCTCTATCAGCGTAATCTCTACATCCACGCCATCAACCTCGCCCAGAAGTTCGGTGCCGACAAGGTCCAACAGAATATCATCTTCAGAAAGTACGGGGACTACCTGTACCAGAAGGGTGACTATGACACGGCGATGCAACAGTATCTGCGAGCTATAGACAACACCGAACCTTCACAAGTCATACGTCGGTTTTTAGACACTCAAAGAATCCACAATTTGATTGACTATCTGGAAGAACTCCACGAGCATGACAAGGCTACCGCTGATCACACGACGTTGCTGTTGAACTGTTACGCTAAATTGAAGGACACGGAGAAGTTAGATGCCTTCATCAGAACACCTGGAAGTGCCACATTTGACGTGGAGACGGCGATTGCGATGTGTCGTCAGGGTAGGTATTATGAACAAGCTGCCTACCTTGCCACCAAGCATGGCGAGAATGAACTTGTGATCGACATATTGATCGAAGACTCGAAGAAGTATGCGGAAGCCCTGCAATTCATCTGGCGGCTTGAACCGGAGACTGCGTATCCAGTCCTGATGAAATACGCTCGTAGCCTGATCGAGCACTGTCCAGAGGAGACCACCAATCTGTTTATTCAATATTACACCGGGCGGTATAAACCCAAGGAGGATGTACCGGCAGTTTCAGAGGTCCAAGCACAAACAGGAGGCGGCACCTTTCAGAGTCTATCAGCACTTTGGACTCTCCCTTTCATGCACCACCGGTTGCCACGTGCGGACACACAAGCTCCGGGGCAAGTTGTCGAGACTGAGACAGCAGATCATGGGGATGCTGGGAAGGAAGAAATCCCCTCGTATGCGGCACCTCGACCTCGAACGGCATTTTCATCCTTCCTCGCGCACCCGTCGCAATTCATCAACTTCCTAGAAGCACTCATTGCGCAAGAGAATTTATCGAAGCAGGACCGCGAGGATCTGTCGACCACGTTATTCGAGATGTATCTTGAGGCTGCCAACGATGCAAGCGACGGGTCAGGCAAGACCAAATGGCAAGCGAAGGCCAGTAGCCTGATAGCCACTGGACAGAGTGCAACTTCAGATGACTCGCCGATTGATACTTCGAACGTGTTGCTCTTGTCTTCGCTTTCACGCTTTCCACTTGGGACGACGCTTGTTCGCGAACGGGCACGTTTATATGCGGATATCTTTCGGTCTTTTACTTCTGCGAAGGACACATCTGGAGCCATCTCCGCTCTTCGCAAATATGCGACTCAAGACCCAAGTCTCTACCCCCTAGCTTTGGGATATTTTTCGTCATCTGCCGAAGTGCTGCAGGAACCCGGAGTCAAGGAGGAACTCCAAACGGTATTGCGAAGAATCGACGAAGAAAACCTCATGGCCCCGCTACAGGTGGTCAAAGTGCTATCACAAGGTGGTGCAGTCACGATGGGCATGGTCAAGGCCTACCTTGCGGAAAATGTTTCTCGAGAAAGAAAAGAAATACAAAGCAATCGACGGCTGATTGAGTCGTATCGGACTGAAACGGCGAGCAAAAAGTCGGAACTCGTAGATCTCGAGTCGAAGCCGGTGGTATTTCAAGCACGGCGATGCTCTTCGTGCGGGCGGAACCTGACGCTCCCGACGGTGCATTTCATGTGTAAGCACTCGTTCCATCAGGAATGTTTGAACAAGCCGGGCTTTGGGGCAGGCGGGAATGGAGACGAGCAGGTGGATTGTCCGATCTGCAAGCCCGGGAACGATACAATCAAGACGATCCGCCGACAGCAGGTTGAGAGCACGGAGCAGCATGAGTTGTTCAAAGCGGCACTGGGCCGTAGCACCAATCGATTTGGCACGGTCAGCGAGTTCTTTGGAAGAGGGGTCATGAGTTTGATGCCGGCTACGGCGCCATTGAGTGATTGATTGATACTAGAGAAGAGGAGCAAAAGGAGCGAAGATTAGAGCATCAAACCAGGGCGAGGACGCAGATTCGTCACTGTCAGAAGGCAGCGCTACAACGTGCACAAACATATCAAATCAATACCGAGTACTTGGTACAATCGGACAATAATTGATACCCAACTATGTATGTAGTCGGCCCACTCGGCAGTGTTAGCGATAGGCCAGCGGGAGCGGGAAATCAGCAAGCCAGCGAACGGTGTTCCGAAGCGCGTAGGGAGTGAGAGTGAGCGTGGCCGTGAGAGTGTCGGAGTTGTTGGAGACCTGGAGGGATGGAGGGTTGGGTGAGTGTGTGTTGCACTTTTGTGCGATTGATGTTTCTGTCTGTTGCTGATCCGCAGTCTGACACTCTCAGCTAAAACTCCGTACCCTCACACCTCACTGCTCGGCTGCAGATAATGTATTACCAGTGCTAGCACTCCATAGTAGATACCTCGTAGTGGACACCCGAACGATGCATCAAACGGTGCATGTCCGGGCAAAGCTACGTCTATTCCTACCTAATGCATGTCTTGTCTCGGGGGACGGATGGATGCCGGATATGCGTTGTGTTCTATAATTGCTGCAGCCCTATGCTTTAGGCTGCTCGCATCGCAGGCAGTAACTAGTTGGTGGGTGGTGAAGCAGAGACAGCGACTCTAACTATGTAGATACAGCAGCATCTAGACAAGGGGAAATGGTTGCAAGATGCGACAAGAGAACTTGGTTCCAGATTCCATAAAATACGGAGTCCAGGGCTTCCTGCCGGAGAATATGTCCGGGAAGAAGATCCATGATTGTTGCCCAGCACAATAAATACTTGGTTTGACCAGATCAGTTTCTATTATCTATGTACCCTAAGTCTTCAAGCACCCACAACTTACGAGTACGAGTACAAGGCAAGGCCTTTTGGATGACGTGACATGACATGCCTCGGGCTGCTTGCTGCCTGAGGCCCATAAAAACCAGGTGCAGGGGGTGGGTGGGGGGCCGACCAGGGGCCTAAACTCACTGACTAGCTAAGCCGTTGCCTCCCCCTATGGGTTCCCTAGGCCTTGTCTGTCCCTTTTTCCCTTGTAGGGCTAACGAAAAGCTAAAACTACAGCAATTCGTGAGTTGTGGCACGAGCAAGTGCCTGTCTTGTATGCATGCGGTAATCTCACCCACATCGACGCACTGTATATCAAATCAATTTGTAGCCTACCCGTTCGCATGGATTCGGGTTCCTGTTTCCCTGGAAAATATGCCTCGTGGACTCCACGAGCTGAAGCAGAGTCAAGCGTTTCCTCCCGTGGTCACTGGGGCAGGAGGCAACGTGGTGGCAAAGGGCGCGCGAGCAAGACTCGGGAGCGTGGCGTGCCTGTCGCACATCTATGGAGGAGGGCGAGGGCGAGGGCGAGGGTGCGGAAGTGCCTTTTAACCGCCAGAGTTGCTGTGGGCGTATAGGCACAGGCAGGCGTGGTATCCAGGTGCTGGTGTCGGTGCAGGTGGACCGGGCACCAAGAATGGACTCGGTGCCCAAAAGACCTCCCTCCGTACCACTTTATTCTTATTGCTCACCTGCTGTACTGCCGGGAGTACAACTGAGGAGTCACCAGTCGCTCACAAGTAGGGCTCGTACTAGTTAATCACGCCTAAGGCTGCTCCAAAGTTACCACTAGTTGCCAACTAAAACCCACCATCACTAATGTCACAGCGACCACCACCACTGCCCACCACAATCATCATCATCATCAATTCTATTCTTTCTTCAAACCGTAACTCCCTAATAACATGCCCATGCCTGTTGGTAGCGACGGCCGACCATTGCCATCGACCTGATTCTCCTCTTGCCATCGTTCCTCCTCTTCCCCTTCCTCTCTCGCTGCCTTTCCTCTCGCTCGGCCGCTGCCAGCAATTGCCCACTTGTGCGAGCAGCCATTCCCCACATTTGCACGTCAACAAATGCCAGTCTTGTCCTGCCACCACCACCACTTCACTTCACAACCACTGCCGGCCCCTCTTGGCCCATGACATTGCACATCCCTCCACGTCGGTTCCCGATATCTTCAACGTCCTGATCCTTCCGTTTGCCCTTACTCCCCCGAGCAAGTTGCAACCATGGGTGACCCTGACCAGGCCATTGCCGAGGTCTTTCGGAAAATCGAAAGAGAGAAGGCTCTTATCAATGCCGCCACTCACATGCGACAGTCCACCAACAATGCCGTCGTTCAGGCTCGTGTCGACAGCAACATTCGCGATGGGAGGCGAAACATCTCCTATCTAGAAGACAAGCTCGCTGAATTACAACTTCGCAGGCGCGGTGATAACAATGACGCTGCTCCTCCTGCCCCGCCAACTCACGGCGGCCATGGCTACCCTTCACCCGACCGCAACCAACGACAATATCCTGCTGGAGGCGGTCCAACGCCTCCTCCCAAAGACCCCAGAGCCTATTTTGGCAACGAGCACGACAACTATGGGGATCAAGGTCCAGCTGGCTATGGCCAAGCTGGTCCAGGAATGATGCCTCCGAGAACTCCCTACGGCGATAATCGACCATACAGTGCTCCTGCACCCAAGGTCCGACCCAATTTCTCAAAATTAGGTATGCCTTGGAATCATCCTTGGAGTCGTCAATCCAGTTTTACTAACGGTGCTCCTAGATCTTATCAAATATGACACTCCATACCTGGGGCCCAAGATTCAACTCATGCTCTCGCAGCTCGAATTCAAATTGTCCGTCGAGAAACAGTACAAGGCTGGTATTGAGAAAATGGTTAGGCTGTATCAAGATGAAGGAGACAGGAAAAGCAGACTAGATGCGGAAGGGCGTCGGATAGAGAGCAACCAAAAAGTCCAACTTCTGAAACAAGCCTTGAAGAGATACATGGACTTGCACGTTGATATTGAGACTGCAGATGGCGGAGATGGTAACTTGTCCTTCTATTTTCCCCCTGGTTGCCATTGCTTTAGAGCTGACATTCTCTTCAGATGATAGTCTCAACGCGCCAAACATGCGGAAACCATTGACTGGCCACCTCGAGATGCGAATTCATGCCATTAAAGATGTCGATCATGCTGCCTCCTCCCGCTTTTCCAGAGGGCCCGAAACCTTTGTCATCATGAAGGTTGAGGACAACATTCGCGCAAAAACGCGAGCCACACGAACAGATAAGTGGACTGAGGAAGTACACAATGTCGATATCGACAAGGCCAATGAGATTGAGCTCACAGTCTATGACAAAGCCGGAGATCGTCCGACCCCCATCGGCTTTCTCTGGATTCGAATTTCAGATATTGCAGAGGAAATGCGACGGAAAAAAATTGAATCTGAGTTTCAACAGAATGGTTGGGTTTCTGCCGACAAAATGGCCAACGGTGGAAGTTCCGGCAAACCAGGTTCTGACATGCCGTCTGCACCGTATATGCTCCCTGGGGATGGTGCTGGCGCAGGTACAATGGCTGGGTTTGCTCAACATGGCGGCGGACAAGGTGTTCAACCTGTCTTTATTGATTCTTGGTTTTCTCTCGAACCCGCCGGTCGGATTCACCTCACCATGAGTTTCCAGAAGCAGACTGGGGCTAGACGCCCATTTGACATCGGTCTCAATCGGCAAGGCGCTGTGCGCCAGAAGAAAGAAGAAGTCCACGAGAAACAAGGCCACAAATTCGTTAAGCAACAATTCTACAACGTCATGCGATGCGCACTTTGCGGCGACTTTCTCAAATATTCTGCCGGCATGCAGTGCGCAGATTGCAAGTACACCTGCCACACCAAATGTTATCCGAAGGTCGTCACCAAATGTATCAGCAAGGCCAACTACGAAACAGACCCCGATGAAGAGAAGATCAATCACCGCATTCCTCATCGTTTCGACAATTTTTCAAATATTGGAGCGAATTGGTGTTGCCATTGTGGTTATTTACTACCTCTGGGAAGGCGTAACGCTAAGAAGTGTTCTGAATGTGGTCTGACTTGCCATGCTCAATGTCAGCATTTAGTTCCCGACTTTTGCGGAATGTCGATGATTGTTGCCAACGAAATTTTGGAAACCATTCAACGAACAAAGCATCACAACAAATCCTCTTCAGTCGGCTCGGGCTCCGGTTTGAGTTCTCGCACTTTGAGGCCAAATTCCGGTCGACCGGGGCCTACATCTCCAACACAGAGCTTTGGTTCCGCCGACACCGCGCTAAGTCCGCAGCCAACAAATAATTCCTACGAGCCCTACCCAGACGGCGCCAAGCCTTCCACTGCGGCCATGAGCGCCGCAGCATCCATGTACAATCAGCCTCCGCAGCCTCCACCTCCGCAGCAGCAAAAGCCCCTTCAGCAGAAGGCTGTATCTGCTGCTGCCGTTCAAGCGGCCGCTGCAGCAACGGCTCGCCCGACATCAGCAAACTATAACCAGAATTTCAATGAATACAGCCCCCAGAAGCCACAGACAGATCGTTACGCAAACGCTAGGCCTCCAATTCAAGAACAACAACCAACTCACGCCTCTTACGATCCTCGAGCCTATCAACAGTATGATCGGCAACCAATTCAACAGCAGGCTCCTCAGCATCAAGCACCACAGCAAGCCGTTGTTCAACAACACAGACCGCAACCACCAGCCCAACCCGGCTATGCCCCAGGACCTATAAAGCCGGCTCCAGCAGCACAACAGCAAGTTGCTGGCCCTCCATCAGGAAGAGGCTCTGGGCCTAGGATCGGGCTCGACCATTTCAACTTTTTGGCCGTTCTGGGTAAGGGTAACTTTGGAAAAGTCATGTTGGCAGAAGCAAAGAGCTCGAAAAAGCTATACGCAATCAAGGTTCTCAAAAAGGAATTCATTATTGAGAATGACGAAGTGGAATCGACCAAATCCGAGAAGCGAGTATTTTTGATCGCCAACAAAGAGAGACATCCATTCTTACTGAGTTTGCACGCCTGTTTCCAAACCGAAACCAGGGTTTATTTCGTCATGGAATACATATCAGGTGGTGATTTGATGTTGCACATTCAACGCGGCCAGTTTGGACTAAAACGGGCTCAATTCTATGCTGCAGAAGTGTGCTTGGCTCTGAAGTATTTCCATGAAAACGGGGTTATCTACCGGGATTTGAAATTGGACAATATCCTGCTTACATTGGACGGACATCTCAAGATTGCCGACTATGGTCTGTGTAAAGAAGACATGTGGTACGGGAAAACGACTTCAACCTTCTGTGGTACCCCAGAATTCATGGCACCTGAAATCCTTTTGGACAAGAAGTATGGTCGAGCTGTCGATTGGTGGGCATTTGGAGTTCTCATCTACCAGATGCTTCTACAGCAATCACCATTCCGAGGTGAAGACGAGGATGAAATATACGATGCTATCCTTGCCGACGAACCCCTATATCCCATCCATATGCCTCGGGACAGTGTTTCAATCCTCCAGAAGTTGTTGACCAGAGAACCAGAACTCCGCCTGGGCAGTGGGCCAGGTGACGCACAGGAAATCATGAGCCATGCATTCTTCAAGGGTGTCAATTGGGATGATATATACCATAAACGGATCCCTACACCTTTCAAGCCCACAGTCAAGAACGAGAAAGATACCAGCAACTTCGATCAGGAATTCACTAGTGTTACTCCTGTGTTGACCCCTGTACAGAGCGGTAAGTGGTTGAGATTTCAGATTATACGAACTAGTTACTAACGAATTTTTCTACAGTGTTGTCACCAGCTCATCAAGAAGAGTTCCGCGGATTTTCATACTCGGCAGATTTCATCTAGGAGAGGAATGAAGGGAAAGAATCACAAGGAGAGATTGTAACAGAAGCCGAGACCGTCCCAACTGTTCACCTAGGACCTAATGAGCCAGCAGAAGCTGAATTTGAAGACGAAACACACTATCCAAAGGCCAAATCAGAAGATGACGGCGTTTAGGGACTCGATACTCAGGACGAGCGACACGATGTTGCTATTGATTGTGAAAGTACCGATCACGGCGGGGATTCGATTGATTAATGGAATGGGTTCCCTGCTTGGCCGACGAATGGTTGGGGCAAGGCGGATACGATATTATGCAGATACGTGAGATTGGCCCGGAAGCTAGAACTTCATGATGTTCCACAAGGGCACAGATAGGCATGAAGACTGCAGTGTTTAGCTGGGCAAGATGCGAAATCCCGAGAGCACACGATGAGAGGATTACAGTCTCAGCAGAACCGGACAGCCGCGGAAAAATTCCCAACCGCTAGATCTGGATATGAATGCAACAAGTGACACGAGTATAGGATATTCTTACCTCGAGTCACGTCCTTCTTTCTGGACATTTGAGTAAGATGAGGAGTGTAGTTGGAATAGGGCCAACATGCCTGAACGAATGAACCACGATGATGACGATGATGGGATGATTCCAATGGTGATGTGGACAGGTAGAAAAGTGAATGACTTTGAGAAAGGACACCACAAAGAGAACGAAAATGACCATAGTTAGTGATGATCCATACCTACCCAGTCAGTACCTTGCCTAGCCGAAGGGTTCCGGGGTGCGAAGAAGAGAGCAGCATCATTAATAGCGAAAAACTGCCTCGGCCCGATGGGTCAATTCATTCATTCTCCTTACAGATGACTGGACCATTTAATAGATAAAACTTGGCGCTTTGTCCATGCAAGCCTCTCCTCTTCCGCATTGCTGGATTCGCTGAAATGCACATCTATCTTTCCCATCTTTCCATCTTTCCATCCATCCGTCCATCCACCCATTTCATTGTCGCATTGTCGCATAAATAAACAAGCACCAAGGTGATCTTTTCCCGGTTTTTGAATTTGATTTTCATCTCCGTTCAGATCTCGCTGGGTCGAGCGTGAGTTGCCCGGGTCGAGTCGAGTCGGGCCGTGTAAAAGCTGGGCAAGGGGGGATGTTTAGGTTTATGTTCACGGTCACGGTCACGTTATGTGGGCTCCCGAATCATAGCTAGTTAGGGAGGAGGAACGGAGTGGTGAGAACAAGGTGGATTGGATGCTGGACCAAACTCGGTTACCTTGGTCAAGTCTCGATGGATAACTAGTAACCTAGTAACTCGGTAGGCGTCGGTCTCTCGCCTCCCGCGTCTGTTTCCTTTGACGAAGGTTACACTTGATACGAGAAATGGTAGTTTGGGCAATCAGTGAGTGGGCTGGGGCCAGCGATGCGAGACCCCCGGGGGGGCCTTCTCTTCCCTTCAACCAGGTGCATGCGTGCGTTTAGACACCACCGCGCAAGTCCAGAGACGCACGTCAGACGTATTCTTCGATCCTTCATTGAATCGCTTAATCCTCGTCCTCTTCGGTATAATTCACCTTGCGTCTTGCCGTTCGCCCGCTGGAAGCACGGGCAGGCTGAGGCCTCCTCGGTTTCGAGGCCTGCTCTCTTTCCCGGGAAGGAGGCGGCGCCGGTTTCGCTGGTCCTGACTCGTCGTCGTTGTTGTTGGCCTCTTGCGCAGCCTGCCATGCTGACTTTTCTGCACGACGGGCTGCTGCCCGTGCGGCGGTGGTCTTGACCTTCTCTGGATCTCGCGGCTTCACTTCACGTTTCTTTGGCCGTAGCCATTCCTCCATTCCAGGTGGCCAGTATACACGGCCTTCAGGACCGCCCATGCCTACTTCTTCATCGGGAACCAGTGGAGGTGGCTGCTGCTGCTGAGGCGCAGCCTCCTCCTCCTCGTCCTCCGATTCTGCCAGTCCTTCTTCTCCTTCTCCTTTAATCTGCTTTTTAGTAGAGGTCTTCTTTGGCTTCTTTAGAGGCTTCCGGGGCCTGTTCTCATCGCTTCTCACATGCGGGAGAATATCGTTGAAAGTATTGAATCCAGGTAGTTTGAAAGTTCGCATCAGCTCGAACACAGCCTGCTCTTTATCCTTTGCCTCGATCATCAGATCCATGTCCTGGGCACAGGGCGGAAGTGTTGCAACTCGAGGATTGTGTTTTCGTCGTTGCCGCCCTGTAATTGCTGACGGAGTGGGTTCAGAGTAGTGCATCTTCTGCGTTATCCCTTTCCGAGTCCAAGTTGCTTTGATTCGTGGATAGAGATCCATTATATCCAATGTCCCTTCGCGAATTTTATCCGCATCGAAAATGATATTGTGATGGTGATAGTCAAGTACGAGAGGAATGTTGAGCTCCTCACATACAGGTAGTAAGTCATGGACGCTGTAGCAGACATCATCATTCTCAAGCACCAGACGATCTTTAACCTTCTGTGGCAGTTGGAGATAGTGCTCTTTGAAGCGCGCGATTGTGGCAGCCTTGTCGCCAAACACCCCTCCCATATGTAGAACCATGACGGCATCTCGATCTTGTTGTTCTGGAAGCTTCAACAGGTCCAACAGCTCGCAGTGGTAATCCAAATCGCGGATTGCTGCAGTGATTACTTCTTTTCGAGGTGAACCAAGTTGAGTAAATTGCCCGGGGTGTGTCGATAAGCGATGTCCTAGTTCCGCTGCAACAGCACCAGCTTCTGCTAGGACATCAGAAGCAAAGGGGGCGAGTTTATAGCCATATACATCATGTGATGCGAACGGAAACATCTCAGATGACAGGCGAAGGAATTTGATGCCATATCTGTCATTCCAACGTAGCATTTTCACAATATCGCGTGCATTTGCGATCCCAAGGGCTTCGACGTAGGCTTGTCCTCTCGCTATATCGGCGGGTTGGTCTTTGTCTGGTCTATTTTTGGTCGGGTGCTCTGGCTGAGCCGGATCCTTGAGAGGGTGGCGGTGTTCCAGGATTGATGCAACGCGGCAGGTTCGTGAGGAAAACACCGGAGGATTCGAAGAACGAAGATAGGTATTTAGGCATGCATAACCTAATCTTCCTTTCCAGGGCAGGGGAAGATAGGCACTGTTGACTGGTGGCGGCCGAGACCAAGCCTCGTTCAGCTCCTGAGGGTCGGCATTCTCTGCAGCATCAGCTTCGGGATCAGCGGTCTCTCCTTCTCGATCATTTTGTTTGATACCTCTGGTCGGGAGACTGGACTTAGGGAGCACGGAATGCGTTGCAAGGCCATCCCCTCCATTTACCGCATTCTTGACAGAAACCCCTTTCGATTTTTTCTTCTTACTCCCGATATCGACCGCTGTTGCTATTTCAGCGTCAGGTGAGGCTCGAAGTGCACATGGGGCGTCTTGAATCTTTGAGTTCGTATCAGGGTTTGTATCGATATTCGCAGGGATGACCTTCGAAGCGTGTCTTGAGCTCATACGCCGAACATTGGCTGGGGCCATCATATTGGAAGCACTCGAGACAAGGTTGACTGGTAATAGTGCTGATGTCCTCACAGCATCCACGGCTCCAGTTGCACTGGATCTCTTGCGTTTGACCATGGTAAGCAACAAACCAGCATGGAACCTTCGCCTCTGAAATGTCTTATGGAGAGGAGATCTTCGGTTAACAGAAAGAATGGGAAAGTCTCTCAATGGATGCTGCTTCTGAAATCCGAGCAGGCCCAGTCGAGCAGTCAAACTGATCATTCGAAGCTAAAGGGTCAGTCGAGGAGTACAATAGCCACTTACCATTTCAAATTCAAGAAAGCTTCCGAGCGACTGGCCATGATTTGCAGGGACAGAGATTCACCCAATTCACTGCTTGCAATTGCCATCCAGAGATCTCTACGTCATCGATATTTTTGATGCCAAGAGATTTGGGACGTGACGCGAGCGCGTCGCAGATTCCAGACCCCGACGAGTGTTCCCTCCGCGTGTGGCAAGATCCCTCAAGTCCATGGCGACCTTCAACTCTGACATCTGCACGAGGGCTGTAGTACACAAGACGGCGGTTGATTGATGTTGGTATTTCGATGAGCACGTGTGGACCCGAGGCGGTCCCCTGGCATTTCGAAAGAGCCCTTCCCACGCCTGGGAGATAGTCGTGGCAATGGGACGTTGCAATCAATCAGTTGCGGACTTATGGATTTCTCCAACTCCACAAGGGTGTGCGCTGTATTCCTGTATTCAGTATGGCTGCCCCTCGGCAACAAACGACCATTCCTTCTCTCCCACTTCAATGCCGTTACTCCTCCTTCACTCTCCTTACTTCGATGATAGCTTGCTCACACGATATCCAGAACCTTCGAAGACATGTCCAAGTGTGGCAAGAAGCCTAGCCCCAGGATCTTCTGCGTCTCCAAGTCCCCAGACACCCGGCCAGATGGGTGCCAGACCAGGGCTTGCTTGATGAGCTAATCATCCACGGCCTTCTCGATCTCCACACTGCAGCATCTCTTTGAGCCACTCAAAACGACTCCATATTCATTGAGCTTAATCGGCTCAAGATCTCTCGAAAGCCTTTTCCCGCTCATCCCACGTTTGGCCCGGCCCTGTTTGTCAGGTCTACTCTTTAAGTCCATCTTCTCCCCCTACTGCAGTCATGCTGGTCTTGCAGCGGATGCGGAGGAGGTTCTCCCGTAGTAAGAGCGTCCCAACGACCACCGATGCTGGCACTGGCGACGATGAACTTCAGCCTTGCCCAAGGAAAGCCTTCTCATTAACCCCATCGGATGAAGAACTAATGTCAAAACTAACATTCAGCGAGGACACTCAACTCATTGAGCGTGCTCCACGACAACAAACTCCTTCCATCGCCACTGGCTATTCAGAACGGACCGTCTTCAACAGCGTTGACACCGGCTTCCTTTCTTTGCCTACAGAGTTACTTATGTTTCTTCAGCCATATTTGACCCTGGGCAGTGAAGTGGCACTCCGTCATTCATGTTCAAGGTTCTTTCAACTGTACACCACACCATCATTCATCCTTACTGGGGAGGAGCTGTTTAACTTTCTGTGCATGACCGAAAGAGATCAAGATCCTGCAGAACTAGAAAAGCTCGTCTGTGGACATTGTCAGGAACTCCATCATCGCTCCACCTTTCCTGCAGCTGAGATCAAACAGCCACCGACTGTTCGAGACTGTAGACAAATATGGCTTTGTGCGCATCGCCATCTTGGGTATCAAAAGAGTGTACGCATGCTCAAAGCTGGCGTCGAGTCACCCTTCCGTGTCGAGAATTTGTTGCCTTGTTCACGATGCAGAAGTTCAATTCGCAATAGATCGGTAGCCGACCGGCCTGAGAAAGGAAATCCTCTAGCCGACTTGGAGAATCCAAAGTCAGAGTCTTTACTGATATCCAAGATTGGCCTACTCCAAACACCCTCGCCGCTGTATAATGTTCGAACGAGCGGAGGGAGTGGAATGTATAAGGAGATCTTTCAGGCTAAATCTGTCTCGGCGGCTCTTCAGGCCATCAATTTCCGAATTTGCCCCCATATTCAACTGGGGGATCCTTATATTCTAAGCAAATTTTGCAGGGCTTGTATCAACACTCAACGGCTACCACCGGGAGTGAAAAGCCCACCTTGTATAAACGAGAACAAAAGAGATATTAGCGAGGGCAAGGCTCGTTCGAAGTGCAAGGGAACTTGCTTTACTCGAGGCTGCAAGACTCAATTCATGTTCCAAGCAAGAGAAAGCCTGGCTCCGGATGCGTCAGGACGGCATCAGGTATGGCTTATTATAGTGGTCTATCGTTGGCTGGGGCCGCTTCTAACCGACGCACCCGATTCCACATGGCGTGGTCACGCTGTCGACCATAATGAGCGGAAGGAGATGCGCAGCCAATGGGTAGCCTGGGAACGCGCAAACAGGCAAGGGCGTGAATGTATACCGAACTGGAGCATATGCTTGCTTCATCCAGAGGATTCAAACCTTCGCTGATGCTCGAGCTCTTTGGTGGCCGGTCGCACCGTCAACGGCTGGCGCACGGTTCAGCTGCAGTCTCTGTCACTCTCCAGCAATCCTCGTAGTCAGTGAAACGAGTATGCTAGTTCACGATTTTCAGCAAGGCTTCCAGCCGCTGCTTATTCAAGGATTGATGAATTGCCTATGGAGGACCGTTGTCTTCAGATGCAGACAGCAGATGATATGCTGGAGGGTTGTTCACCAGCTGTGGTAGTCTACCAACCATCACGTGGAGTGCAACAATGTGTGCACGGTCATGGCTTCGCTCGGACCACCTGCAATACTAGCAAGCCTTCGACCAGCTTCTCGATTCTTCAACATATTCACGAGTACACAGCCGGTCAACCACCGAGAGAATTGGTTCCAGGCCTGCAACTAGCGTCGAGCATGGTCGTTTGTGAGGTGCTATCTTCCTCCCCAAATACCTGTGAGAAGTTCCTTTGCCCAACACTAGGGGAGTTTAACCACGCGATAGTCAATACGAAGCACTCCTCATCTTATGTCCGAACGAGCTTCATCCACAAGCTTTGGTGGCTGAACCAAGCAGCATGTCACCTAGGCAAATGGCAGCTTGTCGTGAAACCATGGAAAGTCAATCCATAGCTCACGAACACTCAGTGCGGAGTACATACATCCCAGATACGAGGTATGCAAACGAAGAGGGCTGAGCAGTGCCCGCCTTTGGACTAGAGGCATTCAGGATCGGCCACGAATTCTCCGAGTGGAGATTGCACGCCACCAAGGGCTCGGGCCTGTATACACTCAGTGAGGCCGACTGATGCCCAGCGACGTCCTTAGGTCCTCGCAAAACACCAACAAGCCTTCTCAAAAACTTTGTATCCAGACCAACAAGTGGACGAGCTCCTATCCATTGCACACCACCTGCCACATCAAAGTTTTGTTGTCGGGAGCATGTTTCTCAGTGGCTAGCCAACTCCTCTGTCGCGGGCCCTTTCAAATAGAAAAGGAATACTAAACCCCTTCACCAGCTTTGCTATGCTCCTCGAACCTGACCATATCCTCCAGCACAAGACATCTACGCATTTGCTTGGGTGTATGTGTTGATCCCCAGAATTTACAACCTTGACCCATCATTCTTACTTGGCAATTCAACCCTCACTGCATCACAACAACAACGACAGGCACCTTCTTTCCCCTCCCCCCGAGACATCTTCACAAGAGTTGATGCTGACCGATTGCCACTCACTCCCTCCCACTACACGCCCCTGAGCATCGATCTTGATAACCACTGTGCCTGTGACAGACCATCAAGATGGTGCAATTCCCCCTTCCCACCCTTCTCGTTTACTGTTTCTTCACAGTCCTGCCCATCTGCACTCATGCCCATATGCAAATGAGCTCGCCCTACCCTCTGCGAAGTCCTCTTGACCCCGATATCAGCTATACGCTGAAAGATTATGATATGACGTCGCCCCTCTTCCCCGATGGCTCTAACTTTGTATGCAAGCAATACCAGCACGATGACTCGTCCTACTCCATCAAAGCGACGTACGTCGCCGGTGGTACCTACCAAATGTCAGTGGCTGGAACGGCAAATCATGACGGTGGTTCCTGTCAGCTTTCACTCTCTTACGACAACGGAGTGACCTTCAAAGTCATCAAATCCATCATTGGCGGCTGCCCTCTCTCCAACACTTACAGTTTCACGATTCCCAGCACGGCACCGGCGTCCAGCACCGTTCTCTTTTCCTGGTCCTGGTTCAACATAGTTGGAAACAGGGAGATGTATCAAAATTGCGCAAGGGTTAAGATCGTTGCTGGGCCTAACCAGCGTTTGATTCGCCGCAATCGTGCCAAGCGACAGTCTGTCCCCTTGCAAAATTTACCAGATATGTTTGCTTGCAATGTTGGCAATGGCTGTACGACCATCGAGAGGCGAGAAGTGATATTTCCCGACCCCGGTTCCGATGTATCTTACGGCCAGGATGCCATCACCCCTGATCCAGGCCCAGGATTTGAGATCAACGGCGCTTCGGCCACTGCTACTACTGGAACGTCCTCTGGCATGACAACGGCATCATCTCCAACGACTGCACCACCTTTCCTTTTTGGCAACTCCTCGACTTCAATGACCCCCCCTTCCTCATCCGGATCGATGCTAACACTAACTGACAGCCTTACCAGCACAATTAATCACGACGACCTCCTCACGACTTCAACGGCGGCGGCCACCACCACCACCACCTCATCATCAGCCATTTCAACAGCGACAACACTCTCCACCGTCGCCGTCGCCTCGCCAACCTCATCCCCATCAACACCCACCTCATCAACACCATCAACGCCAAGCTCCTCTTCCACCGCGCTCCCCGTCTCTTGTATTCCGGGGACATTCACCTGCAACTCGCCTAGCACTTTCTCACAGTGCGTGGTAACCTCAGCCACATCCACAACATTCGTCTACATGGGGTCTGTTGCCGCGGGCATGCAGTGCGTTAACGGCCAATTTTCGCGCGAGAACGACGGGGCCTGCACGCCGTCAGGGAACATATTCTGCGACGGGCCCAATGCGTTTTTCATGTGTGACCAGGGCGGCTTGATTTCCATGGGTCCCGTCGCGCCAGGGACTCAATGTCAGAATGGTGAGATCGTCGTTGCTGGGTCATCGTAACTAGCCAAGCTGCGCCGACTAGCTAGGAGAGTTCATCTTATCATCGACGACAGATCTGATTTTCTCGCTTGTCCCTTTTTGTACTGGCATTGGTTATGGGGGTAGGGAAAACCATATCACAGGGAGGGGGGAATATTGTATTTGTACCATCATATCTATCTAGCATAGTTCTGCAAAACGAGGAGAGGATCCCATCGGATCCTGGGGACAAACAGCACCGCCAGACGGAAATCTACATGGATCATGAATGAATGATCACGACGGAAAATAAAATGATGGGGAACCAGAGAGAGGAACACAATACTCCTCGTTGTACCGAGACGAACGAAAGCATCGAACCCGAAAACGAAAACGACAAGGAACACGAAAAACGAACCATCGAAAAAATAATTGATAGGCGAATACCCACGGAATGACGACCGAACGACAGTACGATGCATGGGACAACGGAAACTACGAGCGAAAATTTGGATGGCACGGCATATATAGCATAATCCGTAGGTCTGGATAATAGTACAAGGTCTCATAGAATGGAAATGAAATATCCAGGGCTTGTGGAAAAGGCTTCACAGCCCTTTGGATACATAGACAGGCAATCGCTTGTTAATAATATTTCTCAACGAATTAATTCATAATCCTCGAATTGTGCCTCATAACTCGCGACTCGTGAAACGACATCTGCCCTGCCTTGAAAGCGTGGAAAGAGAAAGCAACTGTGCCCGTTCTTTATGCCCCCTTCCACTGACTGAATACGCGCCTCATCTTCATGATTCGGTACTGACGCAGGCACATATTCCCTCTCACTTTTTTTAGGTGCTCACTCACTGTAAGACGAACTCCGCCGTGTGCATGGAACTCGGAATCACGCCGTCCATCAAGCCGTGGATATAACAGGCACCGACGAGCAGATACTCAGTCTCTTCCTGATCCCCATCCCCGCCCTCGCCACCAGTCTTGCGCACGGTCGCAGGCATCAATACAACCCGAGACGTTCGCACCGGCGATGCAGACGATAAGATCGCGGCCTTCGGCCTCGTTGGGCACCGCACCGAGCAGCCCGCCATCTGTGCCGACCAGCGCGCGTCCGTCTAGCACGCGCCGGGGCTTTGATCTCGAAGGAGTCGAGGGCGGAGAGCTATGGTAGGGTTGTAACTTGTGGTGATAAGAGGCGGGGAGGGTGGGAGCGTTGGTTCTGCTGCTATATTTGTGACCTCTCTTCCGTCAGGGTCTGGTCGGGGATTCTCTTCTTCGGGATCCTCCGGGCGTTGAATGAGTAGAGGGCTGTATTGTTCTGGGGGAACATGGCTTGAAATGCTTCAACCGGATTGGTGTGTTGAGGCGCACCAATAGAGCCGACCACCTCTCTTGCTTTGCGGTAGATACCGCTCATCACGGGTATCTGTGTATTTCCCTAGATGAAACCAGATTGATTTAAACACATCGGCATGATATTGGCGAAAGCGCAAGACAGGTCAAGTCAATGGGTTTAGTGCACTTCTTGCCGACCGGATCGGCCTCCGTGAGAAGAGCCAGCATATCAGCAAATCCTTGGCACATTCAGCCATGCTCCAGTATTAGAATTTACTACAAGAACTTGGAGCAAAAACCAATCATCCACGTAGCCATTCCTCAGGTGCGGAGAGATATATATGATGGTTTGGATGTCTTTTAGTGTTATCCTAATCTGATTCCTCATCTCAGTCTGGCTCCTCATCCTAAACGGGCTCTTGATCTGTCGGATTATCAGGTGTACTAAGAGAGCAGGGTATGTCCCCAGTTACGAGCTTTATGAGGTGGTAAGGCTGTCGGCCTGATTATCTAGGATATGCTTGCCACAGCGATATCGGATAGCAGGACTCGCTTCGATACTAGGCAGGAGGTGGCAATACAGCAACAGGTAGTGGAGATAGCGATAGGGGCCGGTAAGACAGAGGGGTATTCAATAGTCTTTATAAAGAGTGTTGTAGCAGGCCTGAATGCGGAAGGACAGAGATTCGCATACAATTCAATTGCAATTTGCGCCTACTCAAATAGCGAATGGCTCTCGATAGTGACAAGGACAGCAAAGGGCCACTCGCAAGGTGTATTTATAGGGGTTAGATAATCGCTAGTGCCGGTAAGTCGCTATTGGTAAGTCGATAGAATGAAACTCTCTGTTCCCGTGCAGCTGTCTATGCCAGTTGCACCCATTGTATAGATATCTAAGCGGTGTAAAGAGAGCGTTCTGCCGGTCCTGGCGCCCGCACTAGAGCTTGTGCTGCTACGGGCCTATCCTGTGCCTATCCTGTGCCTATCCTGTGCCTATTGCGTGTAATATAACACCTGTTCGCCTAGCGGTCGATCCAATACTATTCTAATAGCAGAACCCCTTTAATCCATTTTCGGTTTTTGACATCACTGGTGCTCATCACTGAAAGTTGATCCTAGGACTCTTGGCGGGATCTTCCAGGCGTCTAATTGCATAACCGACTCTGCGATGGCCGCTGAGCCATATATGCCACCAGCTCCTGCAGCCAAAAACCAAATGACAGCTGCTGGGCCAATGAATGGGGCCAAAGCCACAGTAGAAAGCAACGCGCTGCCTCCGGTAATCGCCCAGGCTCCCATGCCCGCCGCCGCCGCCGCAGCGTTTTGCCAGGTCTCGGGCTCCCTTATGTTTGCGACATTGTCAAGAGTCAGGTGCTTTTGGGCGCCGCGTATGTGCATCCAAATGTAAGGGCACCCATTATTGACTGCTTCCAACTCTCCGGTGATGTGGAGCTTCCCAATAGCTGAAGGGAACACTAGAGGTTCATAAAAGAAGATTGGCACGTTTGAAGGTATTAAGACATGGAAGATTGCGTCTGGGCCAACAGCTGGTCGTACAACGTACTGCAGAATGCCACATAATAGTTCGAGATTGTGGTAGCAACCAGAGAATGCTGGGGGCAAAGGATTTGCTTTCCTAAGCGCATCGAACTTAGGATACCACTCTGTCCCCGGGTTGTAGACGAAGAATAAATGGAGTGTTTTATCTTCATTCTCGGATTGATAACGAGAAATCTCTGCATTAATAAACTCAAACACATGTTGAGGGAAGAAATCGCCAAAGCTAGAGTTTGCCGTCATTGTTCTAGCTATAGTTTCAAGGTGAGAAGAGATCTTTCTGAGCTCTTTAATGGCTTCTCTGCCCATAAACAAGGTAAACGTTGTCGAAAGGGCTTTAGCAATTAGGCCAGCTGCGTGATATTTTCCCAGCAGGGCCATAGCCGTCTCAAGAGTACCGTCTAGCCCGCTGAGCATGTCGATGAGTGGGTTAAAATCCACATTATTGATAGCTCTTGCTTGTGCATATGCGATGGATCGCATACCTGGAACCGCTGAAATCGGTTCTGATTTTAGACGCCGCCGATCGAGGTAGAAGCTGACCAAAGGTACACAGGCTCCCAATGTAGTGAGAAAGGTTACAATCCAACTCAAAGTCATTGCTCGTGGTTGCGTTGATGTCTGTCGCTGGGTAGTTCCAGCAATAGATGTAGAGATATGCTTTATCTCTGCTTTATATCTGTTAGAATGGAGCTAATGTTACAAGGACCACTGTCTCTGGGAAGCGGCTTACTAGATGGGTCGTTAAGATATACCCAGGCCTATTAAGCAAGGTTATCGATAAGCAGGTCTTAAGAGCTGGTTAGAGAGTGGAACAAAAAATGTCATCGGTGTTGTATGTGTCCAAGTTTATATATCCTCTACGGTTGTGACCGAGTTGATGAGTTGAAGAGGGACTGAGCCTTGATCAACCTAGGCTGACATCCATCTCGAGGAAGATGGACATCCAGTTGCTTCCTCCAAACCATAGCAGTTTGCTGGCTGTGCTGAGGACGACCAAATCGGCGGTTGGTTTCAGCCAATGATTTGTAGACTTTAGCTGGCCGCCCCAAGGCCCGTTTATGGTCAGCCTCCACCTGGAACCAGAAGATTAAGAGCGTTACAATGCTTTGCAGCACGGTCTCCTCCTGGGCGGCTCTCCAAAGGGCTTGAACTAGTTCCATTGGCTACTAATGAGGTTTAAAGAGGAAAAATTCACCCGGAGGCCGCAAGCGTCATATGAGCCTTGCGGGACTCCATCAATAAATTGCCCCTCTCTGCCTAGGCTCAAAGTCAACGAGACCCAGACTGGGCCGACAGAGACTGTGACCTCTTATTGAAACCAAGTGGCCAAAGCCTCGAATCAGCCCAACAGGGCTATGCTGAAGTGGCCGGGCGGTCGCGTGTAGCAGAAGATACCGACACCCAAGGCATGAGCGTCTAATGAGAATGGGGGCTGAAAGTGGGACTTAGCATGGCTGAGCTGTGATTTCAACGGAGGACTTGTCTTCATTCGAAGGCTACAAGGTGTCTGTCAGAGTATTCCATTGCTCGATGACCCATAGGTATCGTACAGGAGGCCCAAGTTATCTTTACATACCTTGGCAGCTTGGTCGTGCCTGCTCCGTGCTCTGCTCGGCTCCAGGCTATACTCTATACCGTGCTCTCTCGATGTTCCCTCAAATGCTCCGTCGTGTGCCAGATCAAAGGGTCCTCGCTCCCCTTCCTGAACGTCCCATAATAGCAATGAGCGAAGATTCGGGCATCGTTCCCGAGGGAAAAACCACCAAACGGATCTGATATGCGGATTCTCGGAACCACCCAATATCTTATTGCTTGATAGCCCGATAGTTTCCTTCTAGTTGTCATTGAAGAACGCAATCGAGTGTCCTACACTGAAGCTCCTCATATGGTAGGAATTGATGTTGGCGAACAATGCGAGGACGGAGCTCTCTAGGCTTTTCTATAGCAATGCGGGCCCGTCATCCCCGGAGCATCCTAATTGCCTCGGATGCAACATCACACATTGCTTCACAGAGGACTAGACAAGCGGGAACAAATTTCGATGCCTGTCTTCGCTACGAATATTGAGACCTTGGACGCACTTAAGAACAATGGGCGGGGACTGCAAGACTTTCGCTAACGATTGGTCTCAGCGATGCCAGATGCTTCACACCTTTCACATTGGCGACCTGTATGAGCGTGGATTGGGTGCAGCAAAGAGAACGAGACGTCATGGCCGCTGCAGAAGATGCTTTTGATTCTGTTGTCGCTGGCTCAAAATTACAACCCGGCAGAGGAAGGGCTCAGAAGCCGATCGCAGAGCCCGTGGATAAAGTTCTTATTACACGCAGAGCCTCTAGTTTAGAAGCCGCTACACCTCAACGAACCTTGCTTGCAGCTATTAAACGGGTTCTTCGACGGTATTTGCCGCTGTTTTTCTTATTCAATGGCACCAATCTGGCCATGGAAGTGGACGATGGAACACTTCATCATATCGTTTATTCTGTTTACAAATACTTGAGGAAGGGTGTGTTGGAACCTGCGGAACCTTTTCTTCGCGTCAGCAGTCGCCATGTGCAGATTCGGACTGAGGCTGTGGCCAAAGAACTTCGTCATTTCTCCGACTACCTGGATAACGAGCTGGACGAACGCTTGCAAGTTTCTCAGAGTGGGACTGTTTCTCAAGTGTGGCCATGGTCCACCTTTTGGTACGCAGCGGTCAAACTTGGCTAATAATTGTATCTGTTTTGTGGCAAGTCCGGGAGAAACCTTGGACCAGCCAAGCGTGGCAGCAGCGATGAAGGATACTTTCGACCATTTCGATGTGTATCATACGACCCAGCAACGGCACAACGGAACTGGCAACATCCGATCCATCCCCAAAAGCTCCAGAGTAACTTGGAACATTGGCAAAACCTATGGAATTCACACCAGGGTTTCTGGATTTGCCAAGTGGCAGAGACATCTGAGCTCAGATGTCATGAGCAGGCAGGGTTCACCTAGGGATCACGATAGTTCTGGCAACCATGTTCTCACCAGAAACATTAGGCCATGGCTTGATACCGGCTCTATCGCAATTCGCTACGACCATAAGATATTCCTTTTGTACAGGCTGATGGCCACAGAACTTCTTTTCTGGAGAGGAGTAGCTCGAGAGCGGAAGGTACATGACTCCTTGATAGAAACCTTGGAACCAATCTTGTGTTGTCACTCCTGGCAGGAGATCCAAAATCCAAGATTTCTTAGATGGGTTTCAGACACTTTGGCAGTAGGCAGCCCAGTTAAATGGACCCGGGTCGAAGAGCAGGATTAAAGCAGTGCGGACCGTATTTCAAGCAAGCCGCGCCGGTGGAATGATTCCTTGAGCACCAACACCGGCGGTGACCTTCCTCAAGAGCAGTAGTACAAAGACGTCAGTGAGTATCCGAATTTGGACAAAGTCTACGCAGACATCACGGAGTTGCAGCAACAGGCTCTAGATTATAACAGATATGCAAAAGAGAGACGCTGGGGGCCTCGCAAGCGACCCAGGCCACCATCTGAAAGCGACACTGAGATAGTCTGAGCTGGTGGTGATCTGAAATACACAAAACGCATGTCCAGTAAGTCATGGGCGTTGTGGGTCAATCGGTTATGAGGCTGCAGGAAGACAAGCGCAGATAACAGGTCCACCATTCGGCGGTACCGACACAAGTTGCTGTGAATTGTTGAAGTCGTTATGTACTTCTATCGGTATATTTATACGATTGCGTGGAAACCCTAGTTAAAGTTCGACTAAATTGGCTCTTCGTCTCAAATAGGCTCCTCATCTTGTCTTAAATGGGCTTCTTATAATTCCCAGGCCGACTTGATGGCCGATCCTTGGGGCATCACCTACCTTCGCCTTGCCACTAGTCCCCTCGTCGAACGCAATGAAGCTGGCAGTCTGGCAAGAACATCAAACATCCACGGCATCAACAAACATCTTTAGGGGTGGAGCCGAATTTTTTCCAATATTCATATTAGGTTTAGACCTCAGATTGTGTATACTGCTTGGACTGCTTGGACTGCTTGGATTGCTTGGAAGTCTTATATGGTCAAGGCCTGGGAGGCTTCGAAGGGCTACGAGTAGTATCTCATGAGCAGTCCAGGCGATGACTGAAACCCTGGCAGTCCAGAAGCCACGAAAATAGCTCCAAATACCCTGCGATTTTGTCCAAGTTGTGCCTAGCCACGGAGTCTACAACATGGACTCGCAACTTTGTCTATAGGATGTAGATGCTGAGGTCTCCATACCTGGAGGATCTAGTGTAGACTTGCTACCATGGAAGAGGAAATGTCCACCATGGCTGTAAAGGGAGCACTCATACAAAATTATATACAAAACCTTGCCGAGACCTGGAGTCACCGCCTGGCCGCTCGAGCTCATATGTCTGTACTCGTAAGATAGGGGTACAAGACGCGGAGTCAGGGCACGTCTCACGTGACCCCGCTTTCACAATCCTGCCTCAGTTGTCTAAGCTGGATTTCACACTGGATATGTATGTCACCACCTTGGCCGCGTGAGCCAACTTGACTCGCACTTCCAACCTCTATTGGCCTTCCGTCTTCCGCAACTCATTCTTCACCCACCCCTCAAGTCCACCAGCAGCAATAATCGCCTGCACGTTCGCCGGGAGCTCGCCCACACGCTCCGTCCACACCGGGCCGCCCGGCCCTTCCTGAACTTCCACGACGCTGCGCGCCACATCCCACGTCAGTGTCCAGCCGGTACGGCGCGTCAGCTGCCTCTGGTGGAGTGCGACAGGGGTCGGAGGTGCGGTGGTGAGCGACCCTTCGTTTGTGGTGGGTTCAGAGACTATGGGATTAGACGACGAGGAAGAGGAGGTAGAGGTAGAGGCAGACTCGGAGGAGAAATGAGACCGCAGGCGCTCGACAAGGCGCGGCACTTCCAACCCTATGAGCGCGTTGTTGATACTGTTGCGCGAGAAGATATTGCTGAAGCTGCTGGCGACGACGAGGGGGATCTGCTTGGCGAGAATCGCGGTTGCCGCCTGTTCTCTCGACGAGCCGACGCCGAAGCTCCGACCTGCAACCAAAATGTCGTTGGGTTTGGCGATGTTGTTGAACTCAGGATCGTAGTTTTGCATGCACGCCCGCGCCATGTCCTCCTTGGAAACATCGTCCTGGTACGTGAGCGAACCGGGGTAGATCCCATCAGTATTGATGTTGTCGGCGTCGCAGAATACAATCTCGCCGCTGATCCGCTCGGGGAAGCCCGGCAGGATTTCGACGGTCGCCTCCGACGGAGCTCCGGCCGAATCAGCCCGCTCAATCAGTGATTCCATCTGCTGCAATAGGTGGTCGAGCTGGTGCTCGGTGGTTTGAGGCATCCCCGTGCCGAACCCGTGTTCCACGCCAGACCAGTCTGCCGGCACCTGGTACGCGCCAGGGCCGGAGATGATGCCGCTTAGGGCGCTGGCGGCCACAACCTCGGGACTCGCGAGGTACGCCTGCGCGTCCCGCGAGCCCATTCGCCCTTTGAAGTTGCGGTTACTGGCGCTAATCCCGACTTCGCCCGGTTCTAGCAGGCCAGTGCCGAGCCCAATGCACGGCCCGCATCCGGCAGGCAGCGGCTGCGCACCGGCGTCCAGCATGGCTTGCCAATCGCCCGCGTCTTCAGCGGCTTCCTGCTCCGGAGCGGATGCCGCGGCGATATAGAACTGCACGCCATCAGCGATCTTTGGGATGACACCGGAGTTCGCCTTGGCGGCGTCTTTGAAGACTTTGGCGGCGGCGGCGAGATCTGACGCGCGCGAGTTGGTGCAAGAGACGAGATATGCGCGATTGATTTTGATGGTCTGCGGCGCGAGCTCGTTTAAAGGCGTTACGACCTTGACAGAGTTGGGCCCGGAGACGTAAGGCGAGAGTGTGGAGAGATTGAGATAGAGCTGCTTGGCGTACACAGCGTCGCGATCGGCAGTGAGGCGGGTCGCGAGCAGCTCGTCCACCTTCTCGTGGGTGATGCGTTGTCGGGTCGTTCGAGTATCCAGCATTGCCGCCTCCGTAGCCTTGTACCGCAGCCAGCGCTCCAGCGTCTGGTCGATCGGGAACAGACCGGCGAGCGCTCCCCATTCGGTCGTCATGTTGGCGATAGTCAGCCGGCTGTCCACGAGCAAACTGGCCATGGTCTCCTCTGAAC